CACCACCATTGTCATTTCTACTTGCTCAACGCTTGAAGATCGACGAAACACCAAGGGCTCAGCATAGTTCGCCAGCCCTTCCCCTCAGTACACCAAAGATCCAGTCACCGAACGCTATCACCCCTCACGATTCCCTATTCCGACCCGCCACCCACTCCGACACCACCCCGACTTGAAACCATCGCCCCGACCCTTCACCACGCCTCCATCACTATAAAGAAGAACTTCAAAGACATAACCCACCATGGCTCACTCTACGCACGCTCGGTCGCCTACTCTCGGTGGACATAACAACCAAAACCGCAAACTCGTACATGAGACCGCTACAAACACCAACGGCAGTGACCAGCGCTCTGCCTCGCCAGACACAGTCGCAGGCAGCACACCCCATACTCAAGGACGCGGCGGTGACCAGTCGGCTACCGAAGGTGCCGCGGACGAGGACGACGAAGAGGACAGTAGCACTGCCAAAGACATCGAGCTCGACGACGAGACGGATGCAGATGTACCGGCCATGCCCTATAGCTATCGCAGAGGAGGCAAGGGCAAGGGAAAGCGCCCTTCTATACGCGTCGAGCCTGCTGAGGATGACGAGTCTCACGCCGAAGACGACGAGACTGAGACAGTGCTCATGCCCAACAAGCACCCGGTAAACCAACTACTAATGAGTAACAAGAAGCGCACCTTTAGCAATCTCTCAAGCACATCAGTGCTCTTTGGTGACGATTCCACAGACCAAGAGTCGTTTCCCCGCCGCAAGCTGGCTAGGAAACTAAGCGCCGCCTCTAGCATACCGCTGTTAACCTACAAAGAGGACGACGAACCCCAAGTAAGCTATGAGAATGCTATTGAGAGCGACGATGAAGACTACAGCGGCGTCAATCTCGTCCCTGACGATGATGAGTCTGACATGGAGATGATGGAGCAACAAGAAGAGAGCTACATCCTCCAAGAAGAGCAACAAGCTACTACCCTTCTCAATGAGTATCGTGATGCTCGACGACTCAGTCTTGAGAGTTGTTTGAGCGACAACATCTTCGATGTCACTGCCCCCTTAGACGATACGTTCATGGCAGGTCTTCCAGACTATGGGTTCACTCCCTTCTTCGAGCCAGACGCTCTCCCTGCATCTCCTGTTCCCATGGCCAAGAGAAAGTTTTCAGACGGCTCAGCCAAGCGCGTCCGCTTTGACGATGACGTTCAAGTATCAGATAGTTCCAGTTCGGAATCTTCAGAACTCGACAGCAGTGTCTTCCCTGATCTCTTCATGGATCAAGATAAGATCCCTCCCAGTTTGCATCAACTTCTTGAGATGGACTACGATGATGACAACGGAGACATGGCTTCTCCGCAGTCCGACGCCTCATTCTGGGACTTTGAGCAGGGCGAGTCGCGCATCACTCAAGTCGATAACTCGGAAGAATCCGATGGCGAGTCATCTGGCGATTCCAGTGGCTATGAGTGTATGGTAGTGCCCTATAATTGCTTTTACTCAATGACTAACGTTTCTCATCAGCTGACATTGGTGACACCACTGACGAAGAAGACTTTGGCACCGACATACTACCACGCACGCCTAAGCACTCTGTTCTACAGCGACCGGCGTCAGCACCAGGCTCACGCGCTGCAACACCCAAGCCGTTTCAACGAAGCTCTCGTCCGGTTGGCCGCCAAATTCCGCCAACTCGCGGCATCTTCATCCACGACGAGTCTGACCAAGCCATTGCTGTCACTAACAGGTCGACTAAGGCTGTTGCCTTCTACCGTCCACGCACGGTAATGATTCCGTGGATTCCTTTGACCGATTACCAGAGTAGTACGAGTGGTACTGTCAACAACAGCCCTCGGAACTCCATTGCTCAACTCAACGCCTCCGACAGCGAAAACAGCAACGAAGTCTTCAACAACAATCTCAATACCGACATTATGCTTACTGGCATATTTGGGTCCGCTTCGGGCAACGACTTTGCTTTTGGAAACGAAAGTATTGGTCCCCCAGAGGCATTCTATCCCTTCGTAAGCATATCTTCCAATGGTAAAATGGGCCTCGTTGACGAAGATGAGGATGGTTCTTCGAGTGAAGAATACGATGAGGACCTCAACATCGCCGATTTCTTGGAGTTGGACGATACCGACGATACTGACGGAGATGACTTCGACGATGAATTCGAGTTTACTGATGTGCCGGCTACACCGGCAACCTCTAGCATGGCACATCACGGCTCCACCCCAGCGGCACCTTCTTCTGTCACGCCCAACGCACGCGCACGGGCTACATCAGACCTTATGCTTCAGCACTTTGACCGTGGCGTCGTTACTGCTTTCCGCAGCAACCAGAATCGTTACCGGGATGTTGCTTCTCTGCCATCGGATCCTGCAGCGCGCGCCTCCGTTTCCCGCCCGGTTCGATCTGGCAAGTCCGCCGAGGCTCTGATAACTCCTCTACGCAAGCGCACTCGGTCAAACAGAGTAGCCAAGTCGCCTTTGAAGAACGGCACGACTATGAACCGCAGCTCACCCCTCTCCGGTGTCACCAAGGCTACATCCCGGTTACAAAAGTCGGTCATGGGCTCTCCTACCAAACCCCACGGACCTCCTAAGATGGGGAAATTCTCTTGAGTGTGTCACCACTTCACAACCCGACATGCGGCAGATCGGAAGATGGAACGACGAGTATCTGGATGGAAGCATCAGTAGTCTTCCACGGGGATGTACCGACGACGTTACGATACCCACGACCTTTTGTATTCTAGCTGTTTCAGCGGCTATGTTGTTATTACGCACGTTACATGCACTTGCATATCTCTCAAAAGTTCTTGGATCTTTGTTAGATGGTCCCGGATAAAAGTTGAGCGAGGTGCCTGGCCTTAGAGCGGAACTTTCCATGCGGCAACGCGACGGCATCGTCCGGCTAGTGCAGCCTTATTTGCGTCTTCACGAATTTCCTTTGTCTGGTCGAAGCGTTCTGGTTAAGTACACTGTGTTTTTACATCGATCTTCGCTATTCACCTCGTCGCTTCCTTCGAAGGAGCTAGAGGCTTTTTGGGATGATACCATATGTTTTACGAGTACGATCTGATGGGTTCTGCTTCCTCTGGCGTTTGGGTTCACAGTTTGGCAGGCTGTTGACCTAATGGCGTTGAGGTCGATAGATGGCTCACAGTCACATCGCATTCGGGTCTCTTATGTATTTGGATTTCAACTGGACGGATATATCGTGTAGGATTATCGGCATGGCGAGGGTAGTTTCTTGCTTAATTTAAATGTGTTCATCAACTTCATCCTGAACAAACATGTGATCTGCAACACTATTTGATGTACCTTTGGATCTTCAATCACCTCCCGGCTGCTTTACAGGTTCATCCCTCTATTCCTGCATATGATGGCGCAATCATGGCGGGATTTCAGGATGCTGGCTGGGATGCTTAGCGTGGTGCTTCGTCTGTGCTCATACTACGTCACACCCTGGCCCAGCTCCTCCTGCATGTGAAGATCGACGCGCTCGACATGCCAACACCAAGCCATGTAGCCAGCCGTCCCCACTCGACTGCGATGGAGAAACTCAAGGATGACTTTCGCGAAGATAGATCATTTCTTCAGATCGCAACAGTAAGCCGCCTGCGCCACAAGCCGCGCAATCGCGTTCTGCTGCAGCACATATCCCACACGCATGCTCACCAATACCTAGGACGCCATCCTTCTACCCCTCCGTATAGCGACGTCGCCCGCCCTATTGCGAACCTATCTCCGCACCGTCCTCCTCTTCATCACCTCGACCATCCTCTTCGCCTTCGCAGTCGTCGCATACTCGTCCTTCTACTACAACTACATACCAGTGCGCGGCATCTCCGTACCCGTATACCTGCAATTCGACCACGGCCCGATAATACCCTATGCGGCCGCGCAGTCAAATGGCGTACCGACCGGCAAGCCAGCAAAATGGCCATATGGCCTCGCCAACATACCCGGTCTGGTGGACCGCCAGAAGTACGATGTCGTCGTCGAGATGGAAGTACCGCGTAGCGAAACAAACCTGAAAGCGGGGAACTGGATGGTGGGATTGGAGTTCCGGGGTCCTACGACGATCGGTCAGGGTGTCAAGCATCTACTCGGTTGGGACGAAGAATGGAGTGTCGAAGACCACAGTCAAGGCGGTACACCTGGTGCCACGGCGGAGAAGGTCGTCACGGAAGGTGCTACGAGTGAGACACCCACGGTACTAGCCAGAAGTCGGAGACCAGTTCTCTTAACGTATCGGAGTCGTATACTCGAGATCATCTACAGACTCATGCGGCTGCCATTGTATCTTATCGGCTGGCACACAGAGTCCGAACACATCGAGATTAGCATGATGGAATCCGTCATGTTCGAACCGGGATACCGCAACGTACCGTCTTCGCTCCGCTTGGAAATACGCTCAAAACTCCCTCTCGAAGTCTACCGCGCCAACGTACGCATCAGCGCCAGATTAGAAGGATTCCGCTGGCTGATGTACCGATACTGGGTCACCAGCGCCATAGTCGGCATCCTGGCCTTCTGGGGCATGGAAATGGCTGTCTTACTTTTCACATGGGGTATTTTTACCTTGCTATTCAGCAGCCCGAGTTCCAATTCTCCAGCCTCGGACACGCAACACCAGAAGATCAAGTCTGAAGAAGGTGAACCCTTTCCCAAACTCGAAAACGGAGACAACACAGAACCAGGAACGCCGTACAGCGATACAAGTCGTACTTTCCCCACTCTACCTTCCCAACAACCGCTCTCGTACAGCTCGCCTAGTCCGAAAGAAGAAGGCGGAGAGCCTAGGCTGGAAGATATTCCCACGAGAGAGGAACAGGAGGCTGATGATGAAGAGGACGATGATTTTATTCTGGAAGAGCCGGTGCCGAGGGGTGTCGAGAGGGAGGGCGTCTTTACGGATTCGGGGATTGGAACGAGCTTGGAGAGTAGTGTTGAGAGGGGGTTGGCGAGACGGAGGAGTGGGAGGGGGAGTGGGAAGGATAGGGATGGGGGTTAGTTGCCGACGAGTTGTAATGGTAGCGGTAGCGGTAGTGGGAAGGAGATTAGGTGGGTGAGGAGGTGTGGGGCTTGTGAGGCGAAGGATGCGAGGAAGGTGCGGTGAGGAAAGTTTGTATGCTGTGATAGGGGTTGTGTTGTAGGTGATACATCCATTCCTCTGTATTCATGCTATCTCTGTCCCCTGAGTACCCCCCACTATTACCTATCATTCTGCGTCAATACCCTTGCCAGCATCAGACATATCCTCTCAGCCCAGGTTCTTGCTCCTTCTCAGTCTCCCCTTCCTCTTCATCGCCCAGACATCCACTCCTCGTGGCACACACATCCTCACTTAAATGTCCTCATATACTGGTGTAACGCCCTCGGGACACATTGGCATCTATAGTCACAACTCGTTAGTTCATATCCCCATAGCGAAAAAGAAACCTTCCAGAACGATATCAAGACGAAAGCGAAGGAGAAGAGAAAAACTTACATAAACATTATCATTACACCACCTCACACACAGATCAGCCATTGGAGCTTCCTCTGGCCACCCTATCCAGCACGGGTCGCAGATGTTGTTGCATTCGAACTCGGAGCAGTAGGGTGTTGGAATGGAAAGTTTGGATGGCGGTGGGTTGGAGGTAGAATCGTCGCGGATAGGAATATGCACTTTCGCCGCGTCCTTGAGTAGATTTGAGATGGTATGATTCCGATGAATCCCAGGGAGGAAGGGGACGCGACTAGCATGTGGGGGCGTGGTGCCGATGGCGCAGAGGGGAAGCTTTGGGCATGTATTAGTATTGTTCTTCCTCTTCTTCTTCTTCTGCTTCTTCTTTTTTTTTTCTTGGTGAAGAGAAGCTTAGTTGATTAAGGTAACTTACGTCTTTGTCCCCCTGGCAGAGCGCATGACAAGCCTCTGGACTACGGAAACAGGCGGATTTGCAGTTTACAAGTGAACACGGAGTGCCGGATATGCTGCTGTGCTGTTCGGCTTGTAAGGCTAGTGGACGGGCTGCGACGGTGAGGAGGGTGAAGAGGAGGGTGGAGATTGTGAGCTTCATCTTGGTGGTTGTTTGTGTGGTTGGTGGGTTGGTGAGGGGTTGTTGAAATTTCTTTGGAATAGTTCAAAAGTTGATAGAGTTGGTCAAGTCTGCGATGTTCGGTGTAGAAGGAAGAGAGAGGGATGCGTAGGTTTATATAATTCCTTAGCGACTTAGATTAAATTTCGATGTTCATGAACGGGAAGCAGTACCGTGCCACTTAACTTTGGTTGAGTGAGTTAGCCTCATGCATTTTGCTACTACTTGCGACAAGAAGTTGTATGAATCCTCGTTCTATTGGTTGCGTTCTATGATAGACGCGTTCTGTGTGGTTGGAGAAAAGGGTGTGTGCTGAGGAACCCCGGTTTGGGTACCCGAACCAAACTTGGACTGTGGTGACGAACAACAACAACAACGGGGGCATCGAGCGGAGCGAAAAAGATTGGGCGTACTTAGTTCACGCCTTTGGAAACAAGACTGCTGCAGTGATTACTACGCAGAAAAGGTCGCTGTTGCAGACCAGAAAGGTTAAGAGCTCCATCCCGGCAGCGGGCGATGCAGTTTGTTATTTGTGTTCGACGTAGGAGTTCGGCTTGGAAATTTGATATATTACCAAAAGAAACGCTATATACAAAATCCTCACATCCACCTAAGTCCAGAGCTCAATTACCTACCACAGTCCCAACCATCAGCCTAAAGCATAGGCCTCTCACTCGCAGGATCCTGCCCCCTAGCAAACTTCCTCTCAATCCTCTCCTTCCCCTTCTGCATATACCCCTCCACCTCCTCAAACTGAATCTTCGTCAACCCAGTCTTAATATCCATCTCACTCCTCTCACAAGTCTTCGCTTTGATAAACACGCCATTACTCTCCATTTTCTTCTCTTCAACAACCTCTTTACAGAACTTAGCGTATTCGCTGAAATGCACAGCACTACTAGGATTACTCTCAAGCAGCATAGCGAAACAATGCGGCATAGCTTCAAAGTCGCGCCACACGACCGTTACACCCTGAGCGACGCACTGTTGCGCCATGACAGCATCTTCATCTCTTAGCATTTCCTCGCCCACGGAGAAGAATAACGGCGGGCTTTTGCTCCAGTCTTTTGCGATGAGAGGGGAAACAAGTGGATGCATCAGTGCACTTGCTTCCGCATAAAAGTCTGCGCGCGGGGGATCCGCCGGCCACACGCCTTCGTCTTTAGGGAATTCTCGGGCGTCGGTTGCGCTAGGCGGAGGGAGGTAATCGTACGTTACTCCACCCTCAATAGAAGGTAAGCTACGCGTGATATCGAGCCAAGGAGACGCGAGTGCTACACCAGCCGGAAGAGGGATGTCTACTTGTTTGCCGTGGAAATTGACGCGAGGGGTCTGGCCAGCGGGCGTGCTGCGGTGGATTTGAAGGAGCAGTTGGAGGAGCGCGGTGCAGCATGTTCCGCCAGCTGAGTCGCCTCCGAAGACGATTTCGCTGGCGGGAACGGGGGCGTGGAAGGAGCCCGGGGGTGGGTGCAGGAGGGTGAGGTATGCTGTGAAGCAATCTAGCAAGGCGGAGGGAAAGGGACCTTGCGGTGAGAGGCGGTATCGCACGGAGAAGACGCGGCCGCCTGTTTCTTTCGCGAGGCGACCCGTTAGGGGACGCGATGTCGCTGGGTCGAGCAGGTACATTGCGCCGCCGTGGAAATAAAGGAGCGTGACTTTGCTCGTCGTTTCTTTCATGAGGTTCTCGTATTTGTCTTTTTCGCTCATGTCGGCGGGTTCGGGTTCGTCGTCTTTTGCGGAGGCGCGGTAGCCGTCCCATTCTGCTTCTAGAGGTCGCTGTTCGGGCTTAGTCCATTGCTCTTCTCCGGTGCTCATGTCGTCGATGGCTTTGAACATTATTTGTCGGATGTCGTCTTCTGGTGGTACGTCTAGTTTGACTTTGCTGACCCAGATTTTGCCTTTGACGCCGGGGTCCTTGCAGGTTAGACGCTGCAGCTTAGAGATGGGCGTTGGTGTTGAGTTGGGGCCCATCATGTCGCGGAGCATGTTGACTGTGATTTCCGTCTTCAGATCCCATTTTGAACTTGTCGGTGACATGGATAGAGAGTGCCATAATGCTGTTTTCAACAGAAAAGGTGTTTTGGGCAGTAGAAGCTTGAGCAATGCTGAAGGTGAAGCGTCCATGTTGGTGTTGCTCCGCGGAGGGGTCGCGACTCAGGTCTCGATGACTGCGGATGTGCTCGGAAAGCTCACTCTCACTGCTTTGAAGATAGGGAACTTGAATTTTCGAGGTTTCCCAGGCTATACTCAAGGTTAAAGGAGAGAAGGAAGTCAGTTTAGTGGCAAAGAGGTAGTCTTGACGTCGCGCTACTAGACCAACGCGGCATATAACGATGCCTCGGCACGAGTCATGATCTCATGCACGATATACGGTCTATACGCCCACGTGGGGGAATCTACGAAGACCCGCAAGCCGCAACGATCAACGCTAGCGATGGTCTTTCCAGCACAACAAACTTCCCTCATATAGCTTTGGTGCAATGAGATGTCTTTGCATTTATCAGAGAGGAAACCTCCATCGTCTCCTTCACCCACCCAGAGTCGATCGCGCGACTGATCAGTCACTTGTCAACCTATCTATACGCAGTCTCCAATCCGTCAATCACAATACGAAACATCGTCTGTCAAAGAACAAGATAACACATTGCGTTATTGTCTAGTCATCAATAGTATTCAAGTACTATGCGCATCATAATAATGTGGTTATGCGGGGTTAGTGGTATCTTCCCATGTCGCCTTATACCAACCAAACGCCTAATATCTCAATTCCCCAAACAGACGATACTGTAAGCCATATCCTTCTTCTTCTTCCCAAAACGTTGTTGGTTTCCATGGCGCTCCATTTGTCAGGGGACTAGCAGTTTCGTCGGTGATCGTCGAATCACGACGAGAACGACGAGCTTCTGGGCCTGGCGATGGTGGTTTCCGATAATGGATCTTGAAGCCGGCGCGCTTGGCCAGGTTGATAATCTTCCGTCCTTGAAGTGTCTTCTAGCCATCCAATTCACCCTCTTCACTGCCCCTCTCTGTCGCGTTGCCATCGCCTGTGCCGTTGGCAGGAGGCTGACTTTGGCTTGTGGGTTGTACACCTTCCATACCATCGGGTGTGTCCCCGAAATCGATGCCGTCTTCTGGTGTCCGGAGCCCTGCGTACATGGACGGCTCTCCATCTTTGTCTGGCGACTTCTCGTACAGATCCGCCATGAGGTTGCATGCTTTCCTGATATCACGCAATTGAACGTGTTGTATTTCCCACCACGGTTTTCCATCGTCGTCCCCTAGCTCTACTTCCGCCATACGCGCGCCGGCGTACAAGGATGCTGCGGCGATCGCTCGCGATGTGAATAATAGGCACATCTGTGTAGACGTCGAGTCGGAGAGGAAGGCCCAGGCGGAGTTGCGCAGCTTCTTGTTATGCTCGACTCCATAGTATTTCATCATGTCGTACATGGTCTTGTATGGTGATTCCACGTTAAGGTCGAAGCACAAGGCTTCGAGTAGGACGTCTTCGCTGTACAGGATTGTGTCGCGCCATTTCCAAAAGTCTTTTGTCTGCTCATCGACGAGCTTGTTGGGATCCTTGAGCGCGACCCGGACGCAGGAAACGACTAGTTCTTTCATCTTGCGACAGTTTTCTTCGACTTTCGTCGCGAGGAATAACGCGGTTGCAGCGATTTGCTGGTAAAGTTAGACGCGTCCAGATCGCATCTATCCGCACGGAAGACTCACATAGTGGTGAAGTGGCTTATACCCCGGCCGTGGCTTCAAACTCATTCGCATCAGGTAACGATTGAAGAAGACGGCCGCTGTACTAAGCGTCGTTTGTGGTAATTTGAGCATCATGCCCACTTGTAGTATAAAGCCGACGCCCTTCCGCCGTAGTGTGCGCTCCTCTTCGGCGGGCATCCCATCGCATATGGAGGGCGCCAGTAGCAGTTCTTCTTCTGTGAAAATCCACTGCATCTCGGCTTCGATGACGGCCGGCGGTGGCGGTCTTGGGGGCTCACGCTGCGGCGCCATTGCGCTGGCTGCGGTCGATACCATCACCGAGGGTTGTAGCACTAGAGGTTGTGTTTCGATGCGCGATAGTGGTAGTACAGATGGCGCGCAAAGGATATGCTCCGATCTGGTATGGCGTCTCTGTCGTCGCTGCTGGGTATGATAGACGACAGTTGGAGAGTGCGATGAGGATTGTCCAACTGGCGTAAGAATTTGCGTAAGGTCGGGTGAATAGTGAAAGGTGACAATAGCAGTAGTATTGTTCGTCGAGGCGCAGCCATTGAAGCTTGAGAGCTGCAAGGGCCAACGGCTCTCTTCCGCGGCGAGTGCAGGGATCACTTCCGTCAACCTCCACCACCCCAACGCCCAAGGCTACCAGCACCACGTTCGGCAGCCCCAGAGCCGTACCGTTCCTGAAAGCTTGTATACTGTCAGATAGTCTGGGCATGGAACAACTTGAGCATGTTTCAAGCAAGGGGAACTCAAACATCGTTTCGAACTGTCAAGTCCCACATGAAACTACTATCAGATGTCAAATGTGAGAGATCTATTGTACCTTGTCCTTTGCTGTGCAGTCTAGAGAACGCCCTTGACCGTTTTCAGCCTGCTATGGTGATTTTAGGTACAATTAATATTACATAGGTAAGCCAACATGAGATAAAGATAGTTTGACTGCAACCCCGGATGTGTTTCCGTCCCGCCATGCGCGCCGTGCAATGCTGGAAGTGTGCATCCTGCTCAAGATGAGTAGAACGCTTCGAATGTGTAGATGATACCGAAAACGAGGAAAGCAATCGCTCCACCAAGCGTGACTGTCACGAGTTAGCATTACGTCAAGAACAAGGAATTGGATATGCTTACCGTTGCGCATGCTGATCTTTCCAGCAATGGCGCGGCCACCGATGACTGCACCGGCAGTACACAGACCGTGGCCAACTACAGCGCCGGCGGTGACATACCAGTAGTCAGATCCAGCAGCCATGGCAACAGTCGCAATCTGACTGCGGTCACCCCATTCTCCGAGGAAAGTCATAACAAATGTCTGTACCCACGCAGGGCTAAGGAGGAGAGAAAAAAGGTTGTTCACGGCGCCCAAAGTGCCGGACATAGAGCCTCCGCGCGGTGAGGGCATTCGATCAGGCGAGCTGGAAGGGCTTCGTGCGGGGGCAGGTAGTCGCGAGTTAGACCGGGAGCGTCGCACACCACGTCCAGACTCGAGGGCATACGGAGAGATGGAGGACTTCCGGCGGTTTTGGTGTCGGGCAAGCTGTTCCTTCTCTTCAAGTTCCTGCTCGACTTCAGCCATTTCCTCACCTACGCCATCGTCTGGGCTCATAGCGAGACCCTCTCTTATAAGGTTGACACCGAATACGAGGAAAAGAGCAGCCGCAGCGAAGTGCGTGAAGCGTTCCGAGAGGAGCGCGGGGACGGCGTGGCCCATGACAGCAGAAAGGACTGTCATGACGACCAGAGCGGAGTAGGCAGCCGAGAAGACAAGGAGTCGAGGGTGGCGCATAGCCATGAGCGCCGCCACGAGGAATGTTTTGTCCCCAATTTCGGAGACGATAATCATGGTGAAAGCAAGAATGAAGGAATGGAAAGGCTGTACGGCGCCGGCGTCGACATCGTCGAGTGTCGAAGAGGGTGTTTTGGGTGGTGAAGTGTCAAGGGGATCTTTGGTAGAGACGGAGCCTGGGACAGGAAGAGGGTTGTCGTGCAGGGAGTCGGGAAGGTCGGTGGGTTTCTGTAGTCTGGTTAATACTGAATTGACAGCACCGAAGCGTCACAACTCACCTCAAGTCCGCCAGCACCAAGTACACGAGTGGTGCTCGCAGTCTCTACGGCATCTCCACTCAGTTGCTTCTGGTCAGCAGGATGGGCGGGAGCCTCCTTTGGCGACTCGGGAACCTGTTCCATCTTCTCGCCTGTTTTCTCCTCGTGTGCCAGTCGCTCCTTGTCCTTTGCCGATACTCCTCCCTCGGTGCCTGTGCTGCCAGTGGCCGGTTTCCGTGCTGGGTCTTGCATAACGCTCTTGTCGCCATCCTTGACGTCGTCTACAAGAACAGTCTCCGTAGAAGCGCCAGGCTTCTTGGCTGCCCCGAGATCTTCCACAACATTGGGAGCCTTCTTCCCTTTGTATTTTGGGTCGTCGTCCACGTATGGCCCGGCGTGGGGCTTGCCGTCTAAACCATCGACAGGCGCATCTTTGGTTCCTTTTGGGACCGCCGTCGGGGCGAGTGAGGCATCAGGCGAGTAGGTGGCTTGCGTGTAGGCTGGCACAACGGCCCGCGCGACTGGCTTGTCGTCTGATGTGTCTACGGCAATGGATGTGGCGAGAACTCGTAAAGCGGGTAGGAGGAGAAGCAAAGTGTGCGGCCGTGGCTGTCGTAACCTCATGATGAATGCGATTCGAAGGTGAGCAGGGGTGCGGTGCGGCGAAGGTAAGAAACGTCAGCGGTAAAGGGAAGTGCCCAGAAATAATCCAAGGGCGGCAAAGAGTGACGTGAATAGAAGAGGTTGTTGTGAAGGAAACGTGGATGTTTCGCCAAGTTTATTGAACAGAACGGTGTAGGGGTCACTCTGATGTTGAGGCGTGTAAAGCAAGTCGAAGACGACCGAGATGCGCGCAAGGGGTGCGTGCAGACAGCCCACGTAATATGTCCAGGGCTACGTAAACCACAACGAGGGCTAGTTAAGGGGCCTTTCTGTCCGGAAGCCTGTGGGGAAGACCGGAAACATGGTGCAAATGCCGTGGTTCCGTCTCGAACTCAAACGCTTCGTATTCACCTCTACGCTGCAGGCCCCTTCTCCGTGCTGCGCCTTGAATGCTGAGGCCCACCCGGGCTCCGAACGGCAAAGGCGATTCACGACACCAATCACGTGAGCGCCCGTCAAGTCGCCTTAGTCAGCCACGATCGCGGAGCGTTGGCGTAAACAAGCCCGCACCCGCATCAACGCTACTGACATCACACCTTCACCCAACCTACGTCGCATGTAATACCAGCCGAGACCACGCGTTCCTACGACACTATAATGGCCGACCGCAGAAGTGTGCGGTCTGCAAACCGGCGCAAAACACCTACTCCACAACCACCGGCCAATGCGACTGCACAACTATCCGGACGCGCATCGCGAGCGAGAAGTTTGCGCAGCGCGAGCCGCGAAGTAGAAGATTTTGTCGACATCCAGAAACCCATACGTCGGAGCGCGCGACAGGCGAGCGTGACTACAAACGATGAAAGTGAACATGACGCACCAAAGGCGCGCAACACAAAGCGCAACCCCGTGAAAGAGCTCTTGGGAGGTCAGTAGCTACGGCCCAGTTGCTTGCTTGCGCAATTCCAATCAGCGCGATATTCACTACTGGCTAGAAAGAGCTCAGGCTAATTACGCATGCGCCAGACCTCACAGTGGTTGAGGAAATAGATACCGAGATTGCCCTTGAGGAAGACGAAGTCCCAGGTACACCCGCGCGTACCGAACCTGATGTAACCTTCCGCTCTCCGGGCGCCGCATCCGAGATGTCCGGAACCACCGCTATCACCTCCTTCAGTATGATAGAGGCCGAGTTTCTGGAGCCCAGATTCATCGTCAAGCATCTGCGCAAGCTATGCGAGGCTACAGAGGATTTCTTGGAGCACATCGCGCCAGATCATGCGACAATGGATGATGATGTGCGAAACATACAAGAGATGCAAAAACCCGGCTCAGTCTACGGCAAAGAATACCTGGACTTCGAATTCGACTTGAACACGCAGCTAAGGCACTACAAAGGCGAAGAATACAGCTACATACACATCAGAGCAATTCACCGCGCTCTTTTTGGGACAAGTGAGGATGTTACAGCATCGCAGAGTGGCCTCGACCTGATCCTCTACCTCGCCAATTTACTGGTGTTAGCGAAGCAGATAATGCATTCAGATCGAGATGATAAGAGTATCTGGGATGTGCTACGACAACTAGACATTTCGTTCCCAACTCAGTTCATGCAGTCGCTTGATCCGGACACACAACAGTCAGCTGCAGGAGAGAGTGCGCTATACAATGAAACCTTTGAGCTTGCGCTGGAACTGCGGACACAACTAGCAATACTCGTCCTCCAGAAGTCGGCCGGCAACCCCAGCTTTGATCCCAGAGAAACAATGGAGGAGGTTTTCTTTCGCTCTGACTCGTCACAGTCGGTAGAAGCTGGCTCGCCGATCCGTGGGTGGAGCACAGCAGCTTTGGGCGGCGACGAATCAGCGCTACCCGAGGAATTTGAAGACCGCATCGTGACCCGAGTAGAAGAGATCCGAGCATTTTTCTTTCAGGATGAGGAACATGACGAACCTGTTGACTTGCAACAACTGAAGTCAAACTTTCCGTGGGTAGCGACCGTCCTTCACTTATTAGACTGGGTGCGTCTTCGGCACAAGGAAATCAAAACGGCCATCGATAATCTTGGAGGACCAAACACGATCATGCGTAATGTCAAAGAAGCCCTAGAGGAACCTCAGCCCGTCACTCAAACAGCGCCATCAGTTCCACGCGAATCACTGCGTCGAAAACGAACTTCATTTGGACGAGAGAGGCGGCGCAGTAGCCGTAAATTCGACCCAAATGCGAAGGTGGATTTGCGTGCTATCGATGTTTTGAAAGAGAAAGAACGTGATTCGGGTGTAAATCTGGGGCTCGCGGCTTCTCAGCCTGATCGTGAAGAGACGCTTGTTCAGCCGCCAGTTGCGGAAGTGGAGAATACGCAACCGGAAATCGACGACCAACCACAAGACGAGCAACAGACCATGGTCGGAAGCGATACGGCTTCTCAGCAGGAGCGTGGGGATATCTCTCAGACAATCGAAAAAGCGCAGAACGAACAGCCAAGGACGGAAGACCGACAGGATGGAATGCAGGTGGAAGTTGAAAGCGACGTACAACAGCCCGAGGAAGAGCAGTCTGAAGAGCAGCAATCCCGACAACGACCAGTGCAAGGAACCCGGATGGAAGAGCCCGAAGAACATGTCGAAGAACCAGTCGAAGAGCAGGTCGAAGCACCTCAAGTATCGGGTCCACCGCAAAGCTCAGCGGCTCTACTAAAAGCTTTGAAAGCCCTTCCAAAGCCGCAGAAAGAGAATCGCCCAGTATCAATATTCGATCGCCAACCGACAGCACAACGCATCGAATTCGGCGACGGTTTCGACAGCACCCAGCCAACACCAGGCCCGTCAAATACAGCCAAAGGAAAGCAACCCGCATTGCCATCCCCACGCAAACGTAAGCGCGTAATCGACATCTCCGACTCCGACTCCGACTCCGACACCTTTGAAACCGCAGACCGTGGTTTTCGCGCTCCAGAACGCCGTCGCAACGCGCCGGTGGCAAAGAAACAGCGCACCGCAGAACCCATACCCTCTTCCTCCGCAGCGCCCACTAGCCACCAGCCCCCTGCCCGCGCAGAATCCGAACAGGAAGAATCAATCTCCGAAACCTCTGCGCCCTCCATGTCAGAAGAACCCCCCTCGTCCACCTGGCCCGACCAACGGCGTCTCGCAAAAGAGAACCGCGCTCTTGAAGTCACGCAGCAAGAACGAGTCGAGCGCAAAGGCCGCCAGAAGTGGTCGGACGACGAAGAAGATGCACTAATACAGTATATGAATACTTATCGGGGGAAATACGCGAAGATTCTGCAGTATGATCATGATGATCATGGGCCGCAAAGGTTGATCAATAGGAATCAGGTCAATTTGAAGGATAAGGCGAGGACTATGGCGTTGCATATGATCAGGTACGATTTACTGTTTCGGAAGACGATATGGTTATGCTGACAAAATATTTAGATCTGGCGCTGGACTAAGACCAGGTTTCGAAATGATTATCCACCCCGGCATGAAGGAAGGCAAAGCTTTAATGGCCGCTGGGTGGGTAATGCACGAAGATGGATCTTGGGAAAGGGCGCGGTGATCGCCTCAGGGATGTTCGCTTGGATACGATATCTCGGACGAAGGCGTTTTTTTGGTTGAATATTCTTGATACCCACTACCGCTATATCGGCGTCTTACTCAATCGTACAGTTGTTAGTTCTCAGACATTTGCCTTGGTTTATTAGCAATGTCCTTCACATTCGCACTTCTCCCTCCATCTACCTGTCTGTGATTAAATCATCAAACCATCTCCCTCCACCTAACCCCCCACTCCCCCTTGGCAAAACTACTCTCAACGACCACGCCCTTCATAACCGCCTCACACTTCTTCTTCTCACTTTCCCCCTCAACGCTAAACCCAAACGCACAACCCCTTCTCGCCGCCTTGCGCACCATCTCCCTCTCGTCCGCTTTCCGCTGCCCCTCCCTCCGCTTCAACTTCATCTCATCAGTTTCCTCAATGCGTTCAGCCCAACCTTTCTCTCCGCCTACGCTGCCGTTGACGTCGTTTTGCGCTTGGGGTGGGCGGATCTTTCCAGAGCCGTAGCCGTATTCTACGGTGTCTGGCAGAGCGGAGGGGTCTGCGTCAGCGTCTGCTGATGAGGCTGTTTTGGTGGGTTCGAGGACTATACCACCTTCGGCTTCGGCGTCGGAATCTGATACACTTTCCTCGTCGCTGGTGTAGTCTTGTGGGGGTTGCTGTGGTGCAGATGCTGGTGTTGCATCTGTGGCTGTAGTAGACGTAGGTTTATCGACCATGTCCACGCTCTTCCAATCCTCAGGTTTCTCGACGACAAACCGCGCTTTGCGATTCTTGCGTCGTCCGTACACCTTCTCGGGGTCTTTTTCCCGCTGGAATACTATCTCTTCAACTGTACCGCATTCGATGATGATCCTTGTTTCTCCCTTGACAGTCTTAGATGGCTTTTTCTTGTGTTGTTTCTTCTCGCCTTTGCCGAATTTGGCGTCCTCATGTGCATTCTCAGCATCTGTGTTGTTCTTGATGGGGTCTGCTCCAGCGTTTTCTTTCAGTGATTCTGGTGACGCGCCGTTGAGAAGGGCGGCGAACGTGGCTTCAATCTTGCGGTCCGTAGGACCTGGTTTGCTGTTTCGACAGCGTGATGAGCAGTACTTGACTGCCGTTGCGTTTTGAGTCTTGCGGCGCTCGCTGATTACTCGCCCGCAGCTGTGGCAGTAGGGGACTGTGTCGCCGACGGTGAGGTAGAGGGGAGGTGGGGTGACGGCGTGCTTGCTGGGCCGCGACCAGGAGTCCATCCACGACATCTTGCTGAAGTTTTTGGTAGTTTGTAGTGTCAACGATAGATATAGTTTGCTTGGGCTTAGTGTGTGAGGTTCGCGTCTTGTGAATGTGCGGTAGAAGACGGTCGTGCTTGTGAAGTTGGTAGAGAGGGTACGAGCGCACGACGTCATCGGCTTCTACTTACCTCGTACCTGGGAGTATGCAGGTACGAGACTACGAGTCGTGCCTTAAGAAGACGCAAACGGGGTGAAGCTTGAATCATGTGCATTTTGCAGCTATGAGTCGAAGTCTATAATGACGTACTCGAATTGAAGTTTCCCATCTGTGCACCTGGTGTGTCTGCACGTGTGCTTCCAGCTACTAAAAATGGCCCTTATCGTACCCTTTGCCTAATTATTACGATCGATACTTGATATCGAGTTATCCAAGTCTACTAAATGCACCGACGTTGGACAGCGGCATCCCCACAAACCTCCCCAGTCGGTCCTCGGATGTTCCCCATCACGCCTCAAGCCAGTTGCCGAGCTTAACATTGCCCCGATCTCGGTAATCAACGAGCGTCGCAAGATACACAGTCTCCATTCCGCCGACGATTATGGAGGATATATGTTCTTCTTCGGCGCTCCACCCTTTGTCGTTATATAGGGGCAGCGGGAGATTTGCATACCTTGGGCTCTATTCTGCGCAGAACTTCAGGTCACGTCTTGCCCAGGGCATAAGGTCCGTTACAAAGCGGACAAATGGAACGTCTATCGCTATCAGCAGCGACTCCAGTGCCCCATTCCCCCTTCGCACAATCGCCATCCCAACACCATCTCTCTGCTAGACGACGTCGACCTTTGAGCGTGCGCCATCGCTGTAAGAGGGCGAAGCTGCAGCCAAGACCCAGAACATCCGCATCCATGTCGCCTGCGTTGGACCCCGCGACGGGTGAAACCGGCACCAAAGGATCGCGTGCGCATCCTATAGAGACATCGTCGACACCGGAACCGGGACGCCCGAGACGGACCACCGCGCAAAGCGACATCCAAGACACGATACAACACCCGGGCAATGTGCGCATCAACGTTCAGGGGGCCTTTATCGTAGACGAAGAGCAGCCAGGGACGCCGCAGAGCGAGGACTACGAACACGACCCGCACGACATCAGACTGCCGAACCACACTTCGGTAGTCAGCCATGTAGCCGTCGATGTGAGTGTACCTGCGTGGTCGTGTGCTCGATTGGTTGTGGCACGCGACCATTCACAGCGACCAGCCCCTCGCAGAGTCACAGCAGCATGCTAATCCATCGTGCGCATCGCAGATAGGAGGCTCTTTAGCCAAACTCGTATACTTCTCGCGCGAACCTGGCGACGATGCGATTGGCGGACGCCTCAACTTCTTCAAGTTCGAGACAGATCGGATAGATGCGTGCATAGAGTTCATGCGCAAGCTCCAGGCCGACCAGAAGCACGACAATGGGTCCAGGTCGCCGGACTTGTGTATTATGGCGACTGGTGGTGGTGCGTTCAAGTACCACGATAAGATAAAGCAGGCGCTGGATGTAGAAGTCATACGGGAAGACGAGATGGAGTGCTTAATCATAGGTACGAAGATGACGTTATCTATGGTTGAAGGAACTGGCATGCTAACATGGACGTATTGTAGGCCTCGATTTCTTCATCAACGAGATACCAAACGAAGTATTCACATACAGCGAAGACAGCCCAATGACCTTCATGCCACACCCTCCCGACCCACCGAACATCTACCCCTACCTCCTCGTCAACATCGGCTCCGGCGTATCCATGATCAAAGTCTCAGGGCCGCGGCAATACGAGCGTATAGGCGGAACATCACTAGGAGGAGGAACACTCTGGGGCCTCCTATCGCTGCTCACCGGCGCACGCAGCTTCGACGACATGCTGCGACTTGCGGAGAATGGCGACAATTCGACCGTCGATTTACTCGTTGGCGACATTTACGGACAGGCGTACAATAAGATTGGGCTCAAGAGCACACACATTGCTTCGTCGTTCGGCAAGGTCTACAAGATGAAGCGCGCAGCGGAACGGGAAGCAGAAGATGGATGCAACGGCGATCTCAAGCGCAGAGAAGAAGCAGAGCACGTTGAAGGCTCCGCAGAACTCTCCCACGACCCGGGTTCTTTCCGTCCAGAAGATATGGCGCGTTCCCTCCTCTACGCCGTCTCGAACAACATCGGTCAGCTGGCGCATCTTCACGCTGAGAAACATGGGTTGCCAAGAATATACTTTGGAGGCTCCTTCATCGGCGGTCACTCACAAACTATGAATACGCTATCCTATGCTATCCGCTTCTGGTCCAAGGATACGCGGCAAGCGTACTTCTTGAGGCATGAGGGATACCTAGGCGCCGTGGGTGCGTTCTTGAAGAGGCAGCCCAGGAATTGGGGGAGGAGGGAGAGCGGCGCGGGGTCTGTTAGACCTACCTCAGTTTCTTCGCGCGCTTGAGATCTGACGACAAAGGATCTTGTCTCGGAAGAAGGTCTGGAGTCCCTTCGCGCTCTCATTTGAATGACATGGTTGATGTCTTGTCATCTTGACTTCTCTGGGTGGTAGCCAGCATATAGACGTAACGTTCTTGTTGTAGCATTGTTAATATCATGATTGATCTTGTTCAGCCCGGTGGCGCCGTGCTTGATTGACTATTTCCTAGATCCCCACTAACGAAGATAACAAGGACGGCCGCATATCTGTACACATCCTGATCAGTCACTCGCCCTAGCGAAACCAGAAGATGGTATACATACGCCGCCGTTGCACCGAACAGTTCCGCTCTGCGCGCATTCGTCAACAGGCCCACGCTCGCAGCGAACAAGGTGGTGAAAGTCGCTATCAGCCCCAGTCTCCAGTCTGGAGATGTTACTTTATAGAGCACGACAATTGCGCCTATGAGTAGTAACGCTGCTAAGAAAGTGCTGAAGTACGCTACGAAGGAGCTAATGGCGCGGTCCGAAGCGTAAGCGATGCCGTGGCGGGAGCGCTTGCGATCCTATACTCTTGTGTCAGCAAAGGCACGTCTGGTTTTGACTACGAGCCGTTCGCGCCAATGATTTCTGGGCCACATCGTACTGATCTCGGAAGCACTCAGCTTTGTATGAAGGGCTACTCACTGGAAACAAGAACGCTGAATGCTCATGCGCGAAGTTGGTCAATCGGTCTTGATCGTCTTTTACTCGCAATGCAACGATTTCCCATGAAAGCTCCAACATGGCAAAATCTAACAGCTACCAGCAATGCTCGCGCAAGGGCCCTCGTCAAAACTTTCCCGTAGACTCACTCACACGTGTCGCCTAATATCTCAACTGATCTGGCAGTCGCCTCCATGAGAATCTATAGCATTAGCGGTAGCACTTCTGAACCTATTGTATATCTGATACGACATGTAACGCCACCAATTTAATATTTGAGTGTACATCTTTATATTGCAGATGTATCTTTACAGATTTATTGACAGTGTGTCAGGATTGAACGTGGATGGGTGCGTCCGGCTTGAAGTTTTATGGAGATGACCGTAGCATACTGAGTTTCATTGAGACTGCAAAAGCTGATATGTATTCCTTAATTAAGACGCACTCAGCCTACAAATTAGCCTTGTACACTCGCCCAACCTAAATTATAGTCTCCAATCTTGACTAACATGAGGGTTGAGCTTCGTGTCCATGATTTATCGTGGCCATTGCCTGTCAACGACCGTGGGTACCTACGAGCCCACTACCTCCGAATAATAAGTTATTGTGCAGTATCTAGCTGCACGAGAAGTGAAGGAGGTGAAGTATTCAAGAGGCAGGTAGAGATGATGCGTAATGGTATTGTACATCAAAATCTGGCATTCACGTTGCTGCTCTGTGCCGCAGGATACCGACGACCCGACGGCCTTGCGCAGTAAGTCGGAGACAAGATTTTAAAATCCCTGTGTCCTGATACACTGCTAAGTCCCACGTTCTTAATAGGCGTGTTCGCGCAGATCAAGTCGACGTGAGATCGAACAATTCCAAACTCCTTGCGGCACTAGCGCATTGTGAAGAGAGGGGGAGCCGTAGGCATGATAGAAAGATAGCTGATTCTCGCCATTAACACGACTAATTACTCGGCTGAGGCCAAACCGTTTGGTACGTCCCTCGACGAGCAGTGTGTTGCGAGGCATTCCAATAGGCTTCTCAGTCTTGCGCCAGCTGTACCACTGTAACCATTGCCTCCGCCGCAATCTACAGGTGCATGAGAATAGAGGCATAACGGCCGGTAAAGCTTCTGGTTGGGCAGTGATGCGTGGCCTTCTGCCGTCCAGTAGTTTCTCATCCCGCTCGTAGCGTGCTTCTCGAGTGACACAACATATAAAGTCCATACGCTAGCCTTCCCTGACTGTTACACAACATCCTTCACGGCGGCATCTAGTCTTCTATTGGAAAGCTTATTACAAGTGCAGTCTAGCTCCCATACTTCCTGCAGCCGTACCGCCGAGGTGTTTGGCTTTGTGGTAAACCTTGTTCCTCTAATTAAGCAGCTGTTGGCGAGGGCGTTCATCGTCTTTGCCCTATTCCTAGCCGCTACATCTTTGCCATATGGCTTTCCGATATTAGATTCTCACAGTGTTTCCTGTGGCGCGCTAGTCTCGAAAGCGGATTCGCATCAGTTTCGATATGTCGCCGTCCAAAGCTTGAACACAGCTACTGGCCAAGTCTTCTCACCATTCGCTTTCGAACATGACATCAATCCGGTCATCCATCGGCCATACCTCAAGCATCTGCAGTATGTGGAAGCCACGGATCATGATCACTCAGCATCGATGGACTACTCACCGGTCCCTTTTGCCGCTCAGAACTTTGAAGCTATCTTGTCTGTACCCTCCACACCGTTAGCATCGTCCGACAACATCTCGGTTGACTGGATGGACACTCGAGCAACTAGTGTCTCAACAAACACGTCACCATATGATTCTGTCAGGGGTTCGATCACACCATCAGAAGGGCCGTACTTTGCCTGTCGCCTTTGCCGAGAGGAATTTTCTCGTCGTTGCGACCTAAAGTATGTGGTACATCCTTTCATGATCAACATCCTAGTTAACAGTGTCCCAGTAAACATGCCAACCGTATACACTACAAACGCGCTAAGTGCCCATATGAGGGTTGTACGCAAACGCCTTTTGGTTTCGAAGCAGACCTGCAGCGACACATCCAAGCAAAGCACAGTACGAAAGGAAAGACGGTGGTCAAGTGTATGGTGCACGGTTGCATGGAGAGTTTCTCAAGGAGAGACAACATGCTAAGACATATGAGAAAGAGACATCCTGAGGATTTGATGTGAGACAGTAACACTAGGGGCAGCAAAAATCCGTGTCGCATTTCTAAGGCCTACTGCATGTGTAGTATTTTATCTTAGTAAGTAAATAATCTCTGATATGATGTATACTGCTAGCAAGATAAACTCTTTGATGATGTTTTTAAAAATGCGACAGGAACTGTAGCCAACCCTAGTTACGGTAGTACGGCTAGCAACAAGTAACTTCATGAAAAGGTCATGTTTAATCATCGCTGTGTCCAATGCCTCATAAGCACTAGGACTAGTTGAAAGGCTACATGAAGCTCGGTATAACATTACGCGAGCTCAATACTAAGTTGAGCTTGTGAATATATTCAAGCCCGATCTCTGCCCCGAGGTCATGTTGAATCCAAGCAGTTTGTACCAAGCCTTTCGCTTCCAGTAAGCTATTCAAGTGAGGGCTTTGTTCCAGTCTCGTAAAGAAGTCAAGCATGACCATCCGCTCTTCGTCTGTATGAGTCTCGCAGCCGACGATGAACACAGCGAATGATGGCGGATATGTGTTCAGGCCGGCCAGTATGGAGATCGCATCTTTTTTCCAGCTGTCTAGCCTTGCAGATTCGCCTGAGAAGTTTCGAGATACACGCTCGAGGTAGATCAGGCCAGCTAGTCGGGTTAACTCTAGACAACGAGACTGGTCATCGTCTTCTCCGTCCTTGTAAATAACGTGATCAACCTCGCTCAGTCGAGTCTTGAGATCATCCAGAGACTGTTGATATTCCACCGAATGATATTGCGGGTCGGAGGCGTAAAGCTGTGTGTCTAAGACATCGGCGAGAAGTTGAACTACTGGATGAACGTATGTTGAGATAGCTGCCATATTTTTTGCAACCAATGTTCGAGCAATACGATATTGCATGACACAATGGGGGCTAGCACCATTGATGCCAAGCTCTTGCGAAGTTGCTCGAATCATATAGGTGCGCCAATGCCGGAAGCCAAAGCGCGTAAAGGTGACGAAGTAGTACAGCCACTCTAGCAGGACGGCTGCATCGCTGCCGATGTGGTATGCTTTCTGTTCGACAGTAGGAAGGACGTTTCTTGCGCCGCACAAATGACCTATCCAATCGCAGTCGAGATTTGTCTATGATTGTGACGGTAATGCGTTAGTGTCGTCCTTATCTTTTTCGGACGAGTACTCACTTCTACTAAACACAAAGTCAGACCAGTGGCAATATGCTCAATGCTGGCATCATGGTCCATTTCAGAGCTTGTGGCACTTATAAGCGCATCTATAGCTGCGTTCTTTGCACTAGCCGCATGCACCGCATCGTGTCCGCGATGACGTGAGGCCAGTGCAACAACCGATAGTAGCAAAGCCTTTGACGCTTTTGATCGACCGGATAAGGCCAGACGCAATAAAAGTCGTCCGACCGCTGTCTTCTCACGGCCCAGTGTCGGCAGGATACCGATCATAACTTTCTCAACTGCGACTAGTCAACATCGGGACAGTCATACCCCGTAAGAGGACATACAATACTGTATTAGATCCGCGTCGCTAGCAGTGATCATTTTCGGTACCGGAGCCATAGTCTGGGTAAGCCTAGGCAGTGCAAGCCTATATCTTTCAACATGCTCGCTCTTTACTAATCACATGTCAAGTCATGTCAACAGGTTGCTTCGAGACGCCGTACCTCCGCCTTTAGCATCTCTAGCAAGGATATGGAGGAGAACATCGGTCTGCGACACGTTGACCCATTGCTTAGTCCTCTGACGGCTTGTTGTGCGTTGCGTCCCCGAATTTGCGGACGCTGGCAGAGAGTTCTTTTGTTGATCCTTCTGGGACCATAGGAGACGAATGCCATAGCCACCACATGCTCGCTTGGACTTGGAACACTTGATGCATGCAGGAACAGTGCGGTCACACGAGACCTTGCGATCTACGAAGGATATTAACAAGGCAAACTACCCAAGACTTTACGAGATCAAGCGCTACCTTTGCATGTCCAACACCCCTTCGTCACAGTCATCCTAGATAGGTATCGTGTAGAGCTCGGGGCAGATAAAGGCGCGCACTGTTCGAGTAAGTGCTGCAAAGAGATCGTAACGCCGCATATTAGAAATCAAGAGTTCACGAGAGAAACACGCAAGCGAACAGCAGGCCGCTGGAAGTGCTAGGCGGGAGTTGCAGGTGGGAGATGGCCCAGCCCATATGGGCCCTAAAACGCTCCGCCCCGCACTTATCGACGAATCACACGTAAGCGACTCTAGCCGCGCCATACCAAAAATGGACGTGAAGCAACTATCTGCGAGCTCTTTGTCAGCCTCGTATACTGCCAAGCACACATCGTCAAGTCATCTCATGCAAGCCACAGGTACGATCCCTCTGGCGCATCCATCGCGGCAAGCTTAGTCGACCGCATATGCCTTCAAACAGAACTGTAGTCACAATCTGCGAGCTCAGTATCGTTGCTTACGAAGCTATGGTGGTAGAACGCTTCTGCCGCTCCAAAACGGAGGAATGGCATCGTCTCATAGTTTTGGTATAAAGGAGCTTGCTCAGCCTCGATAGTACCAGCATAAACTCACATCTCAGCATTAAACACTTCAGTCTACCAGACACTCAATCATCAACACTCTCAACCTTCAAAACACTCAATCTTCAGGACACTTCCATCTTCAGCATTCTTACTCACCAAATTAACATGCCTTCCTACCTCATCACCGGAGCCTCCCGAGGAATTGGCCTCGCCTTCCTTGAGAACATCTCCAGCAACTCCAACAACACTGTCATTGGCCTTGTCCGCAACGTAGCCGCCTCCGAAGCCAAGGTTGCCTCTTGGAACAGAAACAACATCCATTTCGTTCAGGGCGACCTCGAGGACTATGAGTCGCTAAAGAGCGCTGCCGCCGCTACAGCCAAGATCACCGGTGGAAACCTTGACTACCTGATCGCAAATGCCGGTTTGGTAGAGGGTGGTTTCGATTCTTTTTCTATGCTGTAAGTATTCCTGTAGGAATATATATTCGATTTTTCTAACACCATGATAGCGGAAAAGACCCAGAGAAGCTTACCGCCAGCCTAACCAAGTTGTTCAATGTCAATGTCACCGGCAACGTCCACCTCCTCAACCTGTTCATGCCCCTCGTTCTGAAGGGAACCGTCAAGAAGGTCGTCACCATCTCCAGCGGCATGGGCGACATGGAGCTAGTGCGCAAGTACAACATCTCCGAGGACGCACCCTACTCGATCAGTAAAGCGGCAGTCAGCATGGCCGTTGCGAAATTCAGCGCTGAATACGCCAAAGATGGAGTTTTATTCCTGAGCATGTCTCCTGGTGTTGTTGGCACGGATGTCTACGCCGATCTTTCGGAAGAAGACCAGCAAAAGCTTGGAATCATGTCGCAAAAGTTCGCAGCATATGCACCTGACTTCAAGGGCCCGATTACGCCAGAAGAGTCGGTCAAGGCTGTCTTGAGTGTTGTTGAGGCGTCCAGTGTTGCTAATGGAGATGGTGGTGCTTTTTACTCTCATCTTGGCAAGGGTGAGAAGTGGTTATAAATGAGTAGTAAGGTAGTCGTAGGATGGTACATAGACGAAGTTCAGTTAGTTTCTTCATTCGTCAATCCGATATTTACATGAGAGTCCTAACCTCTTCTCTTCCCCAACGTCTTACAAGCACTTTCCCGGAATGCTCGCAGTAGCGTTCTTAACAAAGCCATTCAAGAACCCACCACCACCACACTGCACCCCCTTAACGAAAGCCTTCGCGACCACATCCGCGCCAGCCGGGCTAGTATGCGTATGATCTTGTGGGAACAGCGCATCCACCTTCGTCTTACCCAGCGTCTTAAAGATATCCGCCGTATACGCTCCATGGTCCACATACATGGCATTGCTTCCCAGCGCCTTCGCCACATCCCTCGCATACCCAACGAACCTCCCCCCGTCCGTATACGAGAAACTACCTCCCTCCCACGGGTTGTTAGGCGTCTGACTGCTTACAATAACCTTAGCGCCCTTGGCAATAAGTTTCTTGCCCGCCTCAGTGAGGTAGTAAGGAAACGTGTGGACGGTAACCGCTTGGCCGTTGTACGTAGACTTGCACGTCTCAGATCCGGTGCCGGGGCAAACTGAGCGTCCGTTGTCGCCGCTGCCGAGACCGCCCCCGTCGTTGTGGCCGAATTCCATGATTACGACGTCGTTGGCTTTTACTAGGTTGACGATTTCGTCGAAGCGGCCTTCGACGGTGTAGGAGCGGGAGCTGCGGCCTCCGATGGCTTTGTTGACGACAGGGAGGGTGAGCGAGTTGGGGAGGAAGACGCCCCAGCCTGCGTGGGAGTTTGTTAGTCAAGGGTTTTGGTGTGGAAATGGGTGATGAGGTGTACCTGTAGTTACACCACTTGCTCGAGCCATTGTCGAGTCTCCGGCTAGGTATACGGTTTGCGCACGCTTGTCGACATGACCGCTTGGAGCACCCAAAACAGTCGCAGCCAGCGTAACCACCGTCAGTAGACTTGAAGAATGCATGACGAAGAAAATTATGATTTGATGATCTCTAAACAGAAATGTCAAGAGCGCTGAAGCCAAAACCACGTCCAAACACCCTACTATAAGCCGTACGACCAGCAGCCCTCACCTTCCCCATCCGTCTTCAACTCGACTAATCTTCCGCAAACCCCATCTCAGCACACTATCAGAAGCAACGAAGTACTACCGCGATCGACCCTGAAACATACTAATTAAAGGCTAAGTACCCCAGATTATATTACCTTGACTGCGGGGAGACATCCGGATGCGGGACCCCTTCCTACAAATAGAACAACATGTCAGGTCTCGTGGTAACCGGAGCCGGCACTTGCGGACGTCGTTTGGTGTAGATTGTTCCACCGGGGAAATACATGGCTGGGCGCGGATGAATTAGAGCCGAGGGGTACATCCGACGACGGGAGTGCGCGTGGCGGCGTGATGGTGCAGCTGTGGAGGCTCCATTATACTTCCGCTCGTGCGAAGGGTTCTGGTGAGTTAATGGTGTAGATGACGATGTGAGGATGGGTAGATCATGCTGGGCATGTATGTTACACATCGCGCTAGCGCTATGCGGGATATCTCTTTCCGAAGTGATCACCTTGACGCTAGCACATCGTGTTTGAACACCCAGACTTTGAAAGAAACACCCGTTAAAGCGCAGACATAGTAATGCAAAAGACGATATGATTCATGTATCTAATATTCGGCACATGAGGGGGTGGATGCCGTACTACAGACTCCGCGCCCCGGCACCTAAAGTGTATAATATCCCATTAAACTTTGCTCGACACGCCCACGCCAAGAGAGAAAAATCAAGACACCGAAGAGGACAAAGAAGAAGTATCAAAGTGGGGGCAATGCAAGAAGCGCACTGCCATGCATGCCAGATGTGGTGTAAACAAGAGAATGATGTGCTCGATGTGGTGGAAGAACGCCGTCGGGGGATGCTCGCGTCGAGTGTCCATATGCAATCGTCAAGGTAGGTGTGTGCTGAAGGAATGCTGAATGAGTATCGAGCCGGCCGAATGGTGTTGAAACATGACTGACGTGGCAATGCCAGTCGAAATATATACGAGATCCTGAAGTGAATGGTGTTTGCCACAAAGGCCTGCCTCCCTGTGTTGCTTAGCCAGGTCGTCGGAACGCTTCGACGTTCAACGTGGGTGTCTCGACTTGTCGGTTCGTCGGCACGCCTTCGTTCTTTCTCCTATCAAAGAAGTTCTGGCACTCGTGGCTGACAAAGGTCCATTCCGCGAGAGCACGACCGGCGTAGGTACTTGATGTTACAGCAGCGCCAGTTGGAGGGGTACTGAGGACGGGTTCCGTGTTGATGCCCTTTGCTTGTAGAAGGCTGTGTGCTGGCGCAGGAAGTTTCGGAGGTTGGAGGCGCATGTTGTGGTAGGTACCGAAGCGTTTGTCAACCCATTCTAGAGAGAAGCGGAAGTTGTACGTTCGATGAGTGGAAGGTGGCGGTGCTGGCGTAGATACGGGGGGCTGCGAAACCGCAGATGCATTGGTGGAGAGTGCCTCGGTCGACGAGTTGGCAGACGAGTTAGTAGACGATGTCTTGCTGCTATTCTCTTTCTCTTTGATCGATGCCGCAGGGCTCTTGGCTTTCGCAGTCTGCTTGGAGCCTCCACCAATGAGACTTCGCAGGATGTTCCACTTGCCCTTGCCAGGGTCTTCATCAGGAAAGTCGCTTGAATCCGCGGATAGGGCGGACGCAGGCCGGATCTCCGCTTCAGGGATGGTGGTGCTGGCAGGAGTTGGTTTTCGCTGATGGGGGTTTTGGACCACCCCGTCGAACGAAAGGAAAGGACCGTTGTTGGCCACAATAGGATTATCATTACGGATGATAAGGAAACGTCGACCTGGTGCAGGGTTGCACGCCTGCGTCGATGGGTACACGATCTGCTTACGCTCAGCTTCTTCTTGAAGCCAGAGGTAGTGAGACCAAATGGACCGAAGGCGGTCGCTCAAAGCCTTCTTAATGGCTCTGTTTCATTATTAGCATATATCATCATTATCAAGTTTCAAAGATACGTACACTTCAGTATCGGTCTCGTTTCCGTCATAGCGCGCAACCCGCCAGCAAATCAAACGCATAAAGTAAGATCGTACCATGGGACACCAATGGTTGAAGCGGCTCTCGAAGAAAGCTGGTTCCAGAAGAAAGTCAAGGCACAACCCAGCCTTTCTTCGCTCGTCCATAACTAGTGTGCACCAGCTACTGTAAAGGAAGGCATACAGCTTGATCTCAGTAGCTGTGTTGTGACTGGCGGCCATTGCCTTGAAGACAGTGAGCCAGAACGGCCAATCCATTACAGCGTGTTGATCACTGTCGTGCTGTTCGTAGCGGACCATGATGACAAGAGCCTCCTCGAGAAAGTCACAGAGTGTGTAACAGGCACTATTGTCGTATATCGAGATCTTACGCGCCTGCGCCTGTAGGAGACGAGCGAAACTGTCAGCGAACATGCGCCTGGCAATGTGAAGATGCGAGTTACGCTCAGAGAGGAAATCCCGAATTAGCATTATAAGTCGATTCTCTTGCATCATTCTTGTAGCATTCGCAGGTGGAATGGCGATACTCGATGCAGAAGCATCGGGTTCTAGAACGTCATCAAAGGTGATGTTTGCCGCGGTCGATGGATCTTCCTGCTGTTGCGGGGTAGCGTTCCTGTTGATAGTCGCATCGAGGTTGACCAAAATCTGGGCATGTACCATGATGAGTCCTGGCACACAGATGCGCTCCGCTTTGCTGGGCTCGACGGGTAGGAAATCGCTGACGAGAATATGGAAATGCTTGACAAAAACGTAGAAGAGGTCGCTCTCAGCACCAGACCAGCGCTTTGTCCAAAGACCGTACCAGTCAAGGTTCGCCATAGCGAGCGGGGGCAACACAGGCTTGTGTAATTGGCGCAGGAGTCGGTTGAGCGAAAGCAGCTTCAGCGAATGAAGCATGGGAGGGAAAGCCGCCACAACTCGATCAGAGACAGCATCTAGCCGATCAAGCTTGGACACACCAGACTCCTCCATGACGCGCTTCATCATGTCTAGAGATGGACCCCACAGGCGTACGAGAACGTCGGCCACGCCTGGACAGAAGCAAAAGGCGTACGCGCACGTCTTTCCGCAAAAGGTGACCAAGCTAGCTGCTGCGTTCCTCAACGACATCTTTTCCACGACAAAAGCCATCTGAGATTGTAGGTTCTGGGTAAAAATATTGCGAACGTTGTGGTAGACCGATTCGGCGAGGAAGTCGGAGTTGCCGGATGCGTTGGAGCTGGTCGTAGATGCAGACAGTGTCTCTACGCGGTCTGCAAGAGCACAGAAAGGGGAAGGATATAGTCTCCATTCAGGCCTCTCCATGACTGCGGCAATACCCTCCAGAATAACTGGGCGGTCCGTGCCAGAGATGGACTGGTTGTTCCGTCCTGCGACGAGTTCCAAGAGGCCGGTCCACCATCCATTGAGGATGTTCACTCGCCGATCAAGGTCTTCGGGCCTGAGCTTGTGATTCGATGGATGCGAGGAGTACTGTCGGAGGAAGGGCAATAGGGCAGTGCGGACGACGTTTGCTTTTAGGGAACTGGACTTGGATTGGAACCTGTTTTCTGTTAGCTCTGAATTCACTGTAGGAAGAGGGAGTCCTTACTTGCGCAGATCCCCGTCCAAGGTCCTGAATGCAGTCCATAGCTCGTCTTTCTTGCGGGGCTCCGTCTTGATGCCCTTGAGCTTCTCTGCAGATACGTTGCGTGGTAGTGGTGGAACAATGTGGGTCGGGCTGACTGGGTTGTGGTTCTGCGGGTAGTGGGGAAGCTTCTCTGTCGAGAAGGACTTGGGAACTGAGGGCAAGTTGGAAGCACTGCTCGACGCGGCGAAGAGACCACTAAGACGCTTGTTCTTCTTAGCGGCAGGCGCTGGTTGTTGAATTTCTTCCTTCACAGTGTCCCTGGCTTCGGACTCCTCTGAAATCCTGTCTGTGGTCGTGATTGTGGTTGTGAGTGTTTTCCGCTTGGCCGCCTCGGTAGTAGGCAGGGTCTGGTCGCCGAGACTCTTCTTCTTGAGCTTCTTTTCCTTGACCGGCGAAAGCGACTCATGCGGCTGCTCCTTCACAATCCATGACTTCCTCCGCAGGTTGGTCAAGGACCGTGAAGGGGAGCCAGCGGGCGAGTCTGATTGTTTCACAGCGTCGGTCCGGCCCCGTTCGGCCTTGCGGTCGGTCTTGCGTTCAGCGGATGGCTCTCTGCTCCTGCTGGAGAAAGGGAGAAATCGCGAGGAGCGACGCGAGAGGTTGTTGGGCCTGAGTTGCGGCATTTCCACGCCAGGGAGTTCGGGAGCCTCTTCTGAGGAGGGACTCGAGCCACCCGAGTGGCTTTCAGATGTGCGCTCTTCGCTCTTGCCGGTTTCGACATCGTCGTCAGAGCCTCCCCTCAGTTCCACCACGGGGGGCTCGTGGTCCAGATCCTTGACCTGGGGGAAGTACGTGTACGAGGCGGCCTTGGGAAGCTGGGCGCGCTCCGTATGGCTGGGGGGCTGCGGACCAGGACCAACCTCTGAGGCGGCTCTGCTCCTGCCTCGAATGGCATTCGCGAGGGAGTAGTGGCCGCGAGGAGCCGAAGCAACGGCGATGGGCATAGTGACGGGCGGGTTGGACGAGGGCGAGGCAGCAGGAAACAGCCGGGGATTCGTAAAGTTTGACGTGTTCCAGAAAGTTTACGGGCTCATGGCGGTGAATTGGGACGGTTGCGGCGTTGTGCTGTCAGGCGGGCCGTTGTGCAGCAGGCAGTGAACGGGCAAAGGTGCAGTATACTCCAGTCGGGGGCGCGCGAAGACGTCACAAACGAGGCTGTGGTACCGGAAGCGAACGGCAGCCGCTCAGAGGACGAGGGGGACTGCAAAGCGAGTGGAATCTGCTGCGATAGGATCGGGCAGTAAGTTCAGTAGCGACTGGCAGGCCTTGGGTTAGAGATTCCGCGCTCACTGACGCCGCTGGGGGCAGGTTGAGAGCTATTACTTTGACGCTTTCGCAAGCGGACGAACTGGGGCTAGCAGGGGTTGTCGCCTGCGCAGATCGCGTCGGAGCGATAATAATTCTATATTAAAAACGGGCGTATTCTTGGTATCATTTGCCTTTCGTCTACTGACCCGCGCCGCACCGTTTCTTTACATTTCCACGCTGGGAGGAGTACGAGCTTTAGCCCGCCACCCACCGCCAGCATGACGCCTTTCGGATCGTCGCAGCTGGCATGCCTGTCTGTGTGACGGTGCTGCGCATCTGATGCAGCGACACGGTCGGGGCAAGATGCGTCTGCTGCGCGGTGGGCCCCCGGCGAACCAACTTGTTTTTTCGCGACGTGAACTGTGAACACTGCAATCTCTCGCTGCCGTAATCTCCTGGCCGGTCCCTAGACATATCGCAGACCCCAGTACCTTACGGCCTCGTATAACGGCTCGAGTCTCTTGAGCTATCTTAACGTCTTGCTTGCCAGTCTACACTTCCAATACGGCTCACTACCGCAGACACTGGTGGACAGGTGCTAGTGCCTCAGGGTCAACCGAAAAAAAGTCCATGGGACGCATGGCACTAGGACGTCGATATGCAAAGCCGCAGATGCAGATGGTGCGATAGGCGACCGTGCCTGCAGCTACTGGGGCAGACTCCAATTGCGAGGCTCCTTCAGACCCACGCGTATCCTGTGCTTCGTCCGAAGTTCCGAACCGTGAGCATTGTCGGAACGGGACATGCCAGCCTGACGACTACTGTGTAGTGCACACGAGAGTGCGCAGCCCGGCTTATCTGAGGGGCCACGGTCGCTGCAGTCGCGTGTGCATGTGTGTAGCGATCATCATTCCGCGCATGCTTGTCGGAACAACGTGCATCAAGTCGGTCAGAATGCGACGCGTCGTGTGTGAATGCCATCTGAGGTAGGATTAGATGCGACATTCAGTCTCTCGTTACAGCCTGGCACGTAAAAGCAATCGGGCTGCTGCCAGAACCTCATGACGATCCTGGCACCCCACAAATCCCTCAATCCCTAACCCCTCGAGCACCCCTCTCCTGAACGTATGCCAAGTGCTAAGGTACTTGCTTCTCAAACAGCAATGCACATGCACAAAAAGTACACAGTTCAACAGCTGCGAGCCCCTCTTAGTTCCCAGAACATCAGCACGAGCACGGATGCCAGACCCTGAGCAGGCTAGTTGTACAACTCCCACGTCTCACGTATTTGTAGATCACGGTCCGCAACGAGTCAAAAAGAATCATATCCGCGAGCAGCTTAGTTCACCTTGTTGAGACAAAGACTGTGGTTTCGAACCAAGGCACTCAACCAACTAAGCTTAGCATCGATAGTCATAGCTTTATTTGTTCGTGAACCCCCACGTTGAACTCATAGTCACATCACGTGATTCACATGTTGCCGAACAGAGCTCCCGTTGGCTTCATCGCTCAATGGTATTGACACAGTCGCTAGTGTTTTGATACATGATCTCCCTCACCCGGCAACGCTCTTCTAATGGGTGGCACCGGCGGTGGTAATGCTCTCATCCTCCTCCTCGAACCAGTCCTCTTGCGGGAGCACAGCGTCGTCCTCGCCCTGAGCGCCCTCAACGTCAACTGCCTGTGTCTCGTATGACTTCAACTCGTTCGCAATGTCGGTCTCCTCGGGGGATGCGGGGGCCTTGGGGACGGTGAACTTCTGGACGTGGGCCTCAGCATCGGATGCCTTGACTTCGGGGACCTTGTAGGCCTTGAGCTCGCGGAGGTAGAGGTCCTGCACTAGGTCGGCTACGGCACCAATTGAGTCAGTACTGTCGCATCTTCAAGCATTCGGGATGAATCACCTGATCGGACGGCCGAGGGAGTGATGAAAGTGCGGCGAGCGACAAAGGCAGGTTGCTGCCGGGCAACGCGGACAAGCGCCTGGCGCTGTAGCAGGTCAGTATGTGTCCAGATTCCACCAGCAGTAGGAGCGTACCGAGGCCCTGATGGATTGCGCGATCATTGTGTAGGTGTAGTGACGTGGGGAAGCTGGCAATGGGAGCTACAGTGAAGGTCGATGTTGGGGAAAAACCGTGGACCGCCGCAGCTTGAGCGGCCACCCAAAACGGTTTAGCGTTGTGCCAAGCCTAGCAATGGTTGCCTGCGCGCCGAACTACAAGATCGTGCTCGCAGACTTTCCTTCAGTCTCGCAGCCTGTCTCATACCACCACACTCGCACATCCTGCTCCAGCCCGGACGCAGCCTACAAGTGTGTCGGTCGACCGCGCGCAATAGCTAGATAACGAAATACACTCTATAGCTTACCCGCAACTGCTCGAACATGTCGTACGCCCCCGATGGCCGTCTGCTGTCGCCTGGCGAGGTGTATGAAGCTGCACCCGCACTCGTGAAAGAAGAGGAGTGGCAGGAAGACCTGAACGTTGCCATGATCTGCCCCGACTGCAAAGAAAACCCTCCCAATCTAGTCGAAGAGTTCAGCGCTGGCGACACCATCTGCGGTTCTTGCGGTCGCGTACTCGCAGAGAGGACTATAGACACGCGTTCCGAGTGGCGCACCTTTTCCAACGACGGCAAGTACTTGCCTGCTTGTCGGAGATGCAAGTGACACACATGCTAACACTGCGCCCTGTATCTAGATCAAGGAAACGACGATCCCTCTCGTATCGGAGACGCCGCGAACCCCCTGCTACACGGCTCTCAGCTCCAGACTGAGATCAGTTTCGGTGACGGCGGTATGAGGTCCAGGGACTTGAGCCGCGCACTTAACAAGACCAACCACGACAAGGTCAACAAGGCGCTGCAGGCCGCGTATGGACAGATCTCAGCGCTCTGCGATTCACAGAACATCAGCCGCCCGACTGCTGAGACGGCCAAGATGCTGTTCAAGATGACCGACGACGCAAAACTCTTCAAGGGCAAATCACAAGACGCTATCATCGCCGGGTGCATCTTCATAGCCTGCAGAAAGCACGACCAGCAACGCAGTTTCCGCGAGATCTTCAAGATGACCAACGTGAGCAAGAAGGAAGTTGGCCGTACGTTCAAGGTGCTTGAGGCCTTCATACAAAAGTCACAGAATAACGGACCTTCAGTTGCAGGAAATGGTGCTGTCATCGATACTGTCAACCTTCTCAACCAGAAAGGAGGTACCACAGCCACCAGCGCCGCAAGTCTTATGCCCCGTGCCTGCGCCAAACTCGCCCTTGGAACACAAGTCCAGATGGTCGCAGAAGAGTGCGCGGATCAGGTCGCCCACTACGGAGTTGCAGCCGGACGCTCCCCACTCTCTATCGCGGGCGCCTGTCTCTACCTCGTCTCCCACCTCATGGGTCAGCCAAAATCGCCAAAGGAGATCGGCTTGGCTGTCGAGGTCAGCGACGGAACGATCCGTACAGCCTACAAGCTCATGCACTTGGAGCAGGACAAGCTCATCAAGGAGGAATGGATCGCCAAGGGTGGCGATCGCTCCAGGATTCCGCAAGCATGATTTTTTTGTACTGTCTTATTCTTTCCGTTCAAGTATGCATTTACACGGTAGGGCATTGCGACGGAGTTGACCAAATTGGGGCTTGATTATCAGTATTGCAAGCACGTTTTCCGCATTCCATTCAAGGAAAAAAATATTGCGAGGCCTACATTGACACTAGGTCTTCTCTTTTGCTCATTATCATCCTAATGTAGGCTTCAGGCCTGTCTAGTTTCTTCCTTGTATGGAATGCCACCTCAAATTGCTTTCGGCAGCAACACATGATACCCAATAGATAGGAAGACATCGAAAAAATTGAAATGGCGTTGGTTTGAAGAAAAAAATGGTCCCCAAAATCTACATTGCTCTCGCAATTGTATAAGCGCCTGTTTCTATGCTGATGTAGACTGCAGTATACCTGTTCGGTTTTCCTCCTTCTGTGAGGTTTTTCCTGTTGTGCTGAAGCGGCCTTTGTAGTTTGGTACCAGGGAGTTTAAGTAAGCACTGTTGAACGGATATTACCAGTACATTGTCCCAATGACAACGGCATCTGTTCCGCGACTGAGACTTCCAAAATACCACCCAGACGGTGACACGTTTTCTGTCCGTATGGTGAGAACAAGATTGAAGTTACTGTATTCCTCAAACTTAGGAGAGCCTGCGAAGAGTCATGGTCGTCACCTTCGACACTAGGGCCCGTAGTGTCTGGGACTCCATACGATACTCAAGTGACTATGATCGCGCGCATTGTTCGTTTCTACCCCTCCGGAGAAACCCGATCGACGCATCTACAGCATTTCGTGAAGCCGTAATGGATGCTCTCCCAAAGCCACTTCATTACAATGAGACCCTGAGAAGGGCCCGAACGAAGAAGACAAGCAGAAAAGAAGGGTATCTCGCACTCCCATAAAACCACACATGTCCCCTTCCTCTTCCCCGTAAAGCTCTCCTCTCGTTCATCCTCGAGCTTATCAGCAGTTACTCCCATTCTGCTCCTCTCAGAGCGTCCCACCTCATCCCATCCCTTCCCAACAACCTCGGCAACCTTCCCAACCATGAAGTCCACCGTCCATCTGACCATGCTCCTGAGCCTCACCCCCCTCGGTACCTCTGCCACATACGTCAAATTCATCAACCACTGCCCCTACAACATGTATTTTTGGGCCGTCGGCCCCCCAGCCTCGAACATTGACGGCAGCAACGCCTTCTGCAGCATGGTGCCCAGCCACGGCGGCTCCGTTATCCATGGCATGATTGACACAGAGAGGCTGGGAGGAGGGATTTCCTTGAAGATGAGAGATCTGCCGTACTATGCTGTTGCGCCTGCGGGCATCATTCAGGTCGAGTATCATCTTGAGGGGAGCAAGGGGAAGATGTGGTATGATCTTAGTGCTGTAGATTGTGATTTGAGGGTTGGGCCGGAGAATCCGAGGTATTGTCGTACGTGTTACCGTTTTTGGCGAGGAGAATTGGACTGACAGTGCTTTTAGCGCTCATTCGCGGTGGTGTGAAGCTCTACATTCCCAACGTACCCAACAAAAAGACTTGCCCAAAGGCGTACTGCAATAAGGACAAGTGTTGGAATACTTATGTCAGCCCGGGTGGGTTCCAAGACGAGCCGAGCTTCATGTGCTGGGCGGGTGCTGATATCTTTGTCGAGACTTGTAAGTCCGATGATATGTTTGAACGTCTTTGTTTGAACAGTTGCTGATGATCGATTGCAGGTACCGACAGCCCTGGAGTCCAAACGTTCTTTGGCAAGGAGCCAAAGGCTGCTGATTCCGTTCACCAGGCCATTCCTGAACAGGTTGTGCAGCCCCCTATCATCTCTCCCAATGGCCTCATTATCTCACCAAATGGTCAATGTAAGTCTTCCACCCACCTACCTCAACCTTCACACATCGCTAACCACATTCCATCAGGCGGCGGCACCACTGGCTTCACCTGCAACAGCTCGCAACACGGCGCCTGCTGCAGCCCCTACGGCTACTGCGGCGACACAGCCGCTCACTGCAACCCCGGCTGTCAATCTCCCTTCGGCTACTGCCATGATATATGGAAGATTCCTCCGATTCACCCCCGTGTTGCGGCCCCTGAGCGGTCCATTGTCACAAAGATTGCAAACGCCTTCACTTCGACGACCACTGCGACCGAGACCGAGGTCGATTGTGACACGGTTAAACATACTGTTACGAAGGTTGTGAAGGCCACGATGAAGCCGGGTGCGCAGTTTACGCCTCCGCCGCTGAGGAGGAGGTTTGCGACCATGTAGATCACGGCTGGTGAGATGGCTTGCTTCAGGTGCTTCTGCATCTTGATGGAGGAACCTGAGGTTTAGCAGGCTTGTTTACACTGAAGCCGATCCTCGGTCTGACTATGTTGGGTGCAGGCGGGCATGGCTAGAAGGGCTACGGAGGGTCGGGTGATTCCGAAGGCGTTGAACGGCGCTTTATACCCCTCTGAGCGATTTGGCGCTGGTTGGTTAGGCAGATAAATGGAATGAAAAATGTTGTTGAACACTGCTGCGCTTGATGAGTTGTGGGCGATGTCTGGTGATGGCGGCGATACCTATTCTTGCCACCTTGGTTCGAGTGAATAAGAGCCAACTGTAGCATTGCCGATGAATGATTAGTACGCAAAACTTTCGACAGCGTCGGAGCAAAGCTGCTTTCACGGTAGTGATGTTGATGTTGATGCTGCGTGCACCTCCCAAGGCAATGGACGGAGCACTAGCGCGCCGCACCCCTGCTCGCCTAACTAGCGCACTTTGCAAAATTGCCCACCGTTCGCAGCTGCCCTCACGCATCGCCAGCGACAACTCCATCTCCGAACGCCCAACCCAGCTCTTCCGCACACCGAACGACCGACTCCCGTCGAACTTCACAACCGCACAAAATGGACTCTGCTAAGGCCCCCGTCAACCTCGTCAAGGTCACCCGTGTCCTTGGCCGAACCGGTACGCGAACTTTCCGAATACCCCGAACTTTTCTGCAAGACGAGCGCATACAACAGTCGGGGGATGCACAACGTGAGAGAATGGCAGGCTGACGGATAATAACAGGCTCCCGTGGTGGTGTCACCCAATGCCGCGTCGAGTTCATGAACGACCAGACCCGTTCCATCATCCGCAACGTCAAGGGCCCAGGTACGCACGCTCTGCCTGCCTGCTGAACCAACCCCCGCATACTAACTGGGAAATCACAGTCCGCGAGAACGACATTCTCTGCCTGCTCGAGTCTGAGCGTGAGGCCAGGCGTCTGCGATAAGCGCAAGCAAACTCTCGGGGAAAAAGGGAAAGCGGCATTTTCTATTCGGTTACCGGAGTTCTTTGCGAAAGCTATGGGCATCTATACGGACTTCACGAGTATGGACAATATGATGGCGTGGTAGTTGCTCTTGCAGCGCTGCGAAGGAGGGGGATGGAGATGATGGATCTGTGGAGACCTACGATTACGACGACATATCAAGAGTCTGGGTTCTCTCCCTGAATGAATCGAAAATCTACCAACTCCCAACGAGCATCGCGTGGATGTGGATGTGATATATATGACGGCTGCTTGCAGGAATTGATAGGAATGTCGGAGATGTTGAATGAGGACTGACTCGATTGCAGGCATGTCTTGTGAGTGTTCGGCCGGTTTAAAGTCCTACTGACGCTCGAGCCACTAGGCATGCTTTCGCTCTGAGTCAAATGATAACCACCTTAGATGATACGCGACATCACGGAACGGCGTTAATGGAACCGTCTGTCAGCTTTACTGACACATACTGACAAGTGATTAGATTGAACAACTCTACAGTCACGACTGCCTAAACTTCATCATCGCCAGAACACTTCGCATCTCGCATACTCTCATTGCTGCAATAGTACTATCTCACAGTGATGCCCTACTACCTTGACTGTCATTCCTGTGGAGCCATTCACTGAAGCTGTAAGAGACATGTTTAAGGCAATCGTGAATCTGCCAGGTTCTACCGTCACTCTTATGACGAAGGCCCAATTGAGCACTCACCCTCACTGTTGCTCTTTCTCATTCCCCTTGCCTATACGCACAGCAAACGTTCCACTGTCAATACAGTCAACTTGCTAAGCTTCTTCGCTATCCCAGTACTCTTCGATCACCACCATGAAGGATAGCGACGCAGAAAAAACACTACGTGATGTACTTGCAAGGTCACACCCGAAGGCTCCTACACAACCCACGTTACAGCACCCGGAGAGTATCACACCTGTAGCATCCCCATCAGTAAACGCACAGGTATGTAGTATTCCACTCAAACCACTAGATTTGGAATACCCACGCGTTGGGGTATCTGGAAGTTCGCAATCATCAATATTGGTGCCAGCACCTCCAAGCTCGCCTAAGTCCATCTTCGGATCGGGTCTCTTTGGATGTTCGAGATCAGCTTCAAGGAAAAATCTACCGCGCTCACCGAGCAACAGTCAAAGTGAAGGCTTCTTCAACTCCCTGTTGAGTCGTTACACGGCAGACTATGGAGAAGATGGAATTGAAGACCAGGGCCACACTATCGCAGCATCAAAGCATGGCCAGTCAGTAGCTGTAGACTCGACCGCATTGTTATCGTCAAGCTCTTCGCACTATGTGGTGGGAAGTTCTATGAGCATGCTTCCAGGGCTAACATCGATCTTTCACTATGGCTCGCCTTCCAAAGTCGCTGGGGGGAATGCGCTGTTACGCGCTCGTACTCAAGATAGCATCAGTGCAAAAGACAATGATTTTGAGCATCGAAAATACTTGACCTCCAAGATGAGCAAGATCGCTCCGAGTTCACCGAAAATGCCATCGCCACGACCTGCCTCAAGACGCATTCGGACAATCAGTTGGGCGGACCAGATTCCAAAGCAAGCCGCAGAGTCACCGCCACCATCATCTGATCCCGATGTTGGGGGAGTGCAAACAAAGCACAGCTCCGAAATCGTACCACTGTTTGTGCAAGAAGACCTCGATAGCTCCCCGAGCAGCTCGACACTCTCCCTCAACTCACCTTTCTCTTCTAGCCCGCACCTCCCTACACAACCTCGCACACAACAAACCGACATCGCTAACATTATGCCAACTAGTCTCCACGACCTCTCTCCATTTAAAGGCAAATCCCTCTGGGAACCCGACGACGATGAATGGGCTGAGCTAGACGCTACCCACATCTCCTCCACTTTCAGAGCGACCTTCAAAGACTCCAGTCAAAACAGTCCGCAAAATCCAACAAACACCAGCACTCTATTCCCCTTCAGCGCCACACTGGCCTTCTTCCTCCCCTCCTCCTCCACAAAACGCGCTTCCGACGCCGTCCTCCGCGAAGAAGAAGCCCTGCGAAACAAATTGGATGAACTGCAAAATACATACTACTCCAACCCCGCCGGAGACCTCTGCGACAAAGTCATGACCTCTGTTTTCCTGCCTGGCTCCCAGTACTTCCACTATGACAAAACCGGAGATTTCGTCCGCGCTCCCCACGTCATCGACCTTGAGGCCTACTTCAATACTCAAGACCCGCTGGTCGGAGCCGCGTACCCGCGTCTCAGCGACGCTATCGCCACGGTCCTCAGTCACGCTGATAGAGAGTGTGTAGAAGCTTTTCTGGACCCCCGGGTAGACGAGTTTGTGTATCGGCGAGAGTTGGATAGGAATAAAGCGGGGAGTATTTTGGTTGTTAGGCGGAAGGGAAATGCGGTTGTCGTAAGTCCTCCCTGCATATCCGACATAACATATTATAACAACTACGACTACGACGAGGATAGAGACAAGGCTAACAGATACAACAGGCAGGCACTTACCGCAACCTAGGTTTCTCCCTCTCCTGGACCCTCTACGTCAAAGCCATGATCGGCGCAACAGGACTATGGTACGACACTTACGCGTCACCCGTAGCAGGCTCGACACCGATCGTCGATGGCGTACCGGCTTGGGACACTTTCATACCCATTGGCACCGAAGACCCATGCCTCCAACTGTCATCCGAGCCCAACCCGACTCAGCCCAACAGATCGCCCAGCAAGATTGTCCTAGCCATTCCTAGTCCGCAGAAGAAAGAGGTAGAGGATGAATATGATGACATTAGTCCGACGAATGAGAAGTTTGTGCTGTATCAAAGTAGGACGCTTGCGAGGTATCTATTGAGGGATGTTTGGGTTCGGTTCGAGGGGAGGTGGGAGTGTAAGGCTACGTGGGAGGTTGATGGGGTGGGGAAGGAGGTTAGACTGATGAGAACGTTGGTGGGGTTTGGGGAAGAAGAAGATGAGTAGTACTTTGCTTCGAGTATGAGATGTGTTACACGGAGATAGCGTCGCTTGATGAGACGGGTGATCCTGAGCATGAGCATCAAGAGCTGGTCGATAGAACAGAAGTTCATAGGTAAGCAAATTAGTCACATTTGGAGCGGAGAATGAAGAAGTTATCTAAGAGGTAGAAGACTTTTAGAATTCATAATCTATAAAAAACCGAAAACCCAGAATCCGTAGACCCAGTTGTATAGTAAACTCGTTGATCTATAAGAGTGATTTGCAAGCTTCGCTATGCAAGGATATAAACCCGAAAAAGAAACGCCAGAGAAATGCTTATGTACAAACGAACAACGACCACAGAAAAAGCAGAGCTTTTCATCGTACCGTCATTCCAACCATCAACCCACTTAAGCAATGGCAGAGACACCACCCTCAAGGTTGACAGGGTTAATCTTCTCGTCGAACTTGAACTTGAACTCCTCACCAAGCTCCTTCTTCATAGCAGTAGTAACAGCCTCGAAGACGTTCTTGAAGACACCGAAGGAAGCAGGGTTCTGCTCGTCGTTGTCACCACCCTGGAAGACACCAGTGCGGACAAGGCAAGTGTTCCAGCCGTACATGTTACCACCGACGATGTCGGAAGCGGGGTTGTCACCAATCATGTAGATGTTGGCAGGCAGCTTCTCGTCGTTGTGGATAGTCTCCATCCAGCTGGCAATGACCTCGTCGGCGTACTTGTAGGTAGCCAATTCGGGCTTGCCGTAGACGACACGCTCGAGTTCGACGCCGGTGAGCGACTTGTACATGGCCTCGAGACCAATGCGGAAGGCACCCTGGGACATGCGGGGGAAGGGGTGCTCGGTGGGGCACAGCATGTCGCCCTGGGAGAAGTAGATGGGGATGCGCTGGGAGACGGGGTCCTTGGCGCGGGTTCCGAACTTGCCGTTCTCAGACTGGAGGAGGTCCATGATGATCTGAATGTCGGTGGCGTAGTCACGGCTGTCGGAGAAGACCATGATGGCTTCGATGTTGACCTTGCTGAAGTCGCGGGGGCGGGAAGTCTTGCGCTCCTCGTCGGTGAAGACACGGTAGGGGGCGATGGTGGGGTCCCAGGCGATGATGTCGTTGGGGACGACAATGTCTTGGAAGCCGTATTGCTCAGCTACCTCACGGCACTTGTAGCCCTCACCGCCGACGACGAGGACGGTCTTGTAGTACTCGGCCAAAGCACGCATGGGAGTGTGCGACTGGATGAACTGCTCGGTCGAGATGGGGTTGTGAAGGATCTTGGAGAGCTGGTCGACACGAGCTTGCTCGGGCTTACCGGAACCGTTGGTAAGGAAGATGTGGGGGATCTTGATGCCGAGCTCGTTGTCTCCGTTCAGGATCTCGAGGACGCGCTGTCCCTCGGGGATCAGACGGTCACCGTGGACGAGGACACCGTCAATGTCGAAGACGAATGCCATGTCCTTGGCGGCGCGGACCTTCTCGCCAGCGAGATCTTGAAGCTGGGCAGCGATGATGTCGCGAGATGGCTGGATCGGGGGCATGCCAGGGCGGACAGCGGCACCACGGCCATCGGGGTAGTGAACAGACGATAGCCTCGACTGCCTCTTGGAGCGGGGGATGGGCAGGGAGGTACCGAAGGAGTTGCGGGATCCTCTCCTCTCCTTCATGGAAGGCGAGAGGGAGAGGTTGTGCATGTAGTTGGTGGTGTCGGCCATGGCACTTCGGGTTGCTGGGACTTCGACAGTGTTGTCGGTGCCATCTTGAGGATCAGCTGGGATGGGAAGCTCGACGTTCTTGTTGGAGGTAGTCTGAGCGAGAGGAGTCTCGTTCTCAACAGCGGAGGGAGACATGATGATGGTAGTTGAAGTTGGGATAAGAATGGGGTATCAGTCAAGAAAGTAGTAGTGTCAACTTCTCAGAAGCTGAATGTGAAGATGTGGAGTGTGTGATGATGAAAGAGCAGTCTCAGGGTCCTGGGGGAGGGGCTATATATCATATCACTCGTCACAGTGACAGGCAGCGACTTTCATTAACCCCAGATGCCATCATCATTCGCCAATCTCTTCTGGAAACTTTCGCAGGAGCTTTTCGCTATCCCGATTCAGGCCGGTGACACCAACCACGTTCTGGCACCCAGAGCGTTCAACAAGTACCTCTGTACCCACAGCGCGACATCATTACACTGCTGTAGTGGCCGTGCATAGCAGCACTAGTGGAGAAGTTTGCTGAACCAGAGAATGAGAACTGGATACCGTCACCGCCGTATTATCGCCGAAAACTGGGGACCGATAGCAGCGTAGTGCTGTGAGTCGCCACAACACCTGAAATGCGCGTTGTATACCCTTGGCCGATGCCGTGAAAGCTTAGCGCAGAGCCTCATTTGACCGGATGCAGAGCGCGGCCGGAAGATAAGGCACGGTACACCGCCTGTCAAAGGTGGTTGGCGTGCATACACCAAGTATGCGACATGTGGGAATCAGTAGAAACGAGTGTAGCAGAGTGTAGATGGTGCAGGTAGCTTGCAGACTGCCACGGCGGTACTTGCAGCAGCATGTGGGAGTGACGAAGGATGGGTGGGGCGAGGTAACCGCGGCTCGCCGAATTAGGGCGAAGGCAGCTAGTGATCTGCTTAAACGAGTGGCTGACAACGGCAGAGCCGCACGACTATTGGGACTACATCGTTCCACATTTTCACCTGTACGAATCTCAGGTCGGCAAAACTTCCGCGCCAGAAATTAAAATGGCAGCGCTCGGCCCGTGCTGTGGACCCTGAATCCACCGTCGACGTCATGGCTGCTGATGCAGACCAACTCTGAGGGTCTACGTGAAACTGTTGGATGGGACTATTATGGAGTTTTTTCGCAATGGGACCGATGCGTACGAGATGCTTCTGCGATCGGAATCTCTCGGTGTGAGGTCACGGCCGGCAACGTGGTTGGGGACTGTCCGAGCAGACGGGCGATGATGAAAGAGCGAAGAGATTTCAGACCAACCAAGGTTACGCTGGATATATGTAGCTTCATAGTCCCAGCACGCGCTGTTGCCGCTGTTAAAACATTTCAAAAGTTACTTGACCACTTTCATCTTTACTCTGCATTTTCAAGATACATTTTCAAACTTCAAGAATTACAAACACCGCAAATATGGCTCCCCTCGCGAACCAGAAGACGTTCAAGCTTTCCAATGGCGTCATCATGCCAGCCGTCGGATTCGGCACCTTCGCCAGCGAAGGCGCATCGGGCGAGACCTACGCCGCCGTAATGACCGCGCTCAAGACTGGCTACCGCCATCTCGACTGCGCGTGGTTCTACCAAAACGAGGGCGAAGTTGGCGACGCCGTCCGCGATTTCCTCAAGGAAAACACCAACGTCAAGCGCGAGGACCTTTTCATTGTCACAAAAGTATGGAACCACCTGCATGAGCCCGAGGAGGTCAAGTGGAGTTTTGAGTCTTCGCTGAAGAACCTGGGCGTCGACTACATCGACGCGTTCCTCGTCCACTGGCCCATTGCCGCGGAGAGCGACGACAACCACATGCCCAAGCTGGGAGCTGACGGCAAATACATCATCAAGAAGGAGCTCACCGAGAACCCGGAGCCAACATGGCGCGCCATGGAGGAGATTTACAACTCGGGCAAGGCCAAGGCCATCGGAGTTTCCAACTGGACCATCCCCGGCCTGAAGAAGCTGCTCAGCATCGCCAAGGTCAAGCCCATGATCAACCAGATCGAAGTCCACCCCTTCCTCCCCAACACCGAGCTCGTCAAGTACTGCCAGGAAAACGACATTCTCGTCGCCGCCTACTCCCCGCTCGGCTCCCAGAACCAGGTTCCCAGCACCGGCGAGAAGGTCCGCACCAACCCCAAGCTCAACGAAGTTGCCGAGCGAAGCGGCTACGACCTTGCGCAGGTTTTGCTCGCATGGGGTCTCCAGCGCGGCTACGTTGTCCTGCCCAAGAGCTCCACCCCTAAGCGCATCGAGAGCAACTGGCTCATCCCCGAGCTGAGCAAGGCCGACTTTGACGCCGTCGAGGAGGTCGCCAACGGAAGGCACACTCGTTTCGTCAACATGAAGGACACCTTCGGCTACGATGTCTGGCCAGAGGAGACCGACGGTGGTGAGCTCAAGGCATAGAGCGGGGCGATGAGATCACGATGACACGGCATATTTCGATATTTTGTTTTTAGCGATACCAAAAGTCAACGGGAGACTTATTTAGATCAGCTCATGGAGCAATGAATCGATCGTAAGATTTATTATGTCATGTCTTCGCATCTTTGCAGATCATTGTGATCGTGAGTTCGTGTGTTCGCGTGATATGACGCGGTTTGTAGGCGTTCCCCCGCACGCCCAGACCAGACCCCCGGTGCACTACCATAAGGCCTATACACAAACATAAGTATGCATGGAATCTTCGGGCTGCCTACCCAAAAATACCTGCGAACCAGTCGCGGCTATTTACAATTGATGGAATGAAGGGGTTGGTCAAGTCAGGACCAGGCGATCCAATAACCGCAGATTTTCCTGTTCCCTGCGTGCTCTCCTCTGTTCTTCCTTTGGCGGCTCAATGACTGCTTCTTTCGGTAGAACAATATCAGCGAAGTGATCCTTTGTGAACTGCATCACGATCTGCGCTTCAGCGAAATTCTCCTGCTCCATTAGCTGCCGGGCAGTCCCTAAGCAGAGCTGGACGAGGAAATTCCGTCGACTCCGGGATGCTTCAACGAATCTGACAGCGCCGTCAGGATTCTGAACGAAGTGAAGCCCAGGACCTGTGCTGGGCGCCGAAGGGTGATGTAGCCAGAGCATTGATTCGACTGCTGGACTCCATTCCCCGAGCCACCGTGGCGTTGACAACAGGAACAACTGATACAACTCGGGTTCGAGCATATCGTCGGTATTGGAGATGATCCGGTTCACCAGGTGGCCACCCGCGGATCTTAGAATATCATAAGCTGCTTCGTGTCCGGCATTCTCCACAAGGCGGAAGGCCTGCATGAACGTAGCCAGACCGCTCGCTAAGCTGTTGTCTGCCGCGAATACAACCATCTTGGCCAGTAGTTGTTGTCTGAAGGTCGCTATACGTGCCACGTCCAGCCCAGTCTCCTTGACGCGTTGTTCGTTTGGCCGGATAAACCAACGCCAGAGTGCCGTGGTCTCGCCTTCAGCCACGAACAGAGCCACCAACTTGTCCAGGAATTTACTGCCACGTCCGGTTTTCAAGATGGACATGTCGAGAAATTGCTTCGAGGTATCCGAGCCACTGGTTCGGAGCCATTCGGCGAGTACAGTTGCGGATGATCTGCCATCCTTGAGTGACGAGGTTTGGCTTGTAGTCTTCTCAAGGAGCTCTAGGCACATGGCTGCCTTTGGTAGAGTGGCAGAACCTGCAGCTATCTCATCGACGAACCAGACGAGGGGCTCTCGAAGTATATCGGAGGCAGCAGATCTCGAGCCTCTTCGACGCGGTTTGACAGCAAACAGAGGATTGTTCAAGATGGAGTCGATGTGCTGCGTCGCTGAGTCATACGAGGACGTCGGGCGGTTGGCGGAGGGGTTGCGCTGGCCATAGCCGATAGTCAACTCTCGCGTAGATTTCTTCGGGTTGCTTTCGGCGGGTGCGAGGGGGTGAGCGTGGTCGAGGTGGGCACGGAAGGAGTTGGTCAGCAGCGAGAGAAGCTGCTGACTCTCGCGCGGGGAGAGGGGAAGCTGTGGGTGGATCTTGGAGGCGAGAGTGCTCAGTACGCGTTTGCTCGCGGAAGACTGCATGGCTGCGTGTCGGTGTTGGTGTCGCAGTCGTGGGCGGTGCCTGATCGGTCGGGTGGTGGAGTGAGGCGATGACGAGAGTGGACCAGGCCCTACGGGAGCGCACGTGACAGTTTAACGCGCGCATCACGGCAGGCTGGGACAGGCACTCCAGCTATTCGTAGATCAATTGCCCTTCAGCCCTCCCCTCGCATCTGCACACCCGACAGCCTGCTCCAACCCCAGTCAACGCGACCCTGCCGCGTCCTCAGCCATTGGAAGCTCTAGCGCCAAGCCGACGTGGTCGCTTCCTTTAGCTGTTCCCCAACTTTACCTTCCCTCTACATCATCACCTCGCCTGCCCACCAATCCGCCCACATACACACACACCCAATAAGTCCCCCGCGGCTTGCCCACACATCACACACATCCAATGTCTGAAGCACAAACTCGGCCTGCGCGAGGCAGGAGCTCTGCCCGCGGCGGCAGGGCATCATACGGCTCCCGGGGCCCCAGAAAGACCAACGGCGACAGCGCGTCCTCCAACATTGACACATCGGCAGACCAGGGCGAACTGGGCGAACTTAAGAAGCGCTACCAGTCACAGCTATCCACACTGAAGGAGCTATTCCCCGACTGGACCGACGCCGATCTCGTCCTCGCAATCGAAGAATCTGACGGAGACCTGCAGACCACCATCGAGAAGATCAGTGAGGGTAAGCGACTGCATCTGCAACGTATGCATACGGCAATCATGTGACTAACTGCTACAGGCGCCGTCTCACAATTCTCAGAAGTCCCAAAGAAAGCAAAGGACAGGTCCCGCTCCAAGGCCAAGGAGAACGTCCCCCTCGATGGCGCGTCCAGCCTGCGTGGCCGGCCCGACGGAGCCCGTCGTGGAGTCGACAGCGGTCGCGGCGGCCGTGGCGGACGAGGCACTGATCGTGGTCGCGGTGGAATTCGTGGCGGTCGTGGAGGCGCCGCCGGTGGACCTCGTACGGCTGCTGGATCAGTCCCGACTACCGAGTCCGCTGCATGGGACACGCCCACAGTGCCAGAAGAGTCCAAGGAGACCAAACAGGACGACGAGACCGTACACGCGCCTGAAGCGACCCCCGAAGCCATAAAGCCTGTCGTAGAGGCTACTATGACAGCCGCGAAGAAGACTTGGGCGAGCATGTTTGCTGCACCCAAGCCCGTCCCCGCAGTCCCCAAGGCAGCTCCAAAGCCCGCCGCCGCTGCTGCCCCCGAAGTGCCCTCACAAGTACCCGACGAGACGCCCGCGCACCAAGTTGCCCAAGAGACCGCCGTGCAAGCAGAAGAACTGCCTATACCCCCAGTTGCAGATGAGGCTGTCCAGACACCGCCCATCACCGCCGAAGATACGTCCAAGATGACGCCGGACAAGAGTGTGGATGGTGCCCCTGACGTCACACTCACACCCTCCGGAGATCAACTTACACAAGAGAATGTTGAGCACCTGCCTGATACGTCCATCCCACCCAAGACGGAGACGGCTTTCAGCACTGTCGCAAGCTCGAAGGATGTTGGAAGTGCTGTAGCGACCCCCTTGAACGGTCCTACACAGGCACCCATCGGTCGCCCCGCCATTGGAGGATTCCAAACGACCGCACTAAAGGCGACTTCTGGAACCCCGAACCGAAGCGCAAGCTACCAGAGAAGGTTGATGGAGCAACAGGAGGCCGTGGTCATGCCCGGAGACCGCGCCGTGGACAGGGCAGCAGTCCAATTCGGTAGCATGGGATTGGGCGACGGCTCGGATCCAGATGTCGACGAAGACAGGGAAGAGGCGGAGACGAGAACTCAGCCGCCCCAACACTCTCCCGTCGCGCAGCCCAGGGCTTCCCTACCTCCCGCTCCCCGCCAAGCATCTCAAGATGCTCCCCAACAGGAGGTCGCTCCTACACCAAAGCAGGCCCCTGGACTGCCCCCCGTGCCCCAACATCAGCCCGGCCTACAGCAGTCTCCCTCGAATCCGCTTGCATCCCAGGCTATGCAGAACCAAGGATCCCAGTCCAACCAGCCATACAATCAGTTTGCTAGGTATGGTCAATCAGAGGCCTCCGCCCCACCGCAGAAGCCATACGATCCATTCGGCCAGCAGATCCCGCAGTCGAACCACTCGCAATCGCAAAACTACGACTACCCCGGCCAACAAAGCCAGGCCCCGTCCCAGCCTGGTGCCTTCTCGTCTGCCCCAGACGGTTACCCCTCCAACTACCTCACTGCCGAACAACGCGCGCAATACCAGAACTACTATGGAAGCTACGGTCAGCCTATCGCACAAAGCCAGCAGGAAGCTGGTTCTGCTCAGCAGCGCACTGGCAGTGCCTTTGGCTCTGGACCTACTGACTCTGCTTATTCGCAGAGCCAAATCCCACAGGTAAGTGCACTCTCTCAAGATCTGAAGAAGCTCGCCAAACTCAAAACCGATGATCTTGCCGACCAATCTGAACCATCTCATGTGAATGAGAAACTCTGGGCAGAGATGGCACATGACACGGGCAGAGTAAGGACAGCAGCTAAAATAGAACTCTATATCTTCTCCCATCATATACTAACAGAACCGTAGTCCCAGAGCCGTTACGGCGATGCTCAGAACAGCGGACACAACACTCCCAACCCCGCTGCCATGGCTGGCCAGCAAGGACACGCTGCTCAAGGCCAGCACGCGCACAACGCGCACAACGCAGGCTACCCATACAGTCACCCGTACTATGGCAGCCCCTACTACACTAACTACGTAAACCAATTCGGTGGTTATGGTCAGGGAGGAGCCGGATATGGCTCGTTCGGAAAGGGTGGCATGTACAACCAGCCTCACCACTACGGCATGTCTCCTCAGGCTTCATTTGACCAGCACTCGTCGTCCCCCGCCAATGCAGGCGGCTTCGGCGCTTCCTCTTTGCATGATCGCGGCAGCGGTATGGGCGCAGGCTTCGGCGACTATGGTCGCTCAGCCTCTGGAGCTTCTCAGAACCCCAGCGCCACTGCCGGCGCTGCTGCATTTGGCGCCATCCCCGATACCATTACCCGACCAGGGAATTTCCACCAGAGCTCCTACGGACAGCAGGGTAGCCAAGGGTTCAACGATGACGCCCTGAAGCCCTCCAGCGACTACAAGAGCGGTGGACCCAGCCCAGCGGCTCTTGGTGCTCAGCCTGGTCGCCCCGGTTCTGCCAACCAGAGCACTCCCGGACAGAGCGGTCCCCAACACTCCCAGCAAGGCTACGGCAACTACCCAAGCCACCTCGGCAACAGCCAATACGGCGGTCTCGGTGGTCTAGGTCACCAGAACTCCGGCAACCACCAGCAGCAGAGTGGCTACGGCAACTATGGCGGCTTTGGCGGAGGATATGGCGGCGGCAGCTACAACCGCGGAGGTTGGGGCGGAAACTATGGCCAGCACTAGGGTCCGTCTTCTGCAAATACAGGACGATTGAGAGGCTTGACGCGTTGTTAAGAGGAATATGGCCTATCCTTATCATCATGATGAGCTGGTACGACACGAGGTCATTGTTTTCTTTCTCACGTCCACTTTGAGTTGACTGATGGCACGAAAAGCATGTTTCCATGATACGCTTGATAGGCCTCAGATTTTGTATTATGACAATCTCCTTTCTTCTCCTCTTGTTCCTCTCCTCTTGCATCCTCTCTTTTTCCAGGTTCCATGTCACAATCCAATTGGGTCAACTTACGTGCTCAGTCGCGAGGCGTTTTGTAAATCCGCAAGGGAGGGATAAACTTAAAAAGATTCTTGTTTTGTTCTGGATTTTGCGTGTAGTCGGCTTGTTTTCCTTTCTCCGGTACTTTGAGAAAGGAAAATCTACTGTATTAGGGTATTAGTTAGGGAACTTGGGGGGCAAAGAGCAAATCTAGGTAGCTCGATGGCGTTCACAGTTGGGCTGCTACAGCTGAGCAATGCATATCGTTGAACATGACGCAATAATGTGCTTCTCTTGACTTAGATAGTGAACTCATGTCGTGCTTGTAGTAGCTTAACGGTACTCTTTAGGTCGAATACTTGGCACAGGGCCGAGCCTAGCAAATGCAGGTACGTACCGTTTGCTGGCCGCCGAGAAACCGGCGATCCTTCCTCCACTTTTTTTTCTTCCAACAACCTCGCGGATGCAACATTGACGCAAACTTGGGGACCTTGCAGGGCCTTAGCAAGGAAATTCTCTTCTCCTGACCATACGCGCGCTATGACACACATGCGCTCAGGCCAGGGCATGTATTCCGAGTCGTTTCCGAAAGGGCCGATAGAAAGCAGTTTATGCAAGCAATCGCGCGTCGGCCGGCCTTGGAACGGCATACGTTCACGTTATCAGGGTCTTGCGCGATAGCAGGCTTTTCTCATTCGATACGACGAGAGGTTCGGCGGGATGTCGTTATGCGTTGTCTTGGTGTACAGACACCGCTGCTTGCATCAACAGCACCGGCCTTGAAACTTTCCAGACACGAATGCCTGACCAAGAATAGAGATCAACGAAGAGCGCGATCAATGTCTTAAGTACAACAATAGAGGCACCGGCATATGTGTCAAAACAACGCTGCCGACATTGCTCACCGCCGCCAATATCAACGATAACGGTCTCGGAACGTCATCCATCTATCTGCGCGCTACCGGCGCCATGATCAACGACTAAGCCGTTGCAAGGATAGCAATCTGGCATCTTACCTATTACGGCAAAGCTGCCTCGGCGAATGCGTCAAGGTCATCATGGTGCTGGCGGAATTTATCTTTTGGCGAATGCACGCGTTGTTTTCAAGCGTCCATTCGCAACACCTTGATGGTCTGTCAGACACACAAGCAAAACCACATTGCGTCTACGTTGTGCGCTGATTGACTGCGTATTTCCTTTTTGAGTCGAGTCTTGTCGGTTGTGGAGTGTCCTATCTTGTTTAACTGGCTGAGGGTTTGATCAGCTGAAGATTGGGAAGACGTTTAGTTGGCTGCAGCGACACACCGATCGAGTGCAGGAGCTGAGGAACGTCAGCGACTGTACTTCAAGAAGGGAAGTGCATACAGTATCTGGAAGCGACTCGGACACGTATTGCACCTTTTTCACTCTCCATTCATATCTCGCAACTTCGACCTATTGGCAAACTTCTACCATGGAGTCATCAGCCTACCAAGCCGACGCTCTTCCAGCCTCGCCGTTACTTCGTCTTCCTTTTGAGATTCGTCTCATGATATACGAGTACCTACTTCTACCCTCGACGACCCCCACGACCGGAAACGGAACGTCAGTCGCAAACTTGATACCCGACTTTCACACATACCTTTCAGACGATACGAACAATGATGCTTTTACATTGAGCGTACGAACCATGGATCCATGGCTAGGGTCACAAGGTCCGAAGACGTGGAGACGAAGGAGTACATACCATATCAGAACCGGTACGTCGACAAAGACTGTCTTGGGGTAAACCTAGAGGAATATTCTAGGATACTGCTCCTCAAAATAGCAATACTGAATCCATACTAACAACTTCACAGGCCCCTTCTTGACAACCACAACACCAACAACCTACCGCGTCCTCCTCTCGCCCTACACATCACACCTCCGCTACACCGTCCCCTCGCTCCTATCCTTGAACCAACAAATCCACGCCGAAGCGAGCAAAATCCTCTACTCAACCTACACCTTCGCCTTCCACACCAGCATCGAAGCCGCAGTACCCTTCCTCTCTGACCTGACGCCCAGAAGCCGAGCGTCCATACGGCATATAAGCATAACGAAAAAGGCATTGCCATACAGCAAAGAATTCGATCGCGCAGAATGGGCAAGTCTATGCGAATACCTCGCTACGCCGTCTTCTCCCGTAGAAGAAGGCTCAGATGCAGCAGTACCTCCAATCTCCCTGCGCACCCTAGACCTGAACGTCATATCCGGCAAACCAGACCACGGCTGGGACGCCATCGCCCCCATCACACCCTCTGACTTCGATACCATGCTACGCATGAAGAACGAATGGCTCGGTGGGAACGGCGATTTCGGCGGCGTGGATCTAGAGTGGGTGGAGCAGGTGATGGCGATTAGAGGGTTGCAGGGGATTAATGTCAAGGCGATGGTGGAGAGGTGTGCGAGTCCTGTTAGTGAGAAGCAGGCGTTTTGGATTGCGTTTAGTAAGAGTGTTGATGAGGGGGGGTTTGGGGCGTGGGTTAGGGGGAGGATGATATGATGAGTAGAATGGGTATGATGAAGATGTGTAGGTTATGATTGGGTTTGCGGGAGTAGGTGGTTTCTTGGATTGAGTTCAGAATGCATAAATTGATCAGTCACCCTGGACTCTCACCCTATCCCACCATTCCCTCACATGTATCCACCAATTCCTCGTCATATCATCAACAAACCACACAGGACACATGGCTGATCGGTAAAGCACCCGCACACAAATACCTAGCGAACGCACGCTTAACGTAGTTCCGGCACGGGGCTGGTTCTAGCTCTGATCAAGCACCGACTTTGTTGTCCTGTCGCTAAAGGGCTATTGACGGCAACGTCGAGCCCTTTCAGTCGCCAGGAATGCTCTTTACTGAGTATCAGAGTCCGGTCGTTGGGCGTGCGAAAAGCCTGGCGAACTTAGTACTATGGGTCGCTACCACTGCTACTGATCTTGCTGAGCTATTTTGTGATGCACATCCTGGTAGGTAAGGTGAGACGGTGCAAACTGGCTCATTGATCCTACTAGGCGGTTCGTTTTGCGGGACGTGTAAGTTCGAGTCTTACTGTGTTCAGATCCAATTTCTTTTTGTTGTCTTTGATGGCGAGGGTTAGGTGGTGGCGGTGTAATGGTGGGCTGTTGGGAGGGAAACGGTAAATATGTAGTAAATGAAGACGTTTCATGTAGTAGTGAACATAAGTTGATAATCGGACAAAAGGCTTATGTTATGCTACTTTAGAACATTACTATCTCTCTCACCCTATCTACTGTCTTTCTACACATACCCAACATCTCCCCAGTCTCTCATCAAAACCCACACAGGACACATGGCCTAATGGTAAGGCGCTCACACACAGTGGCCACACGCCGCCCAGCAACCTCTAGCTCCGAGCTCTTACAAAGCTCTCCTCTAGTTCGTTGCCGGGCGTCCGGCAAGCATAGCTCCAAGCTCCAAGCTTTTCCAGCTTTAAGCTTATTGACTCAGCTCCGCTGGGTGGTTGTGGTGCGGGACATGCAAGTTCGAGTCTTGCTGTGTCCATTTATCTTTACTCTTCTTTTTTTTTTGACGACGAGGATTGGACTGTGGAGTGTGCACAGAAGCTGCGGAAGAGTAACATGTGTATCGAGGGTAAGAGGGGGTCTTGTAGTACACGGCTAATTAAGCGCGTGGGGCTTCAAGACCACTGACAGCGCTGGTTTACGTAGTTCCACTCCATAGCGCTCATGATACCGTACCAATGAGCGATAGCACTCAGAACGATGAACACATGGAACAGCTGATGTGATGCGCCCCAAATATCGTATCTCTTCGGTCTCCGAGATTCTGGGAAGTGAGTCTATTATACCAGTCAACGAAGGTTCGGTCTTGAGAAAAAGGACGTATCGATGAACATGCTAGCCTTACCGCATAGAATCCAACTCCAATCATTATCAAAATACCCTCGAGGTAATAGGACCGCAAGCCAGTTTGTCTGACAAGCTGATCATGACCGAAGATTGACATACCATGGAAGATCGGCGCAAATGCCGAAAAGCCCGTTGCGACGAATGTTGATAAACGTAAGGTCTTCCATCTCGGGCCGTGAAGACTGGGGTTGATAACCGTGGTTGCCGTCAGTGTTCCGAGGGTAATGATCTGGGGAAGTTAGTTCAGTCATACTACATCCCATCACCATCATTGTTTCCTCCACGACATACCATAGACCAGTACAGTTTCTGCAACCCGGGTTCGCAGTAGAATCCAAAATAGATGCCAGGTATAAATGATCCTATAATCTGCCCTATAATCGCGACATAGTCCGCTTTTACCCACAGACTCGCATACCCCTCCGAATGGCATATCAGCGTATGATATGCCGCCGAAGTACCAAAACAGACTACCGAGGCAGTAAGGAAGATACGGAAAACGAGTTCATCGGTCCACGTCGCTTGAGGAAATCGCGTAGTGAAGTAGCGGTCGAAGGAGTAACTGGCTAGCAGGATGAAGATGCCGGGGATGAGGTGCGTGTAGATGTTTACGGTTTCATTGTGCAGTTGGAGTAGGCTGCGAAGGCAGACAGGGATAGATTTGGTGACGGGTCGGTACCCTGTAAGAATGAAGGAGTTGTGCGCGTACCATGATGGTACCTCATGGCTATTGTGCAGTTTGACCGAGGTGTCAAGTCGCGAAGTTTCTTGAGGTTGTGAGTCTGTGGTGCCGCGCGTGGCCATGACGCAAGTACTCAACGAATAACGGTGTTGTAGCGACAAGAAAATAGACGTTGAAAAGAGAGGGGTTTGCGCGAAAATGGAATGACTTAGTATGGAAATTGAATCGCCGATAGAGATGCGAGGGTTCGGCAATTAAATCCGTCAATCATTGCGGTATCCTCACGTCGCTTGAGTCAGGACGTTGGGTGGACGGTCCGTTTGGCACGGACATGTTAGTCAGAAAACGGTGTATACACGCCTCTGCGACATCTATGCTGAGTTGCTCGTTTTCACAGAGTCAACAGTTGTGCGTTTTGGTGATAGTAATGTTGGCTGCGGAATCGCGCGGTTGTTGTGAGGGTTTAGAAATAATGACGTCAGGACACACCGGTCAGTTGTCAGGCGTCGCCACGACGCGACGGTGTTTTTCTTTTACCACCACGGATGTAGCGAATGCAGACCAACAAGGCATGTACTGTCGCGTCACACCTCCTAAGGGACGAGGCGTTTCTTCAGACCCAACGCCCCGATCATCACCCGCACGAGTGTCTGTGCGACCCAGGCGGCCTGGCGACTATTCAACGGCATGTAGCAAAGATGTGTTTACGATGATGATGATGATGATGCAGCCAACCATTACTGGGGTGGAGATTTGGTGGAAGGCTAACCATCAGACAACGACGGAGGCACGGGGCACAGCAGCCGACTAGGATGCAGTCTCAAGGCGGAACTAGGATATAGGCACTCCTGTTAGTGGTGCGCACTCTATCCGGCCTGCTGGAGACGCAGGTGCAGCTCCTGCGTCAATCTGCAGGGAGGCAGCGAGCTGTACACCAGCAAGCCTCTTTGTCCAAGTGTCTACACAGCCGACCACGCCTCCCACCAGTCAGCTCGTCATCATAGCCGGAATTCAACTGCCTGCCAACGCGCATCACCCGCATGCTAAAGGAGGGCCAGCATCGCACCCTCTAGAACCCCCACACTGCGCATGAGACCTTGTCCGTTCACACATGGGGCTAATACCCCGGTTTCACCTCGAGACCGCAGCCTAGTTGGCTGCTGTCGCTCTTCTTCTGCTATTCGCGCCTGCGCCTGAACGGTCTTCTGGCGAGGAACTTTGCTCGTATACACGAACCCCCACACTGCAAATGAGACGGCGAAGCGGTGCGACCTTTCACCCCTGCGGTCTATACCCCGGTTCCGCCTCGAGACCGCATCCTGGTCGGCTGCTACGGTCTCTTGCGTACCTTAAGTTAGATCAGTGCTTGCGGTCCTCGCATTCAACATATCGCTCGCAGCGAACTTCTGGTTGGCTTGAACTATATCTCACCGGCTGGATGTGCGATCTCCCCACCTGCTTTCAGTTAGACGAAGAGGCGTCTGGATTGGCCATCATGTACTACCGGTAGTATATATATGAACTTCTCAGTGCCGGACAAACGCTCTTGAGGAAACAAGAGCATTTTGTTCTCGGCCATATCGCAGTGGGGAGTATTCCTGAATCTGGAAGACCTTTCTGTTTTACGCGCTGCAACATATATTCCATCCTACTTTCACCAAGGTACGTAGCTTTTGCCTGGCCTTCAACAGCGCCAACAACGGCTCCATGAACCATGACGCCATGCTAACGAGGCCGGTCATGACTGGACCAAGTACTGCATCGCATCGCATCGCATCACAATGCCATTCTCCACTGGCACCACGGCTGTCGAGCAAGTCGATCAAGAAAGTGAATCTTTCAAGCTACCTAGGGACGACTTGCGACCACCTCAGCTGGTCAACGCCGATTCCACTCTGCCTACGCACATCCTACCGCCATGCAATCACACCGAGCCTCCTGCTTTCGGCATTCATCCTCTCCACAATCAAACAACAGTCTCGAGTACCAACTATACCGTGGCTACGCGTGATCAGACGAATACATGGTTCACTCATGTGAAGGAGTACGCGCCCGTCGTTGGAGTCGTTGGCACTATAATCGGTGTCGTTGTCGCTATCATTACTGTTGCGGTCAAGTGAGCCAGTAAAGAGAGCTGATTCAAACCTTCGGTCTATAGACCATTTGTTCATACCGAGAAGGCATATTCAACAAGAAAAGAAGACTGTCGGGAGTGCCTATGAAGAGTGCTCACACAATGGTAGTGGCTGGACTGATATCAATGCATAGCAGAGCGAGATCCGCAATGAAGTTTTGCGGGAAAAGAGCAAATTTGAATAATTCTACAAATACCACGAATCATCTTCGGGTACTGTACACCGGCTTATGTGAAGAAAGATGCTTTGGAAAAGAATTATGTTACGAGGCTCTTGTTTGCAGGATCGACGCGACCGGAAAGTGACATGCCGGTGGCGTTTTTGGCTCCGGAATTGCGCGCTCGTATTTGGGGACCCCACAGGCTTGCCCCAATCAAACACCTGCAAAGCCCGGAGAGTTAGGTCGCTACAGAATGTACAGGTGTAGAAATATACTAAGTGTTTACAGGTTTACACGACTGAGCTATAACGAAGAGGGCTAAACGCCTCCAGCCAGTCTTCTGCCTGACTTTCTTCCGCGCGCTGAGTATACGGATATCTCAACACAACAAAGCCGGACCGCGAGACCAGAACTCTTGCCAGGGTCTATGGTGCGTATATAACGACCCGTACTCCATTCTTTGGTGTACAATTTTGTCAATGTTCTTGCAACAAGATGAATGTGGAGCCAATTGTTATCTAGGGCAAAGAGTAAGATCGCTTCACTGCGGTGTGACGGAGGCGTCCGCTAACACAACCCTCAACTGGGCGTCATTGCTGTTTGGCCAGCATGCTAACATTGATACGGTGAGGCCAATTTCTCATGATATCACCATCCATTGGCAGATGCTGCTGGCACTCGTAGTCATAAGAACAGAACCGGCGCCTCTCAGCATAATCCTCTTATTCCTCCCCAGCTGTGCAAACCTACTTTACCCCAAGGCTGACCGCCAGATATACTTTGCAGCATCATCAAATATCTCTTTCAAGACTGTAGGGATCTGCGTTTGGTATGACCGGCTGAGCAACCCTATGTGCTAACTTACAATAGTCAAACGAGTTGTTCCATCTCGTTCTTTTGATTTCAATCGCCATGTCTTCCACTATGACTGCAGCTGAGCAGGTCAATCAGAACACCTTGCTACCCATGCATCACCAACCACCACGCGCCCAGCCATCGCCTACACTCAATGCCAATCCGTTTGATGAACAGCACACACTCTCAAGGGCTGATGCGTTGGTATCTGGCGTCTCAACGTGGTTTACTTGTATCAAAGAATACGCCCCGATCATTGGCATCTTCGTCGCCATCGTCACGCTCGTCGTGACGATCATCGGAATCGTGGTCGCTGCTGTTATTACTGTCGCAATCAAGTGAGCTACGAGTGCAGAAGGATCAACTCGAAGCAGCCCGCAGCATCTTATGTATATGAATCAAAGGGCGGACTAAGAGAGGATCAGCAGGGAATCATTTTGGAGAGCGTGATTGAGGGCGCTGTATATTGGGATGAGCCAGAAAGTCATAAATACTATCGCGTCGCGTAGACGTCTGGGTGGACTCGTCAGGCATCCGCCACATTTAGAGTACGCGTAGCATTTGTCTTTGGGTCCTACTGGTTGCATAGTCTCTTTCTTGTTGCACACATATATAGCCATACCATATGCCAGTCGCGCACATGCCTCATAACTGCAAACATGAGGTGAATGTCACCAACAGCCATAGGAGCTGACAGGTGATGAGTTCGGCATTATAAAGCGACCTAGAGATTCATGAGATCCACATACCTTAGAACTCTATCTCGATGCATTCGCTGTTACGTGGTCGAATATTTAGAGTCTGACACTTTCTGGCCTTGTTTCTTGAAGGCTTCTTGTGGCGAGCCATACAAGTCTTCTAGTCCTCCCAAGGCTGGGCAACACCTCCACCAAACAGTGACTAATGTCAGACTAGATCTACGACTGCAACCATCGATGAGCTACGCTGCATAAACTTAGTTGTCTCGAGCACCTGTAGGGCTGGCGCCAGGCCATGCTTCTTCCATTCGTCTGTGGAAGTGACGTTTCATTCGCATGGTTCTGCCAAGCAAGCGGTTTACGGGTCGACAGGGGCCAGTGCAGCTGTGTGGTCTGCACCTCCCAGCGAGCCTCGAACAGCCAATTTTAGGGAACGCATCTGTATGGTTGGAGTGCTGGACTGACCTGTATGCCTAACCAAGGTGGGCATGACAGGACGAACTGTGCGTCTTTGGCAGATAGCCTGAAAAATCTCAACGCCACATGCAATGATCAACGCCACACAGGCCCGATGATATTTTGAGGGGAAGAAAGCACTGAAATTCCCCATACATCTAAGACGAGTTGCCAAACACCTAGCGAGTTCTGAAGTCAATCCGGTGCTAAGTACATTCAATCACATATCAGATACACTGCGCAACTATCCGTTCTTGTCACTGTATGTGTATCTTAGCCGACCCACATCTGATTGGCTGTTATGTTGTGCTAACTCGCGGGTACTCGAAGCTTCGCCATGAATTCTCCCTTTGCTACTGCAGACGGGCGCATCAACATAGACTCTTTGCTACCTACGCACCTGCAACCACGACGCGCCTACACTTTGCCTTTCCTCGACCAAACGCTGCCACCAAGGCATCATCAACCAGTCAGACTCGTAGTCCTACCGGAATCTGGCACGAGACGGTGGTTCGCTTACATCGTCGGAGTCGCTACTATCATTGGGCTTGTCGTCGCTGTCATTGCTATTGTTGTTAAGTGAGTGGGTGGAACAGGTTGGGTGGTTGCTGCTTACCGAAAGTTCGTGGAGAACATGGCATGCTAGGCTATGGACTGAAATGGACCGGAGAGAGATACCTAATAAAGTTTCGCGAGAAACAAACATTCGAGTGTTGCGACTTATATACATGATTGATTTTAATGCTCTATTCCGTAGTTGCTTGATGCAGTGCTGAGCGAGGAATCAGCAGCGCTGCTCTCAGCTCGAATCCTAGGCCGAACAGCAGCTCATTGGTCGTTAGGCGGAGACAAAGATTGCATGGACATACCCGTCTGGGAGACTCGAGATGTCTCGCGCAACATCATATAGTTACATACTATCTTCTTCGTTTTACAGTCTTGTGAGATACCTAGGCAGTGTATAAACATGTCAGCTCCGGAGTCGCGCTGTCGTTAAGGATTCCGCGGGCATGGCGTAAGTGAGCATCCGTCGTCAGGCGCGCAGGAACAGGATGGTGTCTTTTACCACCATGCCACCACAGTGTAAAGAACACGTGATCAGGTTGTACACGCAAACGGAAACCCCGCCTGCAAAATCAGGCCCAGGGCACATCGGGTGGCTGTGAAGCGCAAGGCACATTTTGATGTGCCGCGCTATGTCCATCGTAGACTAGTGAAGAGACACTCTGTATTGATGTCCCGGTGTCCACCAATGTCAGCCTGAGTATGTTACCAAGATAGACTAGTGAGATGAGCTGTGCGCAACGTCTACATACAAGCACTAGCTGAAGTCTGGGCGTGCTCAATTCCGACCATCGCAGTAGGCATTTGACTTCTCTGATATAAGATGCAACATCACGCTTGTAAGATGTGCAGAAGGTCGAACATTGACTCTTCGCACCCAGCGAGGGACTCCGAAGAGAAAAGGTCCAAAATCTCACACAATAATAACTTTGGTCTACCTTCGACCCCATAACTGGTCTCGCTGTATGTAGTTTAGTCTCTCCTACATAGTTCTTGACCTCCGATTGGCTGCATTGGATGCTAATCCAGCATAGTCAAACAAAGTACCTAGGTACCGCATTGCAACGCGATGTCTTCTACCAACAGCACCGTAGTCGAGCAAGTCGACAAAGACATTGAACTAGCTCGACTAGTCAAAAAGGACTCTGAGCTCCCTCAGCCGGCTACCGATCCCACTCCACCTTCGCTGCAAGTGGTCAGCACCGATTCGACGCTACCTACGCCTCTCCCGCCACTAGGTGCCTACACTCTACCTTCGGCCATCGACCACGATCTCGAAGCCAATAACAACGACAGCATCAACATCAACAATCAAACACCAACCTCAAGGACCAGAGCTACCCTCCCAACCAGGCTCACCGAGCAAGTGTGGTTCCTTCATGTTGAAAGGCATGCCCCTTTCATCGGACTCGTTGTTGGCAATGCTGCATTTGGTGCTACCTGTGTTGGGATTGTCGTTGCCATCACCGTTGCGGTCGCTAAGTGAGCCCCACGGAGCAGGTGTGAGGGAAACAAACTGGAGAGGCGGGAAATACATAGGAGAAAAGCAACGGAGAATTACTGGAGTTGTTCTTTTGGGAGTGTTTTGATGTACGTTAGCGTTCCATGAAGAAAGACCAGTGAGATACCCAATGAACCATTTTCGCGACAGAAAAGACTTCAATTAAGGGGCGTGTATCTCTTTCAGTCTGCAGCTCCTGGCGTTCAGCCTTGAACTTTATGTCAATGTACTCATCGTGCGTGCCTACCACTTTGCAACGTGAGTCTTTTCCGTGCGAACAGTGTACGGGAAGTTCAGCGAAGATCACGAACAGTCAATGATGTATGCGCAGCCCTGTCTCTAGATGCATGGTCATATTCCAGAGCCGGCTAGATACATATGACATCGGGATGCAGCACGCCAACACAGATCGGGTATAGTCGTAGTCATCCTCCAGGTCCGTGCCTCGGCGCTGCTTCACACTTTGGTGCCATTGGCTGCGCTGGTGTTGAGGAGGCTGTGAAGCCTTCCAGCATATAACCAAAAAAACTGCGAGGATGGAAATTGTAAGTTCAATGAACAACATCACACTTACGATTTACTACGGTGCACGCTAGTAAACATTACTGTATTTCACTCCCATTGGGATTATAACGTTTGGAGCCACTTCCACCACAGTACCTAGGTACGCAATTTAGTCTCGATCGTCTCATCGGCTAAGTCAAGTTACTAACCCGTCGCAATCAGCTAAAGCTCCTATCGCATTACAGCCATCGCATCGCCATGTCCTTTCCAACGACCACGGCGGCCGAGCAGATCAACCTAAATACCATACTACCTATACACGTCAGAATACGACGCGCTCATACTTTTCCCACCCTCGAATCCCGTGACCCCTACCATGAGACGATACTGTCACGACACAACCCTATAGTGGCGTCTAGGGCGAGGAGGTGGTTTACATATGTCAAGGAGTATGCTACTGTTATCGGAGTCGTTGTCGGTATCATCGGAGTTATTGTCGCGATAATTACTGTTGTTGTCAAGTGATTCATGTAAGGCGAAGATTCTTGAGGATTGTGATGGACAATATCGTTACGAAAGAATAGAGTGGAGATACCCAATATAGATTCGCGAGAAGGAACCTTTTTGACGCGCTCTCGAGTTAATGCAGCAGTTGCAAAGAAGTATCTATACGACAATCGGGTTAACGCAAGGCTAAGTTAGCCTAATCCTTTCATGGCTGGGCCGAGGCTATCTGATCGGTGATTGTGGGTGCCTCTGAGTGGGCAACGATTTCTGGTACGAAATGACAGGGGTTCTGCAGAGAGAGAGTATACCTAGTTGCCTTTGGAATGGACGAGAGAAGAAACCTACATTGCACGAAAGGTCTACTACACTTTACAAATCCGGGTACCTTGGACTTTGGCTACTGGACTGGACTGGAATATACTATACTTCCTAACGTTACGAAAATTCACCGATATTGAGGTACGTAGTCTCGCCACCCGTATCTGATTGGTTGCATCGTTACGCTAACTTGTGAACAGCCGAAGCATATCTATACCTATCATGGCTCCCCATAGCATAACCGCCATCCTGGACAACGGCATTGCGGTCCAACTTGCGTCACTAGGGAACCAAGAACCGCACGTCTGGCTCCCGCTCCAGTATGTAGGAGCACTAGCCACGCCTGGTTGCCTTCTGTACCAGATCGGCTTTTTCGAATGGGTCAACCAGAAAGTGAAGTCGTATCTCCCGAAGACCAAAGACGAGGAGGAAATCAACGTAAGCAGAGGGGTTTTTATTTTACTTCTTTTGTTTTGTTCAAAGGGGGTTGTTTTAACGTGGGGTGAAGGCAGGAGAGCTGGAAGGCGGAATGGTGGAAGACGACGTGCGTGCAATCGCTCTAGAAGAGATGGGTAGAGACTAGTGTTCTTGTCGGGTGCACTGGGTATGGCTGAAGGCAGTGAAGCTGCGGGTACTGTTTCGACTTTCTTACTGTATGGGATAGAGTGGTGGTTCTGTTTTAATAGTATGCTCGTTTGGTTTGCTTGGGAATAGAACGGGTGCGCTGTTTTCTAGAATGAATCAAAGAATATCGAGTAGCAGACACCTGCTCATGCATTTAACACCATGAAAGAGCTGGTGCTGGAGTAGCTTTCCTTATATGCCACGATCCACGATATCTGTTGTTACATCTCTGTACCTCAATTAACGCCAACGCTGATGATAAATACCAATATCAATCCAGTTCAACCTCAACTTATCCTCTCATCCCAAACTCACATCACCCAACCTACTCAACACCCTCAGCCCTCTTCCTATACCCCTCCCTTCTCTCCAAACTCTCCGGCTCCTTACCAGCCGCCTCAATAATATCAACCTTCGGCTGTTCCTCCGTCATATCAATCCTACCCGGCCTCCTAGGCCTCAACTGAGTCCTCTGCGTAATCGGGTAAAAGTACGCCGCCCGCTGCATCTTACTGTCACGCAGCGGCTCATTCGCATGTTTCTCAGGATCATGCAGCGCAAGCGCAACAACATCGCCGTAGGTATCGCTGGGGTCACCGACTTGCTGGCTCGTCTCGTACGTACGCACGTTATCGTATTTGAAGCATTTGCGCGGCTGGCCTTCGTCGTCTTCGGCGATGTCGAAGTCGATGTCTGCTTCGTTGGTGGGGTCGTGCGTGGTGAAGTTGCGTTTGATGCCGCGGACCTTGGTCCTGTCGGAGGGGAGGAAGTATTCGAATTGCCAGCGGGGGATCGGGGGTGGGACGGTGGGGTCCAGGCGGTGCGCTTCGCGGTCTTCCATGTACTTTTCTTGATCTTGGATTGTTTGACCTGCGGGACGCAGGAGGGCGACGTCGAGACGCGGGTCGTAGGATGGGTCGAGCGGGTTGTTGATGGGGGGTGCGGTGAACTTGAAGACCATGTAGCCGCCGGTGTCGGGCATGGCGTCCCAGTCTGGGAGGAGTGGGTAGGAGTCCACGAGTGTCAGGTTGGGGTTCCGGGGGTTCTTGGGCTTGTTCCATGCCAGTCGCTCTTCGGGCGTTGATTCTGCTGCCCTGATGTTCTCGGCGCCGTCCTGGCCGTTGTAGGCATCTGCTGGGTACGCGATGTTGAAGCTCTTCAGGATGTGTCTCGCGATGTTGGTAGGGTCGTCTAATGAGGTTTCTACCTGCTTTCGCTTCCTCCGCAGGCGCATCGTATTGGACGAGTTACTAGACTCGAACTTGGAGCCGCCGGTTGTGCTTGAAGTGACATATTCGGTTCGTCGCAGGAAGGTCGCGCCAGAAGCATTAGTCTGCGTCTTGCCAAGCTGATTCGGCGGTCGCATCAGCGCTCTATCTGCTGTGCTGAGCGGCGGCGGGTGAGGCATCGCCTGGATAGCTATTGGACGCGTTAGTCTCTGCGAGGGCCTTGCGCCACGGGTTCGCTCTTACCAGACTCATCTCCATCGAATACCTTGGGGATACCGACCAGGTCGATGGGCATTCCCAGCTCAGCATCAGCCTCAATGTTCAGCGACTGCTCTCGCGCCAGTCTTGACGCAAAACCAGCTGATGTGTATTGACCGCTCGAAAGACCAGTGTTGGGGATGTCCAGCAGCTTTGGCGGACAGGGTGGAGGAGGCAGCGCATTCGAATATCGGATTTTTGCAATGTAGTCCTGGTGGACAACAGGGCGCCCGGAGCTCATGATGCCGTGTCTTCGCGCGCCGTCGTCTTGGGGTGGCGGAGGTGATTGCGCGGTTTGAGTGAGGTTAAAGAAAGTTGATGAGCTCGGAGTGTCGACGCGCCAGTCCTCACCGCGCCAAGACGGATTTCCGCGCTATCACCAGGGGCCTCTTCACCGTTCAGTAAATGTACACTCAGCGTGCTGTTATTTTCAATGCAGGTATCTTCGCGTCCGGAACCCGTGTATTCAACCAATAAAATGAGACCGAAAAGTGATGGAATAGGTTGACGTTCAACGTAGCGACCGTGATAATATATTAGGTAGATATTCTATAATGACCCAGCTCCTATTTACAAACACCTCTCTGCCACCCATTATCCAGAGTCCATACTGTCATACTGTCTATTACCGCGACCAATATGCATGGTTGCAGTTTCCTGTACCCAAAACGCCATGTCTCATGCCAGCTCCGCATCGAAGCGTGTGGGTAGTATCAGTCGGAAGAGGTTCTACCATCTCCCAACTATCAAGCGTGCGGCTAAAACCGACAAACACTCTAAAAATTGTAAACGTGCCAGCAAAGATCGCTCAGTTGGCCTTCTTGAGCTTGGCAGCGGCCATCTTGCGCTCACGGCGCTTCTTGGAGGCCTCAGCACCGGCCTCGGTGTCGAAGAGCAAGTCCCACCACCTGAAGCTGCTAGCGTAGTTGCCAATGAACTTCTCGTGGTGAACATCGTGGTGCTCAGCGCCGGCCCAGAAAGGCAGGAAGTGGTGCAGACTCCATGGGAACTCGTAGCCGCTGTGCGCGTCGATGGCCTGGAACACACGGAGGCAGATCCAAGCGTACATGGTCAAGATGTGAAGGTCCTTGGTGATGGCGCAGAATACGATTGGGACTCCGACAGTACCGAAGCCCAGAATCATGACTTCAATGGGCGAGGCGTACTCAGCGGCCAGACCGAAGGGAGCAGAGTATTGATGATGGATCTTGTGGATGTTCTTGTAGAGGAACGAGCTGGCGTGCATGGCGCGGTGCATCCAGTAGTGCCATGCGTCCTCGAAGACGAAGAAGATGGCAATCTGGTACGCCATCTTGTAGATGCTGGGGAAAGGAACGGAGGTCTGGAGGCCGAAGTATTGGCACATGGGGTGGAACATCCAGATCTGGGGAAGCTCGACGGTGAAGTGGGACAGGAGGACGAGTGCGGCGCATTGTGTTTGTTCCCAGGTAGTGGGGATTTTTTGCTGCGGCAAGTTAGCTATCGTTGCATTGAGCGGCTCAATCGCGGAGACGTACGTGTTGGAGCTTGTATCGGTTGAAGAAAGGTATGCAGTCGATGATGATCCAGGGAAGCGCGCGTCCGAAGTAAAAGAGCTCGTGGAAGACAAAAGACATGATTCCTGTCGCCAGGACATCGTTGCCCATCCATGCGTACCAGGCCATCCACATCTTCTCGAGGTAGTTGAGCTGCACATTGTACTTGGAGATCTCCTCAAAGGAGCCCCAGTAGGTGTCCTGCGCCATAGGCGTCAGGAGAGAGGTTGCGTTGTTCCTGTCATCTGTTAGTATCTAGGGCTATGCGAGTTCGGGGTACTTCGGGAGTGGGCGTACATTGTGGCTGCTCTCAATGTCCAGCAGTAAAAACAGAGGGCAGATGCGATGTGCAGATGTAGAGCGAAGGAACGACTGCAGGTTGCAGAGTGGTGAAGGAGCGATTGGCGGTGGTGCTGCAGTGAAGAAGAGCAGAAGCAGCAGCAAAGGAGGCGGATTAAATTGGAGATTGGCGGCCCTGATCGACGTTCGTACCACTTTTGCCACCCAAGGTTCACTCAGTTCCGAGCGGCCAACGCGTGGGCGCAAATGCACTAGTGCCTGCCGAGAAGACGCGCCAGGCCAATGACCCTTCGCCCCTGGGCCGTCTATGCCTCTTTCGTCGTTCACCGCCTGCTGAGCTTTCTGTTCGGCAGCGGCTCGAGTGTCCCCGGCTTCCACATCACACCAGCGCCGCCCTGCAAGGCGACTGTGGATCGTGTCACGGTGAGCCCACCGCAGGCTGATAAAGTCGCTCGCCCTAGGCTTCTAGAATTGCGGCATGACTGGACGGTATCGGCAGTGCTGACTAACGGCGAGAGCATGACGCGATCGGCCCGACGAATCACATCACCACGAGTACGACGATGTACTAAGCCACGTCCACGTTGTCACTCGACATCTGACATCGGCATGTGGTTATGGTCATGAGGTAATCCAGTGTAGCTATTTATTTGGTTATGCCCAGCACCTTCCACACACGTCCAACACGTTTTCGAAGCCATCTCCCTCCAGACAAGGAATCCCATAACAATCATCGGCCCTACCATCATGCGATTACTACAAGTTTCGCAAAGCGTCCATTCCAATACTGTTGTTTCACCTCCGACAGAGTCTTGAATTTAGTCTCACGCAGTCGCTTGAAAGCGCGAATTTCTCGAAGAACCGTGTTCCAACTACCAGACGTGAGATTGATGCTCCAACATATCGGGCGTGAATTGAGACGCTTATACTTCGCATCAAGTCTCATTGTCGAAAGCGCCCTGATGTTGTCCACGGGATGCGCGTGGTCCACATCTACGAAGTTGAGTTTCTGAAAGCTTGGGTGATCTAGGTATGGCCACACTCCGGGTAGAGACAATCGTTCAGTCCCGGTGAAGTTGCGTACATACAGGTGAATAATTTCCTTGTCGGAGCCAGTGTCTGACAATATCCGATGCAGCAAGCGCATGTGTCCCGCAGAACTATAGGTGCCAACCTCGCGGTTGTGGATACGTCGGAAAAGACAATGAACAAGAATAGTATCGGCGAAGCCGACCCCTATACTCATGATGAAACGTTCTGAAAGAAGTCATGGTTTATGAGCGCTACCCTTCGACCCGAAATGTATCTCCTCAAGGCCGTTCATGGTTTTGAACGCGGGGAAGATCTCTTTGAGAAGAACCGGGGCGTCTTTAGCCCAGAATAGCTGTTGTACAGGTGTAATCTGAACTTCGTTAGCACATGGTGACTTCGAACAACGCAACTAATGGGAAGAGCCCGCTCTCAAAGACGACAGTCTGCTCTATCTGTACGACGTACCTTGATCTGGATTTCCCGAAATTCGGCCGATCCAACGCTACAGCCGAGCCAGTGGTATATTCCTTGATCTCCTGTTTTGAATTCCATTATGGCGTCCATTCCAGGGTCGATAAACTCAACGCGTTGAATGCAATCTCGCCAATGAGTTACCGACGTGATCTCAAGAAACGCTTTCAGGCCGTCTTTTTTCATCAGCACTCGAATGTGTCTGAGTCTGCGCCTCATACGTGGGCGAAGGAAATCGGCGGCGACTACGCGAAAGAATCGACAGGTCCGACGTAACGCAAGCAGCTCGTGTACAGGCGAACCGAGTATAAACTTCACGATGTTTCTGATGAGCTCCACGGGAAGGTGATCGAGTGCTAGTTTGGGCGGAGGTACAGGTACGCATGGCATCGTAGCACAGGCGTCGGCCACGCTGTCGTCTCCAGTCATTGTCGTAGTCTCTAAAGTTGAGGTGTTGGTGTGGCCCGAGAAAGCAAATTGGCTATTCCAGAACTTGCTGTAAAGCTAGTCCCGACAGTGAATGGACAATCGTTGCCTTCACCCTGACTAAAGAGCTCCATACACACGCGGCAGCGCTGTTTCCTCGTGAGAATTCGGTGGTCTGCCCCGCCTCTTCAGCTCTTGGATAGGTTTGTGGGTCTATCAATCACCGATAGATCAGCTTGGAAGCACCTGCCGAACATGAGATCCATCCCAAATAGACGAGCCCCATGTCGACGTACTCGTAGGCTCGATAGGCGGAAGTGCGCTCCTGGGTGGCCTAAACTCCCGGCTACACCTGCTGAATGTCGGACTAGGCGATGGGATGATCGGCGTCCTAAACATGCCGGGAGTCCACTCCGGTGTGCCGTCTCCGACCAAGCGCCTTCCGGGACCTGGACTAGGCTGCTCTCTGCTCCTCACCTTGACCATCGCTCTGCGGAAGAGTGGTCGCAGAAATGGTATGGAGGCTGCGATGAGACCGACATGCTGTTCCACTTGGCTCCACAACAAGAGATCTGGTGTACTTAGTGCTTGCTGCGTGTAATCGGATAGCCAGAGGATTGTAGTGTGGAGTCGGAAGGCGGAAGCTATAACGGCCATGATGCCGACGGAGAAGATACCAATCAGCTCGAGACGGCGTCTCAGTGGCATTGTGGGAAGGTTCAGGAAGAACAATATGGGTAGCGTCCAGATGAGTACATCCGTTGCAAGATTGTAGATGGCGTTGAAAAGCCAGAACGGGTTCGGATTGTAACAATGAGCATCGAAGGTGTGTTGGAAGACCCCTCGAACCCATACTTCCCATGAGAACGCATCGGTGATGGGAATACACATGAGGATTGAGGCGATAATCATGGATATTCCTCCCAAGACTATGATGGCGAGGAGTACACGGACGACGACTTGGAAGCGTTTGTTTGATGCAGCGATGGAATTGTAAACTACGTCGATCCTGTTAGCTATACATATTCTTCGGAGCTAGGCGTTCCGAGCAGGGTGAAAAGCAGATGCGTACGTTGCGGTTTGACGCGCAATCGCCGCTACTTGTGCAGTACTCGAAGTTTTCTAGGACCCGCGCTGGGAAGATATCGCGTAGAACGTACATAGTAATATCGATGTCTTGATGAGAAAAAGATTGAGGATGAAGTTGACTCGGTATAGCCAGATCGACAGTAGTGATCCGGTAATTACTGGTCTCAACGTTTCTGGTCTGTCCTTCTATGCCTTGTTAGACTATAGTCGTCCAATAACTAGTAAATGCTTACCTCAACGTGGCTGTAATCGAGGAAATGAACCATGAAGCAATGAACTACCACTGATGGCCTATACATAGGAAGAGGTGAGTCAGTTCAGCTCCTCTCGGTTTCACAGAGATGTCCATACCATGTTGCGATCTGGGTCTGGTTAGCAGTAGCATCACATGAAGGGAGAGTTCACTCACAAGGGCCAGAAGCATGACCCAGTCAGAGGACGTGAGCTTTCCAACGTAGAAATATCGAGTGTAGAATCTGAACTGTCAACCAACAATGCGATCAGACTTGCAAACGACTGGCGCACCTGAGAGCTACAACTACAGTCGACGCAGAGGTAAGCACAAAAGCCAATATAATGGAAAGTCGGCCATGAGGGGCCATCGGACAGGTTTGAAGCTTGACACTGAATGTGTTTACACGAACAAAATGGGGTGCTGGCAGGAAAAAGGAACCACGGAAGCGACACTCATGATGTGTAAGGGTGCCGCAGCCACTGGCTATCAAACATCTAACGGCAATATCCACAATGCCAATCGCACGCAAGACAGCGGCGCTCTCTAACGCAATCATGCATCGGCGGGAGCTCCACATCAGGATCCGAGTCAGGTTCAGACTGTCCAAATTTGGGCGGGTGATGAATCGCGTCGCCCAGGTTGACCGAACGGTGTGGCGGGGAAGTGCCGGCATACAATGTTAGACCAAGGGTTATGCAACACCAACCGATGTGAGTAGTGCTGCACGGCTGTCAAACCGTCATTGCTTCCCCGCATTGTACCACGCGACGTTCATCTCAGCAGCAGTGTACACACCAGATGTTGGGCAGGGTATGGATAAATCTGCAAAGTGAAGCTTGGGCCGTCGCCGCCTCAGACAACCCGCCAACTCAATTGATCCTGCCTCAACTGGCCCAAAGAATAGCAGCTCAGATATTGATCTTAGCTCTCTTGATGTTCTGTGCACTCTTACCGCTTCTATATCGATCAGACCCTGTCCTGATTTGACGTAATTCGACCGATGTTTAGATGGCGAGTTTGCACTCGGCGCAGTTTGCTAGGCGTGCCATGTTCGTGACTTGGGGTTGAAACGGGTGTCCACTGTATATTTACCGGCTACTGCGGTAGTTTGAGGGCGACGCAGGCCTTGGCGACTTACCGCGGGCTTCAGCGATTGCCACGTGAAGACCGAGCTTGTAGAGACTTGCATGTGCGATGTGAAGAGCAAATGCTAGGGAAACCGTTAACCGTGTCAACAGGGATAGATCAGAGTCAGTCTGGAATGTTGAGGGCCGGGACTTGGGCGCAGAATCCAGCGTGCGCACGCGAAATAAGGGTGGCTTTCTTCGATAAGACGCCGGTGCCATGACTTGCATAGGGCTGAAAGCCGTCCGCATGAACGTGAGTCGTTGAAGGTCCGAATATGATATACATGGAAGGAGATCCCGAGTAATACCGCAAGGAGAAAGGTCAGAACCTGAATCTGCTGAAGACATGTTCTGGAAGCAAGGCATTGCGATGAGATGGTGTTGAGCGAGTCAGATGGATCGTAGGCGGCGGTGAAAAAAGATTGAGAGGATTGCGCTTGCCCGCCTCTTGGGCTGTGGCTTCCATCACCGCTGTGATGGAATAGTAATCCGGGGCACCGGGCAACCAGAGCACCGTTGGCAGAACCGCGATAGACGAGTATCAAAGGATCGCGATCAGTTCGCAACCTTGAAGGGGACGGAATGGGTGTCATGAACACGGCGTGTAGTAAGTAACATGAAGCGAAACAACGGAGACTAGCCCAGTGACGTCGACGACTACCTGGTCGACGCAGTTACCCATGACAGAGAATGTCGGTGAAATTGTTGAGTTCAGTTTGCAGGTTACAGTAATATGGGCTCCAGAAAAGGTGTCCGGAGTTGTGTTGTATTGTCAGATGGTTTGTGAGGTTGCTAGAGTAGGAGCAACGCGATATCGCGGAAGCTGCCCGCGGACTAGCGCGTTCAGTGATATCATCGCCTCGAGTGAAAGTGTCCACCACGGTCGCGCCTGTCGCCTACGACGTTTTCACCTCGACGCTGTGTGTCACAGCTCATGCGCGAACTGTCTGCTGTCTCGTGATGGATTACTCACGCCTCTAGTGCTTGTTCTTCTCGCTTCACGTTCTTCGACCGGCGGCTGTTGCCTTCGGCGCAACTTATCACGAATTCTTCTACCCACGAGGAGTCCGACACGCACCACGTACGGCGGTTCAAACTTCGCTCAAGACCCACGATCCCAATAGAACCTCTTTCGAAGCCCTCTTAGACTGCGACGGCTGTCGTCATGTCGTCGCCCTCCGAGAACGCTGCGCCCGCCACCGCGCCGGAGATCACCGTCACCAATCCAGACAACGCGAATGATGCAACCATGCACGATGGCGGGCAAGAATCAGGAGAGGAGATACCGTCAGATGCCGACGAAGAGGCACGGTTGAAGATGCTCACGACCGGCACACGAGCGCAGGATGACCTGGAACGCGATATCGGCAGGCAGGCGGACCAGATGATGACCGAGCAGGCGGATGCACGCGATAAGAAGCGCATAGAGAAGCTCGAGGGCGAAGCAAAGCGGGCGGAAGCTGCCATACAGAAGCTGAAGAACCGTCTGGCTCTACCAGCTTTGGATACGCAAAAAGCCAAACTTCGTGGCGAGATCGCAGCATATCGGGACAAGATCGATGGCCTAGATCAGGAGATGGATGGTATACAACAGCGTATCAACGATCGGCACAAGGCGCCTGAGGCGGACGAAGCAGCAGAAGAAGGCTCCAAGGGTCCTTTACCCAACGAGAGCCGGCGAGAATGGCTCATCCGCACAGGCAAGATCACACCTTTCTCCAAGCTGGCGCAAAACCAGCCAGATTCGGGGACGTTGGGCGAGGTTATGCTAGATGCTGAGGCGGAGGATATGGTGACGGACATTGCGAAAGAGCCAGTATCACATCGCAACCTCATGAAGCCTGGCTTCCAAGACGTCGAATCCAGTTCAGAGGCTCCAAGCCCCAAGCCTACGGTCCGTTCGAAGAAGCGACGAAAGGTCACTCCTGCCAGCGATACTGTAGGTTCGCGCGATTCGAGCGCGGCCCCGGGATTTACCGATCCTGATTCAGACGATGCTTTTGAGCCTGGTATGTCGGACCGCCAGCTTGCGACCCTGGATGAGTCGGACGAGGTTCCAGATGACATGGATGAAGACGACTCATACGCAGAAGATACTACTGGTCGCAAGCGCAAAGCCAAGGGCAAGACAACAAAGAAGTCAAAGGCTGCTCCTGCGCAAGAAGCTGTCGTCGAAGATCTAGCAGGTGTTGACGATGGCAATGAGCGATTGTATCGGAAACGTATAGAGACTTGGTCCAAGAGCCGTGCAGCTGCCAGGAGAAAGGCCAAGGCCAATAGTGGTGAGGCAACCGCTGATGAGGATGAAGAAGAAGAGTGCTATCAACCTCACCCTACAGAAGCTGACACTGAATTCGATGGCGGATTCCGCATTCCTGGAGATATCTACCCGGCATTGTTCGATTATCAAAAGACCGGTGTGCAGTGGCTCTGGGAGTTGTATTCGCAGAACGTTGGTGGCATCATTGGCGACGAGATGGGTCTGGGTAAAACCATTCAAGCCATAGGCTTTGTCGCCGGCCTTCATTATTCCAAGAAACTTACCAAGCCTGTCATCGTAGTTTGTCCCGCGACGGTCATGAAGCAATGGGTTAACGAGTTTCACCGCTGGTGGCCTGCGCTACGAGTCTCTATCCTACATACTTCCGGCAGCGGGATGCTGGACACTCACCGAGAAGATCGCATGGAGCGAGAACTTGAGCTTCGAAACTATGGCGATTACGACAACACCTTGACTGGCGCTGGAAAGGCTGCTAAGAAGATCCTCGAGAAGGTCAAGCGAGACGGTCATGTGCTGGTCACCACCTACTCCGGTCTACAGACATACTCTGAGTTTTTGATTCCTACTGATTGGGAATGCGCCATTCTAGACGAGGGCCACAAAATTAGGAATCCCAATACTGCCATCACGATCCACTGCAAGGAGTTACGGACACCTAACCGTATCATTCTCTCTGGCACGCCGATGCAGAACAACTTGACAGAGCTGTGGTCACTCTTTGACTTTGTGTTCCCAATGCGCTTGGGCACGCTGGTGAACTTTCGCAACCAGTTTGAATTTCCGATCAAGCGTGGTGGCTACGCAAACGCGTCAAATTTGGAGTTTGAGACAGCAGTACAGTGTGCCGAGACCCTTAAGGATGCTATCAGCCCTTACCTGCTACAGCGGTTCAAGGTTGATGTTGCAACCGATTTGCCACAGAAGAAAGAGCAGGTACTGTTTTGTAAGCTCACGCGTCAGCAGCGACAAGCGTACGAGGGTTTCCTGGCATCGGAAGACATGAAGTCGATTGCGAGCGGCAAGCGCCAGATGCTGTACGGTGTCGACTTCCTGCGCAAGATCTGTAATCATCCTGATCTGACGGAGCATAAGACCCTTTCGAAGAAGCTGGGATTTGACTATGGTAACCCTAATAAATCTGGCAAGATGCAGGTTGTCAAGGAGCTACTGTCGTTGTGGAAGAAGGGCGGACACAAGACCCTTCTCTTCGCTCAGCATCGAATCATGTTGGACATCTTGCAGAAGTTCGTCAGCCAGTTACCCGATATCAACTGGCGTCGCATGGACGGCGAAACGCCGATCAAGGACCGTCAGAATCTTGTTGACGAGTTCAACAACGACCCAAATCTGCACGTCTTTCTGCTCACAACGAAGGTCGGTGGTCTGGGAGTCAACCTTACAGGCGCCAATCGCGTTATAATCTATGACCCAGACTGGAATCCTTCAACCGACATACAGGCGCGAGAGCGTTCGTGGCGTCTAGGGCAGAAGCGAGAGGTTGAAATATACCGTCTCATGTCCGCAGGCACCATCGAAGAGAAGATCTATCATCGTCAAATCTTCAAGCAGTTCCTGACAAACAAGGTGTTGAAAGACCCTAAGCAGCGACAATCATTCCAGATGAGCGACCTGCACGATTTGTTTACGCTCGGTGTTGAGAATGTTGAGGGTGAAACCGAGACAGGTAACTTATTCCGTGGTTCGGAAGTCAAGTTCGAAGAGGACGGCAAGACTGCAGAGGCTTCGACAGATGCCACAGGAGCCGAAGAACTTGCCGCAGTGAAAGGCATCTCGCGATCCGAAGCCTTCCAAGCCCCCGTCTCCGACAATGAGGACACTGCTGCGACCACCAACGAAGACGGCACAACAAATCCCGACAAGCCCCCAACAGACTCCCGTCTGATGTCAACCATCTTCGCCAAAACGGGCGTCCACTCCGTCCTTGAACACGACGCAATCATGAACTCCACAGCCGGCGGACGAAAACGCAAAGTACAAGCCGACCCAGCCTACATACAACGCGAAGCCAAGCGACAAGCCGCCGTAGCAGCCGAGCAACTCAAGAAGAGCATGCAAGAAGCGCGAAACGTACCCGCTGGCACACCGACATGGACCGGACAATTCGGCGAAGCAGGCCGACCAGACGCACCGCGCGGTATGTCATCCAGCCGTGGCGGCAGAGGTGGACGAGGTGGTGGACGCGGCGGCGCCCCCTCATCAACCTCCATCCTCAACAACCTCGCCACCCGACAAGGTCGTCCCACGCTCCTCAACCCGGGCACAACCCTCAACACACCCACATCCGCCAGCTCATCCCGCGGCTCCACACCCTCTGCGCCCACAACACCACAGACCTTCCGTGGCCGCCGCATGCTCGAAATGATCCGCGACTTTATGCTTACCCATGGTGGTGTGGTACCTAGTCGTATGTTGGTCGATCATTTCGATCATTATTGCCGTGCGCAACCGGGGAGGAACGAGGAATTCAAGGAGATGCTTAAGTTAATTGCTACGCTTGAGAAGAGTGGGAGTGCGCAGAGGGGGAGGTGGGTGCTTAAGGATGAGTGGAGGACGCCTGCTGCGGGAGCAGTGGGTAGGGGAGGTAGATAGGAGATGGAGATGAGGAGATGGAGGAGGGCTTGATGGGTTGAATTAGCATGGCATTTTACGGCGTTTAATATCGTTTGATATAGGGAGATACCATTTGTAGTTTTCTGTTTTAGTTCTTCTTGCCAAGTGCTGGCATATCGTAGATGGAGAAGATCGTAATCTGTGAGTTACATAGATATAATTGTCAAAATACACTTTCGAGCATGAAATCCTTGATACAAATCGTTAGAAGCATGCCATCGATAAGTGTGCTACATGATAAAAAATGTGTGCGCCACGTTTGGACTCTGAAGGGTGAAAACTGAGAAGATTGACCGTTCATGTGTGAGAGCGATAAAAGACCATTTCGAGATAAGCAGCTGATACATAGAAGTAAAAAATTACAGATCCGAAACGCCTAAGGAAATATGGCGCTGAGCACCACTGTCAAGCTGTGCCCTACATTGCGTTGCATTAATTGCAGGGACTCTCTGAATACAAGGAACAAAATACTCAAACTCTTTTTGTTCTCCCTCGGTGGGAATGTTCTGATTATCTGGATTTTTTTTTTTGGATCTCTCAATTTTTTGTGGGGGGTTTTGGTTGTAAAGGTGACGGAATCGGGAGAGCGTGCTCGCTCAAAGGTTCAGCGAGGACGCCTCTTGGATAAGCTTCAAAAGCTCAACGAAAATGCTTTTTGACGTGTTTCTGCAGATTATCGTATCGTGTGAATGACCTCTGGCAGCCTCGGACCTGGCAGGGGAAGCGCGCTTGTGCTGAGGATGGTTGATGAGTCTTGGTGTGGCGGGTCAGATCAGCTCGAAGATGGAAAGATTTGGGGCAGCCAACAAAGTCGCACTTGTAGCGTCGTTGGTGCTTTCGGTTGATGTGGTCGCTGTGTATTAGGTTAGAGAATGCACCATCTGGGAACGTTGTTATCGTACTTGACGTCGCACCGCCGAGTAAAGCTGGCTTCGCAGAAGCAGCAAAGTAGCTCAACTGTGTCGTCTGCGTTGTTATTCTCGTTCTTTTCGTCGCGGCTTCTTGCCTGTCCTAGTTTTGGCGAGACTGGTGATCGGCTATCGTTGAGACTACTACCTGAAGTAGCAGGAGTATTCGAACGGGATGGTTCCTCGAGTACAGGCGACTCGATATTGTCGAGAAGGCTTGGGCTTGTGAACTCGTCGTCGGAGATCGAGTTAATGGTAAGATACGGAGCGTGTATGACTGGATTGATGTCCAGTTCAAAAGCAAATGGGCTAAAAACGGAAGTTGAGGCGTCGCGAGAGAGTCCAAATCTCGATAATGACGAAGTACAATGAGGCCGAGCGGAAATAAAAGAGAAAAAAGGCGAAGACTACACAGGCCTCCGCCCAAAGCTATGCGTGTTAGGGGGCTCTAAGAGCGTAAGGATGCGGAGTCCAAACGCCTTACGGCGCGACAGGGAGGGTTTGTGAAACAGAGATTGGAGGTGGTTCAAGGTTCGTTCGAGGGAAATTGACTGTGGTAAGAGTAATGACTAGAACTGATTGTCGAGGTTAGTCTTAGAAGCAGAGTATTTGCGTCCCGACTGTAAGTGTAGTTATATATTGAAGCCGTACCTGCGGAGGCATAGAACGGACAAGGCTGAAACTCAGCCTCGGCGCCTAACCCCCACCATAAACGAATCGCTGTTTCCCACCGAATACTGATCGGATGCAGTTCAACCAATGTGGTGTGCCTATCTTTGTATATGCCTCCATTCTGAGGTGAGGGGAGACTACAGATGCAGCCGGGGCAGGAAGCTGACAGCACGCGCGTGAAGCGCTTATCAGCATTAGGACCACATCCTTCGTTCTTGCGCGTCTTGCCACCATCTCACCACGCTTGCCTATCGAGTCCAAAGACATTTGCTCTTGAAATCAAAGGGCCTTGTTTTCGAAGAAAGGTTAATAAGCTAGGTATCCAGCATTGGGTCAGTACCTACGTACGCCGCCACCTACAACTTCCCCCGACTCTTGGCCGTCTCCTCTTCCAGGATCATACCAACAGGCCCACCACGACTCCCATCACCAGCCCACTGTTCCTCCGGTATACGTTCAGCCGGCCACTCCCAGCGGCCCTTGAAGTCCTCCGGTATCCTCCCCTCTATACACTCCACAATGCTATCACCAATAACAGGCAGAAACTTGAAGCCATGACCTGAACCACCCGTCGCCACGAACAGCCCTTTGTATTTGGGATGATACGAGATCAAGAAATCGCCATCCCTTGTATCAGTGTACCAGCAGATTTTCGATTTGGTAAATGGTCGCGAGGGTACGGCGAGCGAGGGGTGGATTGCAGTGAGGAAGTCTCGGCATTGGCGTTGGCCTTCTATAGGAACGGCTTGTGATGGGTCGTCGACGTGTGTGTAGGGAAGTGAGGTGGTGATTGTCTCGCTGGGGTCTTCGGATTCTGGGTGTGGAATTGTGGTTGGGTTGAGGTAGCCGTGGCCGTGGCGCGCTACTTTGAGCAGGCCTTTATGAGGCGGTATCATGAATAGGCCGTGGGAGAGGTTCAAGATAGTTGGTCGCGGAGCCATCTTCGTTTCCTCCTCCTTGGAAATGGGCATGTAGCACAGCGCTTGCCCGGTGGCTTTGCAGATGCCCCGGAGATCGATGAGCGATGCCGTCCATGCGCCTGCCGCCAGCATTGTAAGGTCCGCCTTCAGTTCGGTCGAATCGTCAAGCCGCACACCGGAGACGGTGTTGGTTTTGTGGTCGATCAACAGCTTCTTCACGCCCTTTGTGATGAACTTCACCCTACCCAGCTTCTCCACCTTTTCCCTGAGCCACATCATGGCACCCTCTGCGTCTGCCCAGCCTGAACTCCAGTTCACGTATCCAGTGCAGCCATTACCCCAGGGGTCTTTGCCTTCCAGACCACATGCTTTCTGTATGTCTTCCGCCGAGTTGAGCACTTCGACTTTGTCTGTCCCTATCGTGCGAACGTTTTCGAGCGAGCTGGAAACGTACTTTTGCTCTGGGCCCCATGCTGTTACACATAACCCGACCTCATGGTAGTGTTCGGTCGCGAAGTCGGCGCGCCAGCGGTTCTGTGCGACGGTCGCGAGACGGGTATAGCGGGCGGCAGCGTAGTCGGGACGGATGATTCGTGAGGCGTCGATCTGTATGCGTTCGTTTGAGTGTTTGGACTTGATTGAATGCGTTCTTTTCTTTCGATCACTGGGGGGTGTATCGCTCCAGGGTATGGCGTCGAGAAAATTTAGATTGAATTGCTCTACTTACACTCGAGCCATCAGGCGTAGGGAAAGGCTGACGGTCTACAACAGTAATTGAGGTATTCTTGTACTGCGGGTTTTGACATAATGAATAAGCTGTGGAAAGTCCGAATGCACCGCTGCCGACGATTAAGATGGATGAGGGTTTGTTAAGAGATGCAGGAGATGCCATTGCGCGCGAATTAAGATGCATGGAAATATAGCAACTGAACAAAAAGAAAAAGGAAGGTCATGAAGAAAAGTCTACCTACATGCGTCCGAACGGCGTGCAAGTGCCGCTGGTGGGCCGATATCGTTGACTGACTGATGATTTGAAGGGCGTGCGCCGGCTGGGCACGGTTGGACCTCGTCGCTGCAGGGAGCTTTGACGCTACCGAGCGCCTGGGTCGATGCATGGAAAGATTTGAGGCTTCAATTCCATATCGACAGCCTCACCAATCGCACCTCAACGTTATCCGCTGCTGAATTATTTGGGGTCTGCCTGCATCGCAATGGCAAAGTTACCGAAGCCCCCGAAGGCGTTCCCCGTAAAGCACACGATACCATCGAAGCCCGCGATACCACTGCATAGACGAATACAACGAGCGCAACACGATAACGAACTACCGCTACATGCCCCAGCGAACCAAACACCTGAACAAGCACTGAAGCGAGTGTTGGCAGCACGTCCGCGGCTCTCAGATCTACAGCGACTATCAGATGAGGAACTGAAGTCGGCGCAACACCAGGCAAAACTGCGGAGAGCAAGACAATGGCCAATGTTCGGTATTGGGTTGATCGCATTTGGATTGGGCACATACGGAACTATGCTCTACGCTTCGTTGACGCAGGATACGGATCTGAAGGACTTGCCTGAAGACCTGTCGGATCGATTTGACAAAGAGGCTGAGGGTTATGACGAGAAAGTGGACACGTCTGAGATGCTGCTCTTATTGACTTCTAAGCGCAAGAAGCTCACTGCTATGGCCAAGGGACATGTGCTAGAGGTGGCCGTTGGTACGGGCAGGAACATACCATACTACAAGACTAAGCAATGTGCGACAGTGACGCTGCTCGATGCGAGCGGGCCCATGCTGGCTGTTGCAAGGCGGAAGTGGAACGACACGCACAAGGAGTACTTTAGCCGTGTCTTCTTCAAGCAGCAATCTGCCTTAGATCCGATTACGCCCCCATTTGATGCCCAAGTTGGATACGACACGGTGATACAGACAATGGGACTCTGCTCCACTCCTGAGCCGGTGAAGCTGCTCCAGAATCTTGAGTCTTGCACCAACGAGAATGGACAGATCTTGCTTCTAGAGCACGGCAAGTCGCATTACGAGTGGCTCAACACCATACTGGATAAGTCGGCTCCAGCCCATGCCGACGAACATGGTTGCTGGTGGAATAAAGACATCGGCAAGATTGTCGAAGAAAGCGGGCTGGAAGTTGTCGACATAAAGCGCTACAACTTCGGCACGACATGGTGGTTACAATTGAGGCCCAGGAAGGGCATGCGGCAAAGATTGGCCGAGACCACCGCAGTCGAGCAGCCGCTTGCTGCACAAGCCGGATCCCCGGTAACACAAAAGTCCTGGTGGTCACTGTGGAGATGATAACTCGCCGTGGCACCTTCCCCACATTCACCATGATCGAGAATGACCGAAATGTTGCAGCTCTGCCGCTGTTGTAGACAGTGTGCCTAAAATTATGCCGAGTACACTGTCCAAGCTGTTGCGCTCTATCAGCCAGCTTAGTTTTGTCTAAAACGACGTCAACTTTACGCGTTGCTGTTGAAGGAGGGGAAGGCCCAAAGCGGCAATTTCCAGATCGCGACCATCGATAACCTGGGATCCAACAGAAGGTCAAGCGAGATCTGCGGTCGGGATCATGGGCAAAGGACAATCGCGTCACAGCAAACTGGAACGCGACATGGCTCGCCCGAACTTTGTTCTGTCTTATCGTCCGGGCACGCCATGCGTTTGCATGTGCATGGAATCTGATGCCATACCGTTGAGCACGATGGGCTCACACCTCGTAATCATCATGCCGACACACCCAACGACACGTCCTCGCTGACATGCATCTTTATCAGAGTCGACGAGGTTGCGTGTGGGAACAAGAAAACAAACAATGCATCTTCACCGTCTTTCACGACTTGCCAACTTCCTCATGCAGTCCACACTTCGTCTGGGGAAGATACGTAGCGCATCCGTAAATCTGTCTGCCCACAGGACAAGTGCGGCGCCATACCTTCCAGTTCCCCACAAAAGGTGACGCTGTGCTGCGCATGCAGACCGGACCTGGTTCCATGCGCCTGTCCCCATTGGGGAAAGACATATGCATGATCCCTGCGCAGCCATCGGAAGTGATGGCAACTCGCGTGCGCAATGTTTGGGGGTGTGGTCGCAAAGCGGAGTGGAGGCTGATGAAACTGATGTGCCAGAAGATCCAGCTCGGCATTCATCATCACTGTGCTTTTTCCGGGCTTCAATGCTTCCTCGCCATCAATGAACATGCAACGATGAAGCCACATGTGCTGAGAACGGTTTTTGTCGTTCGCGTATTAACGTTGCCGAGGGTTGGCCGCATGCCAGTAGGAAAACTTCCGTTAAAGAAAAATTCGAGAAAAGTGTGCTCACCGCCCTGGGGCATCCCGGTTCTGTCGTTGAGGCTAAATCCACTTTGACGGCTAGGCGAAACCTCAGAACAGGGATGTCTCCGCTCTGGAACAAGATGATATGCACGCTGCATCAGATCATGGCCGGCGCCCCGTCCACTCGCATCGTGGCCGTTTGAGTGTTTGGAGAACCGGAAGATATTATAGCGGTCAGCGTGCGGGACAACAGTGATGACCCGCCCAATTGCAGGTGGGAAGGATGCGCGATGCTCGAACCAGACGTGTTGAGCATGAGATCACTTGCGGGAAAGCCGTCTCAGGGCAGTAGACGTTCGTAATCGTTGGCGGAGGTTTGCCGGCAAGGAAGTATCCTTACCAGCATCCTCTAGCATGTGCCACTTATTGCGCGCTCGGAGCATGATGTAGAGAGATCCAAGTGCGGTGTTCACTGCTCCGGGCTCAGCAGAGACCATATGATGCCCGAAGCTTGACACGGGCAGAGGTGCAACACAGACGGCCCAGATTGATGGGATTGGTCAGGGCAACGAAGCCCATACAAGACGTTAGACAGGCAGCCGGAAGGTCATGCCTAGATGTGTGCGGCGAGTAAGTACCTACGTTAGAGGCCTCTACCGTGTGGTACATGCAGGCAGCCAACGGCATGTTGATAGGAGCGTTAGGCTCTAGCCCCTGGCCAACAAAGCAAAAACGGGCTCTAAAAGTAGTATGCTGTCATAACCAAAGAGGCGATCCCTGGATACATTCACCCTACTAAACGCACGGTCTCTTACCGGAGCCTAGTCGCTCCTTCTTCACTGTGTGCTCCACTACGCCTCCGTTCTTTCCCTCGTCGCATCCCCTCTTCCTTCACCACCCCTCGAACTACATCAGGGCCCGACATCAACTGTCCTGTCCCATTCCGTTTCCTCTTGCCTCTTCCTGTTTCTGCTCTCTGATTCCTGTGGTGTTGCAGCACTTGATTGTGTTGCCATAAGTTGTTGGTTCGAGCTCCAGGCAACCGGGCGCCATCGCCGAGTTACGTACTCACTCTTCAGGAGGCGAGCCGCGTAGCTGCGACAGGACGGGTGCCACTCAGCTTTCAACACCGCCAGACATCCTCTCGCAATAATCCGGCGCTCTTTTCGACGCCAAAGCCTGCAGTGCAGACAGAAGCGCACGCTACCTGCATCTCGGCGGCAGCGTTGGTGGTATAGGCTGCATTGCATTCCTACCGGACCAATCGACGACCCTGGCATTCGCGCAGTAACAAAACACTTTTTGGCTGCACACCCTCTGCCAGCCTCAATAATTATCTTGCCCCCCAGAAGCCTCCCTTCTTCCTTCTTCTCTCCTTGCGCGACGTTTGCGACTGCATCGCTGCTCCCAAGATGCCCTACAACACACGCCGGAAGTCGCTGTCGCTGCCGTCACTCGGCATCCAGCTGCCAGGAGGACCGCGATCCGCCCGCTCACCGCCTTCGACAAGCGACAGCCAGCACGCCGCAAAGAAACAGAAACGCTCCCACTCCGGCTCTCTCTCATCGGCACTCCCCTCACCATCACGCCCCGCCGCACTGCGCCTCGATGAGCAACGACCCAAAAGCTCAGGCCGGGTGGCAGACACCCCGCCACCTTCGCCAGGCGGCGAGTCCGGCACGACAAAGATCGATACCCAGGGCATCGACGACGAAATCGTGGTCGGCGTTATCGAACAGCTCCAGAAGACAGGCAACCGTCCCCACCTGCTGAAAGAACTCGCCCTCGTTCTATCGCCCATCATTCCCATTGTTGAGAGGTACGTGCCAAACTTTAGCCATCCACGCCCTGACCACCAGTTACTCATGCTGACGTACTCTAGCTCCGCCAACCCAGCTGCCATTATCTCGTCACGCTTAGCTACCTACCTCAAGCGCAATTGGACAGCCCTGTCGAGATGTCCCCTCGACAAGAAGCTCGTTGGTACCCACCCCAAGCGTGTCTACTACTTCCTCTCCACTTGCCCGCATCAGCCCATCCCAGCCGACGGAACTAGCACCGCCATGGCACCGCGTATCGTCACCCCATCGCTGTCGTCCGCAACTTCGGAAGAAGAGGACGCGGATGCGAGGTCAAGAGGTCGCATGTCACCGTCGCCAGAGCTAGACCTGTCCGACTACGACAGCCACGACAGCGACCCCTTCTCCAATCAGAGCCATCCTCCCACGACAGCAAACATCTCGCACAACCGCCGAGCTCAGTCGCCGCCTTTAGAAAAGGATGAGCGTGAGTTCACCCAGACTGCGTCGTTCCTGCAGCAACGCCGGATGAGCCAGGAAGCTGAGCGCGAGCGATCTGCCAGCGCATCTGCCGAGCCAACACAACAGAGCGATGTCAAAATGGAAGAAGTCACCGTCTCCATCGAGGAGACCGTAGAAAGCGCGGCACAAAAGGACTCGGAAGCCGCAGCCGCCCTCTTCGGCCAGATGGACCAGCTCATGAGCTTCCAGAGCGCTCTATCTCCCAGCAGCCCCGCGCTGAAACCAGTGCTCCACATCGAAATGCCCCCGCCGTCGCTCAAGCGCAAGTCGATAAAACTCGAGCTTGACGACGACTGGATCATGAAGAGCCCGGAGCTTATTGATCTTGACGAGCTTGATGACCTTTTCGGCGGCTACTAGGTCGCTATTTTCTTTGCGCGATTTCTCTCTGTATACGACATTTACGATTCTCCCGGGGCACGTCTCTCATCTATTCCTCCTCTATCTATTGTATTCTCTCCTCTTGTCGTTTCATCATAGCGTATGTCCTAGATGGATTCCATTTCGCCGCTCGCGCTGCACTACACACTCTAGGGATGTTGATTTATCGCATGGAGTTCTTGAGATCTGGGTGTCTAGGAAGGAATTCTGTAAGATAACTGTAGAGTGTAGCTGTGCGATTACCAGCCAAGGGATCTGGCTGAGGCGCTGGATTGTTACTCGGCGTCTGAATGCGCGAACCTGCGACTAGGTGTTGGCCAACATTTTCCAGAATGTTGCAGTCGCTCATAGCGACGAAGAATGAAGTAAAAGGAACGGAACTACTAGATAAAAGTTCATGAAATTGAAAAACAGTTGATATCCTTCAAAACAGCTGATCAAAACAAGTCTTGAACGAACGTGTCTGTGATGTCGGCAATCTCGATTGTTGCCGACCAGAGTTGGTAGGCCGGGTTGTCCCCTACCAACACGTACTCTGCGCTCACCGCCCGAGTTGCGCACTTGCTGCACCTAACACTACACCTGGCAGTGGTCTAACGCATAACAGCGCGAAAATTGGGCCCTCACCGGCAGGGCCATCTGCGCCCAATGCGGCTCCTACGATGCGGTGTATCCTAGCCCCAGAAGGGAAGTGAGCTCTACCTTGGCGCTGCGTTGTTGAAGAAGTTGCGGTCGAGCGAGATGCGCTGGAGAACAGCCTCACTTTTGACCGCACACGCGCACACCAGCGGGGTCAATGAGGAAATCTTTGCATACTGCTCCAGATTCTGCTCATCCGCCTGGTAGAATCAACAATCCCGAGGGGTAATCGCATGTTCGCAGACAAGAGGCTGGGTAAGCGAGTCCAATGACTTGGGCACCCCCAGCCCTGTACAGCAAAGCTTTGAAGCCGAAGCCCAACCACTCGACGTAAGAGTGCGCTGTGCGCTGCGCGACACGTCCGCCCTATTTCCTTTCCCATATTGACCATCCGACCCCCTCGGTTTCACGGATTCCTGTGCCCTGCGTCAAAGTGCTTGCTGCAGGTTCCCGAGGCTGATGAGGAAGCCCGTTGCCTCGCTTACTCCCGCCCATCAAGTTTGAAGAGTTGGAACGGAAGAGCTGGAATTTGTGAAAAGAGGAGGCTGGGGATCCGCGACACCCTCATCCACTGCCCATCAGACGTGCGATAGCTACGAAACGAAGCGCGTCTTTCCGGCGTCTTTTCAGTGGTATACGAAAGGCCATTCGCGGACATAGCCCAAGGCTGCCAGCAACACAACACCAGCAGAGTGGATAGTCGACACGTGGATACGCAACAACCGGGTTAGCCGCATTGCCAGTCACCAAACCTCGCCGCGGGCGTAAAAAGCTCACGCATATCGACGTAGCCCGCTCTAACTCCCCTTGGACTTGGGCTGCGTCTACACCACGACAGCAACTACCTTTTTCAAAGGCACATCAAGAAAGAGCCAGGAACCTCAAGAAAAGAATGTCTGTAGCACTATCCCGAGCGCGGAGCAGAAGTCGGGCGCCGAGCACCAGAGCGCCTCTAACATCACAGCCCATCGTTGTGGATGTTCCGCGAAGTGGGGCTAAATCACCACTCATCATTGATGTGCCAGCACCAGCACCCCGCGCAAGGAGCAGAAGCGTGCGTAGCATGCGCGAACCCATGGTCGACGCACCTGGGCTTAGTGGTGGAAGGGGGATGTTCAAGAGGTTGATTGTTGCGTGTGACGGAACTTGGCTAAACTCGGACGATGGAACCAAGAACGGGACTCTTTCTATCCCAAGCAACATCACTCGCATATCAAGAGCCATCAAGGCAGTCAGTCAGGATGGTATCCAGCAAATCGTCAACTATCACCAAGGTCTTGGAACGGAAGGCGGAAAGCTCTCGAGATTGGTTGGGGGTACTACGGGCAAGGGCCTGAGCGATGATGTTCGAGAGGCCTACTCGTTTCTTGCCAACAACTATCACCCAGGAGACGAAATCTTCTTGCTAGGGTTTTCGAGAGGCGCGTTTACCGCGCGTAGCATCGGCGGTTTGATTGGAGAGATTGGTCTTCTCACAAAGAAGGGTTTGAACACGCTACCAGAAGTGTATGAAGATGTTCAAAATCGGCGGAACCCCGACTACCGCCCAAAGCACGAGGACGTACCTTTCCCACGGAAACCAAGCGCAGATGACCCGCGATACGCAGAAGAACTAGAGCGTAGAGGACTCACCAGACTCGACATTCCAATCAAGTGCATAGCGGTGTGGGACACCGTTGGCAGTCTCGGCATACCGCGGATCGGGAAGCTGCAGCGCCTGGGTCTTCAAATGAAGCAGTCGAAGGCGACAACTTTCTACGACACCAAGTTGTCCAACTGCGTTGAGAACGCCTTCCAAGCGCTTGCTCTGGATGAGAATCGGTCGTCGTTTTCACCTGCCGTTTGGGAGAAGCCTGAGGGCAACCGAACGACGCTCCGCCAAGTATGGTTCCCGGGTGCGCATGCGAATGTTGGCGGTGGCTACGATGACATGCAGATTGCGAATATCAGTCTTGCGTGGATGATGAGTCAACTCGAGCCATTCCTGGATCTACGGTCTGAGTATCTGTTTGAACAGGACGATCTAAATGAGAAGTACTACAAGAAAGAGGAAGGTGCGATCCGACCATGGAGTTTTGGCAAGATCTACAGCGAGCTGAAGGGCGCTTTTGCAATCGGTGGTAGTACTGTAAGTTTCAATTTTTTGCAAGTACACGCATGCGTACTAACAGCAATGACAGCAACGCAAACCAGGCCAATACACCTCAGTAGACCCCTTCTCAGGCCGCTCAACAGAACGACCTCTCCGCCAAACCAACGAATACATCCACCCCTCAGTTCGCACGCGCTACCGTCTCGAAGGCCCCGGAATCCAAGACCGCGGCCTCTACGAAGCCCGCGCCCTAACCGACAGCTACAAACTCGTCGTCGACTATGGCGCCAACAACTCACGCGCCGGCGACGCAGAAGTCTACTGGAAAATCAAATGGAGAGACACCATGGCCGTCAAAGTCCTCCCCGAAGCCCCTCTCTGGCGCCTAGAACGCGAACTCGCAAAACGCGATCCAGCTACTTACGACTACATAAAAAAGCCGCCTGCCACCGCCACTACGCGCAGTAAACGCCGCACTGCACGGCCTCTTTCTGCAGATTTTTCAAACAGCAAAGTGGGAGGCGGACTTACTAGTCCTACTTCCACACGCAAAGCGAGGAGGGATACGTTTTCTCCGCGGTCGACGTTCCCCGCTGAGGACCGCGCGCCGCCTAGTCGGAGGAGTACGACGAAGATTGAGCGGCCGAGGAGTCGGAGTCGCGCGCGCAGTGTTGAGTTTGCGAGTGATCGTGAGACGGATATCAGAGAGAGTATGCCGCATCGGAGGGAGAAGGATAAGGCGTGGTGGGAGGGACGGCGGTAGTACGCACTTCCTACTGGGATGATATGAAAAGTTGGATTCAGCGCGTGATATTTCTTTAGACTATCTTCTTTTTCGGTTGACTTCATATGGAGGGTTGGATATATGCGGATACCCTTTTAGATGTAATACGATTCAATACTTGATTGTGAGAGTGGACTGTGCACGATACCGTTTACTATGGCCGCGAGTAACTCAGTGCTTTTCTTATATTCAGTAAGATGCTGGCATGTCACTCCTACTCTAATGCCACAACAAGCATATATATCGGTTGGTAAGTACCTTGGTACCGGTTGGTCATGCAATGCCCACGTTACCACTTCACCCGTCACCCGCAACCCAGCCTGACCAAACAACGAACACCCACCTAAAATCCAAACTCGCAATCCTCACGATCAGTTCATCACGAGATAAGGGCAAACAAAAGAAAGGCGATAATCCCACCCATCGACGTGGAATCTTGGATGATCGACCCCATCGGGCATACCCACAGATCTCCTTTCTAGACCCTGGCTCGTGAGGCTTCGATCTGCCAAGGGAATCCTGGCCCGGTCTTTGCAGTCAACGGTTTCAGTGAGTAATGCGCGGACCGATTGCTATTAATGTGCTATTTCTTCCACAATTGCGATGATGGCGATGATGGAGATGTGGTGACATGATATGATGTACTGTGTTGTGATGTTTGCGGCGGAGGTGCAGGAGGCGGGATGTGAGTGGCTAGACCCAAAGTCGATGATGGCTGCGCCGCCCGCCCATCGCTCGGGAAACGGACGTGCGGGAATATCGTTTTCGTGGGTGGAACGCGCAACGCTGCATGAGAAGGCCGTGTAAGCAGCCCGTGGACACGACGATATTCTCACGAGGTATAGCGATGACCGTCCATGGGATATCACCTTTTCGAAAAGTCATGTCCTCGTAATGTCCAAGACATCAATACGAAAAGCGCATTGATGCCTTGCTCGGAACAATATCGTGTTGCGGAGCCCTCATGTTATATTTAGGGTTGCATTGCCCTCTAGCGCTAGTGTCTCTCGGGCGCCCCCCTGCTTGTATCCCATTCGCCGCCCGCCGCTGGTGCTGAGCTGGGCTTTGGCTTTGCAGCTAACAGATACGACGCTGAGACCAACAAACCTCTCCTTTCACTTCCGCCGTTGAGACAAAAACCATCAATCGCTTTATCGCTTTATCGCTTACCTCGACTCGTCGCCTATCTTCACCCTTCGCCAGTCGCTCGTTTAACGGACGGAGAGGTGTTATTGTAATATCCATTCGTCGTTTCTCCGCGTAATACTTGTGTCGCGTCGCCTCCGAAGCTCTTCTCTCTCCCGTTCCGTCACGCCTGAGAGTTGCACCATTCCTGAGATTCCACGAGGAACTCTTCCCGCTTGCGAAACGAAGCTTTAGCCGGTACACACGTTTTTGGAGCTTCGAAAGGACGAAAGGAGACTTGTTTCAGGCACTATCCGGACAATATGAGGCCGTCTCAGCTCCTCGCTGCCGTAGTGGCCATGTCGTCGGTTACGCAGGCCATGAACGTCAAGCATGCATTCGACAATATCCATGGGTTGACTGATGTCAAGAACGTGCTCATGGGACGTCAGGACAACAGTAAGTTTGAGCATCTTTGAAGTTGAATGGGTTGGGTACTAATACCATGATTCAGACAACAATAACAACAACGACAATACCTCAGACGCACCCGCCAGCACACAGCCTGCAAAGACATCCGCCGCGGACAAACCCACCGAGACGGGCGACAACAACAATAACAACGATAATAACAACAACGACAACAAGTCCTCCGGCACCGCAAAGGAAACCGCCAGCGGCACCCAAAAGCCCAGCGGCTCCAAGACTACCGGCAAAGGCTCAAAGTCCACCAGCTTCGACGCCCGTCTCCCCGCCGGTGGCCTCACAATGGTGACCCCCAACGCCCTGGCCGGCACGCAATTTTACAAAGTCGGCGACTGGGTAACTTTCGCCTGGAACTACACCTCCCTCTCCGTGACCCCCTCGGCCATCGACGTCCTCGCTTCCTGCACCGCCAACCAAGCTACCTACACCATCGCCGTCAACATATCTGCGAAGCAGACGGAGGTTCTCTGGGATACCAAGAGTACTCCGGATGGCCAGGCACCGTTCTTGACCGAGAACTACAAGTTGCTCATCTACGACTCGGATCTTAGTGCTACTGCTGCGCCCAGGCCCGGATATCTTGGAGCGTTCACTGGGTTCACCTTTGGCATGTACCTGCCGCAGGAGTACATTTCGCTCAAGGATGGCTACACTTGCCCCAACTGCAATGGCGCGCTTTCTCTTACCGAGAAGAAGACACTTGCTGCTATGCTGCTTACCACTGGTACAACAATCGGCTCCATGCTCTACTTCACCTACCAGTTTGGTGTCTGGTAGATGAAGCACCTCTTCGATACACGTACACGTAGATCTACGAAACGCAAATCCGATAAAACGCAAGAACTCGACGCTTCACCGCTCACGATTACGGCATATCACAAAACATTCCTTTTACGCCACTTCACATCTGTCCATATTTTGCCACTCATTTACAAAAAGATCAGGCGCTTTCTGGTGGGGGAGCAGATACACGGGAGCATATGTGTGTTTACACTCCTTCTTTGGGACAACATGGGCATCTGGTGTTTGGGAGTTACCGTCGATTGAAAGACAATGTTCTGCATTTGGCTCGAGAGTATAAAGATATGTAATACTTGGATTGTTCTGGTAAAGTTACATACGCAGTGGAGATGTGTATATGGAAATGGATGGATGGATGTGAAGGGGATGGGGTGAAGTGTAACAAGTTCTTCACTTAGATTGAAAAGAGGGAAAACAAATGATAAAATATCTTAAGCCACTTCACTTTGGTCTGAGAATATGCCACGTGAGAAGTTTGTTGTCTGGAGCTAACAGGATCTCCAGAAGAGGATAAAGACGATATCGTTTCTTTGCAAGAAGACCACCAGTCGAGCGGGATTTGTATGATCTACTTGTATTACACACGTCAGTCTTCATCGGCTTTCTCATGCGCTTTGAAACAAGCGTTCTTGAACTGCGACTCAGAAGAAGACGATGATTCAGCTCTTCTTAGCGGCAGAGGTGCAGCTTCTTCAGGCGATGGTAATCATCATCATCACTTTCCTACTGTTTACACGACGGAGCTGGTAGCTCGTGCATCTCCACACTCGTATTAATGCCTCCTGTTCAACTTTTCGACTCTCTACCTCACATCTACACCCGTTCCTTGAATTTCCAAAATGCCGGCAACCAGGACCCATGTGTGGAGAGGACGTTCCTTGTCCACCAAAAGAGCGGCTGTCATCGAGTATGGAAACTCCACGGCAAATTTTCTACCTTCCAAAATACAGTCTCCATCACTCCTGATGTACCAGCTGCGATTTGCAACTTATACCAAGATCAGAGAAGCTCTCATCGATGGTCCTCTTTGTCCAAAAGAGCCGACGTAAAAGCTCATGTCTTTCGCCGGTCGTCAATAAAAACACAATTGTCCGACCGATAGTTAAGGGAAGTTGACGATTCCGACATGAGTGGCGCTGTCTCCGCAAGAAGCGATACCGCATGCGGTCTTGGTGTCGGTATAAATATCCACCGCTCATATCTTTTACGCTCTTCTCTGTACTCAGCTCTATACTCGATTTCCCAAAAACAACACTCTAACGGACCATGTTTGAGCCATTCTTCTGCATCTCTCAAAAGCACTTGGTTTTACCACTATGCAGACACTCCGAGCTATACCTGCTATTATATATAAAAACAGTATGGCTAAGGCTTATGTCTGTCTCCTCTGACGGGCCGCAAACTTCTTTGAAATGAGCGATATCTCGGTCATCTTCTGCAGCAAAAATGATTTTAAGCGCAGAACGTATGTCTTTCGCCTGCGATTGATAGAACTACACCAAAATTACGAATGACTTTCAAAAACACGAGGTCTTCCGCTAATGAGAATTAACGCTATGACGGAGACTTACATGTCCTATGCGTCTTCTTGCATATGAATATCCACTAATTGGACGCCTCGTATTCTTCTTCATCACAACAACACTTCACTGTCTTTCTAAAAGACGAAGGCTTTTGGTTCATTTTAGTTGCGCGACTCTCTTCCCACAAAGAATTGCGACTCAACTCAAAAACGGGCACTTCCAACGAATGGTCTCTTCTCCGTACCAACGCCACATCCCGTCCTTGGATTCTGTTCTGACTCTCTGCACTTAAATCCCTACCATCATACTCCTCCTTCTCTCCTTCGTTCCAACAAGTACTCATTTTCTTCAAAAACGATCCAATGACGTGCAAATGTCGCTGGCGCCTTCCGTCCTCCTCCAGAACATACCATGATCAAGTCATCAGAGCGCTCTCATCCCCATCCTCTATCTGCTCAAAACCACAGTGCGCTCTGCGATGTCCTCGTTCTCGACTGAGCTGAGGCTTAGTCCAAAGTCGCAAACATGATCTCAATGTGTCGACTGGGTTCGCTGTTCAAAAATGCGAAAGCGAAACATTCATGTTCTTTGCCTATTGTGACCAAAGTCCTGGCGGGCTATCGGAGCTTGATTAAAATATGGATTCTGGACTTCAATGATCGGAGCTGTGCTGAAAAGTCTTCTGTTAGATCTTGCAGGCTCTAACTTCATGTGTTGCCGTTGATTGTGAGAGCGCTCCTATCGGTCAGCTTGAAAGCAAAGTGCAGCTCGCCTACGCAAATAATTATGAAAGTAAAATTCATGTATTCGTCGGGTGATTTCGATCACTTTATCTAAAATGGAGGAATGCACAAAGATATGAGATTTGTTGCGCGGGTTTTGATACCATGGAAGATATCGAGGAAAGTTTGATTGTAAAAGATCTACAGAAGAAGAGAAGACGACTACCGAAAGTGACACCCACCAGAGACGATGAGATCCACCCTGCACCAAAGCTCAAGCCGATAGGCCTTCCACTCTACGCGCGGCTGAAGCACTTAGTAACCAACTCGCGATCAGTCGAGCCATTGGGCGTCAAACCAAGCACATAGCTCTGATCAAACGCACCAGCCGACCAGCCAATGTAACCAAGGTAAACATCGCTGTTCTTGTTCAGGCTATCAAGCGCAGCGCAAACATCCTTCTCGCACGAAGCAGTGTTACCGCCACCGACCTCAGACAAGATAGCCTGACGCTTGTTGTCACGGAGCCAGGTAGCAAGCGGGACGAAAGAGTCCTCGACGTGGTCGCTGGTGCACTCAGCGTGGGTGCCGGAGTTGTCGCTGTCGAGGTAACGGTGGACGTCGAAGATGAGCTTGTCGGTTGTGCCGTCGGCGTCCTTGACCTTGAGGAGGGAGGGGCCGCTGGCGGTGGGGAAGGTACCCGCGGATGTGTAGTCGGTTCCGGGGAGGAGGATCATTTGCGACTTGGCACCTGCCTTGCGGATGGCGGTTACGGCGGCCTGGCATGAGTCGGCCCAGGTGGACATTGTAAGGTCGTGGGGCTCGTTCATCAGGCCGAAGGCAACGTTCTTCTCGGATGCGTACTTGGTTGCGATCTTGGTCCAGACATCCGCGAACTGTGCGTTTGTGGGTCCGCCCTGGCCGACGATCTGGCCGTTCCAGCGGGCGTAGTTGTGGAGATCGAGGAGGCAGACTGCGCCGGTGGCCAGGCAGCCTTTAACGAGCTTGTCGTAGGCAGCGCTGACAGTCGCGTCGAGGTTACCGCCGAGGGTGTTGCCGGTCAGATGCTGCCAGCCGATGGGCAGACGGTAGATGTTGAGCTTGTCGTCCTTGGTGAAATGCTGCATCTGAGCAATTCCACTCGCGCCGGGGTCGACGTAGGCTCCGCTGCAGGATCCAGATGTGTCGCAGCCGAAGTCGAAACCGGCGATGTTCATACCGGCGTATTGGGTCTTTCCGGAGCTGGCTGCTGCGTTGGCGGCGACGGCAGCCTTGCTGGGGGCGGCGGCGGCAGCAGCTGCTGGAGAAGAGGTCTTCGCAGCGGGTGCCTTGGTCGCAGTCATCATGGTTGTAGGAACAGGGCTTGCCGCTCCGGCACCAGCTCCAGGAACACACTGCGAGTACCAGTCGTTCTGGACCTCACAGTGGTAGCCGGATACACATGCGGTCGCACCGGTGAACCCCTTTCCACCACACTGTGTGTATGCTGCGCTCTGCGCAGCGTAAGCACCGCTTGCTGCTAGAGCAGCGAATGCAAAGGAGTAACGAGCCATTGAAGCGAAGGTTGGATGGAGGAACTAAGGACTTGAATAGATGAAGGAGTGACAATGCGGTCTAGCACAAGAAGAAGTAAAGGATTGAAACTTCACAAATGTGATAGAGAACTATAGAGAGGGTGGGCAGCTGGCGCTTTTATCATCTCATGGTAAGAGTACCTAGGTAAGTACCTCCAGGGTCACGTCCTTGCGTTTCCAACCCGTTCGAGACCTACATTCCAGAAGACGGTGTGGCGGCACGTAGTCTCCGCATTGTTCCCACCGTTTCATGATCATTACCGAGAAGCTCGGTGGTATTCAGTGGCTGTGAGCAAGAAACACGGGAACTGGGTTGCTGTGCGACGTTTCCCGGCATCTGGAGCTGTCAGTGCTGTCATCGGAATGCGGCGGCTAGTCCAAGCGAGATGGTCGACCCGCTTTTCGTCTTGCTCACGAGCACGGCGAGCGGTTTCGAGCCCGTTCGTGGTGTTGGAGTGAAACGACTAGGCTGGGTTTTGTGGGGAACGGCGTAATGTTTCCTCATTTCGCCAAGATGAGAGGGGTGTGACAAGCTTCAGGATTCACGGAGAAGAGAAGCTTGGTATGCTTGTTCAAAGATGCATCATCGTGCTGGAAGGCTTGTTTTCAGAGGCGCAAGGGAGAAATATCTGGTCCTTGTGGTTCAGTGATTAGACTGTCGTACGTCTTTGCGACGTGGAGTTGGATCGTCAAAGTCGTGGGGTGAGCCGCGGTCCAGGTACCGCCGGGTTACAACCGGTGGAAGAAGTCGACATCGTGGAGTGCTTAGTTTGTTTTACAAACGTGCACATTCGTAACGGTTAGACAGCGATGATCTCATGTCATCATGCCGTACGGAGAAATTACGCGTGCTTCGTGGCTGCCATTCTGTTCATCTTTGTGGTATCGCCTTAGAAGTCTGAGACATTCTGTACCGATCTTCGTCCTCGGCTTCAGAGCGTCCCGATGCGCAAAGAAGTATCCAGACAGATTTGCATGTCTTTGTGAAGTCTGTACTCCTCAGGTGCGCCTTGTTTTCACCTGCTGGCCTTGCCGCCCATCTTCGAAACCATCTATGCAGTCGGAAGTAACATCACCACCCGTGCGCCATTATCTTCTTTTTCTTCATTGTTGACGTCGTGTATTCCCTCATATCCTTGTGTTGATAAGAACTCAGCCGCAGAGGCATCAGGTTTCGCCTCCTTATCAACCACGTGCCGTTTCCTCTGGTCATCGCCGTTTCTTTCTAGCCCTGCACATCACGCGGTGGGAATGGATGGCTGATTGTCCATCGATGATCGCATTCGTCTCGTTCCTCGTTCCTTTATACCGATATTGGATCATTTACTCAAGGTTGGCAAGTCCAGTCAAGCGCGGTTAGCATGTCTTCCGAATATCTTATATCTGTTACAGTCCACCATTCGGAGCTTGGTCTCCTGGAAGAAACTGTTCTCCACTCGAGTAGCGAGGTTGCAAAGAACTCGATAGTTATCATGCCAAGATGCTGTGGGCGACGATTAGAGGCGACAGCCTTCTCCGTAAAATCATCTACCGTCTCGTCAACTGATCGGTAGCTCGGAAAAGTCTCGATAAGTCTGTCGCAACATTATCCAATACTTTGCATGTGCGGTGAGTTCTTTTCATCCAGTATTGTAATCTGCATGTCGACCCCGCCTTTCCCAGAACAGTTAGCTTGTGTAACTTCGCAGCCATCGGTACAGTGTATATGAAGTGCTTCCTAGCCTTGTGACTGTTATCTCGTCTCCTTCTCGTTGCTCTCAGATCAGATTGAATTGTGGGATCGACGAGCAGGTCCTAAGGCACATTCAAGATATTCAAATCCAAAGCTATAGTCGCAAGCCTCACCCGCTGCAACCATCGATCGAGCTTACTTGACACCATGCCTACGGTCGCTATCAAACCTGGTGCGACAGTGTTTGTGACCGGCGTCAATGGGCTCGTCGGAAGCCATGTCGTCGATCAGCTCCTAAAGCGAGAATACAATGTCCGCGGTGCGGTGAGAGATGCCGAGAAACACAAATACATGATCAAATACTTCGACGACAAGTACAAGAAGGCGAAGTTTGAGTTGGCCGAGGTGCCGGATATGACAGTCGAAGGATGCTACGATGGCGTCGTTGATGGTACGTCGAACCTAAAGTCATCAGTGATGTCTTGACTCCAGATACTAAGTTACTATTGTATAGGTATCGAAGGCTTCATCCACGTCGCTTCTCCAATCGGAGGCATCTCCGACGTCAATGAAGCGATCTCGATTACCGTTAAGGCGGGTCTAAACGGCCTCAAGGCTTGTGCGAAGGTACCCTCATGCAAAGGCTTCGTCTTCACCTCGTCATCCCTTGCCGCGACGTTTCCTCATCCCAATGTTGAATTCTCAATCGATGAGAACACATACAATGACGAAGCGTTGAAAATTCTGGAGAAAGAGCCAGGTAAACCAGGGCTGTTCGTCTACGCCGCCATGAAGACCGAGACCGAGAAGGCGATGATGAAATGGATGGAAGAGAATCAGCCAGGCTTTGTGTTCAACCGCGTTGTAAGCGGAAAGTCGAATGCCCCGGAAAGAACATCACTGACCCCAGATAGTTGCCAAACGCCAATTTTGGCCCTGTCGTGATCCCTGAGCATCAAGGCTTTCCTTCAACCATTGGTTGGGCCCGTGCGGCATGGGAAGGCAAACAGCTCGACTTTTGGACAACTTCCGTTGGTCCACAATGGTATGTCCATCCAGTTGACTGTGCGCTCCTGCACATCTCCGCGTTGATCCACAGCGATGTTAAGAATGAGCGTCTCTTTGGCTTCGCGGAACCGTGGAGCTACAACCAGATGATGGATACATGGCGTAAGCTGTATCCTGAAAGGAAGTTCCTGGATAATATTGAAGGCATGGGTGTTGACCGAATGAGTTTACCAAATGCCAGAGCTGAGGAAGTCATGAGCTGGCTGAAGGGTCCGGGCTCGAGATGGGATAGTCTTGAGAAGGGCTTGCGAGAGATGACTGAAAACTGGGTTTGAGGTCCTATTGTTCTGTATCTTGCTTTGTGTTCGGCTTTCATCAGCTGCGTGATTGTTTAGCTGGACGTACCATGTTACCAATGGAGTCATGTCAGTTCCTCGAACAAACCCTACTCAAATCTCTCACAGTCAGCCTGCGAGTCTTTCCTCTTCTCTTTCGAGTTCAACCCTTCCGTATCGTGAGATTCTTTGTGTAACAGAGGATGGAAGATTTTGAAGCGCGGCCGCGGTAACCCAATCCCGTACGTCAAGCCACTACAACCCACGACCGCTCAGGGCGCAGGAAAATTAAACCCTTGTCCCCCGCAAAAGTAGCCTACGATACGCGGGGAGGCAAGTTGGGGTTGGCGAAAGCAGGTCGCCAAGTCGTGAGGCTATTCGTGGAGAAATGTCACCGGCTGCATCCAAGACGAGGCGTTCACTTGGCGACGCATCTCATAGTCTGGGGATACATCGGTTAAATCTGCGCCAAGTTTGCTACACCACCATCCTCGCATCTTCATTCACGGAAACGACCTGGATGCCAGTTCTTCCGCTGGCTTGGAGGCTGTGATGCCGGGGTAGCTTTGTGGAAGCTATGACCTTGTGCAGCTACACGAGCATATGGAAAATGGTCGCGCCAGGATTGTAAATGGAATCGTGCGAGAAGAATGCGCGTGATGAGGCTTCTGGACGAATGGAGAGCTGGGCGAGGAGGTCTTGTGGGAGATATAAAAGCTAGGGCGCCTGCGAGCAATGCAAAGTATCTCTCCTGCATCTTGACAGTCTTCAATTGACCTAGAATCTCGGTCAGAAGAGCTCAAATCCCCTCGTCTTCCACAATCAGCCGTCACGATGAAGCTCGCTACCTCTGTCATCCTCCCTCTACTTCCTGCGCTTTCATCGGCAGCAGTGATTCGTCGTCAGAATGGCGATGGACCGCAAGGAGGTGCAGACTCAACCCAGGGCGATCTCGGTGCACGACCTCTTCCACGATTTCCTTTCCCGGTTACCAAATTCCCGGTACCGACCGAGACTGTCGTTCTCAACGAGACAATGTATATCCAGCCAGGTCAGGTCTTCGATGGGCAGATGAAGCGTTATGAGCGTGTGGAAGGCTCGTGCAACGAACAGGCGGAAGGAACAGATGCCGATGCTGTCTTCAATCTTCTGCCTGGTGCTACGATTAGAAATGTGGTCATTGGAAAGCACCAGAGCGAGGGCATCCACGCGTTAGGCGATGCATGGGTCGAGAATGGTAAGCTTCGAGATCGCAGTTGATCTGACCAGTATACTAACTTCTTACTATAGTCTGGTGGGAGGACGTCTGCGAGGATGCCCTTACGTCCAAGGGCCTCAACACCCAGCTTCGCGTTATCGGAGGCGGTGCTCGATCCGCAACTGACAAGATCTTCCAGGATAATTCACTGGGCGGAAAGTTCAACATCACCGGGTTCTACGCTGAGACTTTCGGCACCTTCTACCAGTCGTGCGGCAACTGCTTGAACCAGGCGAAGCGCAATGTCACCATCCAGAACGTCATTGCCATAAATGGTACCAGGATGGGGATAGTAAGTTCTCTAAGGTCCTCCTCTTTTATCGTCATTTTGCTAACACGTTGGTAGATTTCACCCAACTACGGCGACGAGTACCGCATCAAGAACGCCCAGGTTGCCGACGTCGAGCGCTGGGTTGACAAGGAGATCGGAAACAACGTTCAGACCGTCCCATACACTGTTGGAACAGGCCCGGATGAGAAGTACGCGCTGTACAACCTCACACGCGACCACCTTACCGACTTTGAGGGTGAGATCTTGAACCAGTATGTTCCTGAGAACCCGTACGAGTGGCTGGAGGAGTTCTGGCCAGAGGGTACCGGTGCCGCGAGGAAGTAGAGCGTTGTAGTAATGATCTAGTCGATGTAATCAATAATGATAGCGTTTTATCGTGGAAATGTCCCGTCGATCAAGACTCGCGTTCGTGTTTGTCGGTTGCTGTGACTTCCAGCATCATGTACACTTCGGTAAAGCAATGTGCGGGTGGCGGTTCTGGTAGAGCCACCATCAATGAAGAATGCTTACCCTAATAGGCGCTATTGAGAGATATTGTGGATGATGAGTGATGTGGTAAGCGACGCGTGCGCGCGCGCAGGAGCTGTCTGCTCGGGAACTAGACTTGAGGCGGACAAGGGCCGCGAAAGCACAGACATCCCCGCCGTGCGTCTGCCCAAGGTGGTCCCGCTCAGCCTGCGTCCTCCTCATTACTTCCACGCCACAAGATGGAGGCATACAACCAGGCTGACTCTCATATGATGACGCTAGTTGGCCAGGCTATGCAACGCGTACATGCGCGACGAGCGTTGCGGCTTTATTGTGGCTGATCACTGCCTCACTCCTGTCGCTCAGCAGAAGGCATAGTACGCCTCCACATTTTCCAAGATTGGGTATAAACCAGTTAGCTTCCTGCAATAACCTCCTATTGCAACTTGACTTTCGAAGGAACCCTCAAAGACAAATAGTTAAACTTCAGTTACCTATACCAGCAAAACCTTCACACCTCTCAACCTCCTTCAAATTAAACAGCAAGCGCGAAGGACAGCCAAGAACCAACCTGAGCTGAGAACACTTTTCGGTTCGTCGAGGCTCTTGAGGCCCTATCACCACGCCATTGGGCGTCGGGTGCTGGGGGCGCCTTCTCCACGTTCGTCGACCATCATCCTGCCCTCTGATCTTGAAGCACACTGCTTCCACGACTATACCCTTTGGACTCGGCAGAACATCGCCTGCTTACTATCGCATATCTACAATCTATCAGCCCTATATGAAGCGATACCCCTAAGGGAGAAGGAGAAATATTGCAAACACAAGCAACTGCAGTCACAAACGGCTTAACCGAAAGATGATCTCAGACTTTCACCCTATTGTTTAAACGCCAATACACACCTTAATTCCAGGCCTGATGTCCTGCTGCTGACTGTTTGGCAAGGGTCTCATAGCCTTCGCCGTCTGTCTTCTTCATCACAACAAATCCAATTGAGCACACGCGAGCGCCGCGATTAGGGCTCTACATCTCATCTTTTGTTTCACCGCATGAGGTCGAGTACAACGTCAATCCCGTCATTCATGGTCCATATTTGCCTCCAAGCGCAGCGCCAAACAAGCAACTCGCAAGTACGGAAGCAAAGGAGGAATCTGAGGTCATTTCCTATCCAACGTCTGCTATTTGTTGTTCTTTAGCACATTCGGAAGAACTAATATCCAGAGCGCAATGGGACCAGCCATCACAAGCTCGTTCCCACGCTCGACCGGGAATCAACTCTAAGGATCGTACCCATCTCTTCTCTTCCATCACGCTTCTGAAAGGAACGCCCTCGCCCGAAAATTCGATCGATGTGGGAAGCACCCCTACTACAAATATCTGGGAATTATCCTCAAATGGTGGTACCGCCAACACTGACTCAAGCGACTACACGTCAACTACACGAAACATCGACTCCGTCGCCACTTCGCAAAGCCCAGAGCAAGTCTTATACTTTTTGGCCCCTTCTCTAGGAAATCAAGATGTATCTAAAAGGCAAAGTGAAGTTGACGATAAGCCTGTTCAGCATGGCTGCTGCGATCTCATCTTCAAACGCACATGCGATTTCAAGTAAGAATTCAATTCTGGACACCTTATGACTAGAGAGCTGACCATCTCTTTTACAGCAATCACATTCGTCGCAAACACGAAAAGCGACACGGCTGTACCTATCCAAGATGCTACAGCGCCTTCGGTCTGCGTGCAGATCTGGAGCGACACCGTCAAATTCACGAGTCACCACGCACCCGAAGTCGCTTTCGGTGCCCCGAGCCGGGCTGTAAGAAACTCTATCCAAGGAAGGACAACATGCTCAAGCACTTCAGCAAAAAGCATACATGACCAGTCGCACTCTATCAAAGCTGTCGCCTCCGTTATAAACGATCGACTCTCGCGACTCATGGGATACTATTGACCGTTGAGCTCTCATTCGCGGGCATGTTTCGATCGCTACTTTCTGTACAGCTCTTTCTGTGCTGCTATTCGTTGTACTTAACCGGATCGTTTTCATTTTCCGCCGCCGTCAGCTCTGCTACGGACAACTTCGACACCCTCAACTTGGCGTGGGCTCATAGGTACTAACTCACGTCCTGCACTTTACTTTGCTCACTTGAAGAGTTTCAATGAATCTGCGTTACAAAGAAATCGCTTCCATTCTATTCAAGACATTAGGATTGATGTTGCATTATCCTATCCCGCTGACAAGAATCAGGTCCAATGAAGATATGCACCAACCCACGGTCATATTTCGCAAGCAACCTTCAAATTCTTATTCACGCAAAGAAATACTAAAGTCGTTCCACTATGAGTCCCCTCCCCACATTCTCGCCGTCGCCGTCGCCCTAGCTTCCCAGCTCTTCCGCGGCCCACACCCCACCACAAAAATTCTCACCGCACCAACTCCACCATCTCCAACCACAAGCAAACAACATAATCATTACAATTCTCACGCCCTCCATCAACCAATCAAATACCCCCGGACAGATGGCCGGTAAGCTCAACAACACTCCTCTCTCCCTCACAAGTATCTGACAAAAATCACAGAGCTGGTTATGGCGCCAGGTTAAGGTTACTCTTAACATATATTCCTGGTCACGAAAGTGGCGTGGGTTCGAGTCCCACTCTGTTCAGCATTCGTCTGGCTATAGTCAGATACCCCAGGTATTCTTTTTTGGTGATTTTTTTTGGGTGAGGGATCGGGTCATGTGACTACTTTTTTTTGGCCATAGGTTCACCCTACTTAGTTATTATAATACATTCGAAGTACACATATATCTTATAGGAGGGGCCAAGATGATAGGGGTAGAGGAGGAGAGAGGACGTGGTGCGGCGACGTGATAAGGGTGCTCAATTATATTCGTCTGCACACGTTCTTGGTCTTGTCGTAGAGGGAGTACTTGCTTGATAGCACACATGATGTATACGTCTATTGTTATTGAGCCAGTTGCCAGGCGAACGTACCACACTCATCACATACTCTATCCTCTCTACTACAAACACCCCACCCTCACATCTCCAACGTCCCAATCCGACTCCCCACGTTCCCACTGTCACCCCAGACTCCATCACCAACCCTCCTCCTCACCATAGCTAGCACATCCTGCCTCCCACCATCCTGCTCCAGCTTCCTCCCCAGCGTCTTCAACACCTCAAACTTCGCTGTCGCAACGATATACGCCGCGTTCTCCGCATCGCCACGTCCGCCCACGAGGTTGGAAAAGGTTGTCGCTGGCTTGAGCAGTGAAGGGAGGACGCCGCCGCTGATAGTGGGATCTAAGATGAGATCGACACCGGATTCGGGGAAGGAGTTTAGACGGGCATAGGTCGGGTCGCTGGCGGGGATGTTGGGGAGTGGCTCGGTGGACCAAGTCGAGGTGATAAGGGCGCCGACGAGGGTCAGGGCTGCGAGGGCGTTTTCTTTCATGGCGATGGTTTCCATATGTGTGGTTATATCGGCGAACATGCTTGGTTTCTTGCTGTAAAAGAGGGCGGTGAGGAGGCGGGCGTATGCTGCTTCGGTCTGTGTGCGTTTGTTGTCTGAACCTATGGTTTCGGTTTGGGGAAATGTGATTTCTTCTTTTGGCGGACCGTGGAAGATCGTTGCAAGTGTTTTGAGCGCATCCTGGTTCGTCCGCGTTATTGGCATGTCGGTAATGACACAGTCATCCCAGGCTGGTCCTGAAGCTTTTCGCGGTATGAGCGTTGATCGAGGCATTGAAGCAATGATGTTCAGGTCGCTTGCTTCGCATTTGCGGATGTTGCGGTGGACGTAGTTTCGGATTGTAGGCATCTCGCTGCTTTTCTCGAAGTTCTCTGGATAATGCAATGCGTAGTCGCTGATGTACTGGGCTGTCCGACTGCTCAAGAAAGAGTGGTCAAGGCTGGGGTTGTTTGAGGTATGGAAGTCGACGATGCCTTTGTGTACGCCTTCTTCTATGAGGAAGTCTAGAGCAAGACTCGAGTCATAGTGAGAGAGATGAGGCTTTGCTTTGACCGTGGTGATCAATGTGCTGTAGAACTGAAGTAGAGTCATGTGCATGAGCATATCATCTTCTTTGTCGACCATCTTCAGTGCAGCGTAGTGAAGCAAGCCCTGGCCTTCCTTCAGTCCGACATCCTTTTCAGTATCAAGACCGTACGGGGACGTGACGGCATTCCAGTCCATAGCGGCGACGCGGGGTAGCCATGACAGTAGTCTAGCCTGTGAAATGGTTTTGTCACGTTTGTTCAGAAGTGGTTGAGGTGGCGATGTGAGGTTCTTGAGAGATGTGTAATGGTAGTACAGCGAACTGATGTCCCTGTCACTGAACAGGCGCCTCCACATAGGACCAGTGCCATATGTATGTAGCGAAGACTTGCCATCTATCGATACGGGCTCATTCTTCGACACTTCCAGTAATGAGATAAGAAGCTCTTCGGCCTGAGTAGCAACTCCAGCATCTTGGGTGCACAGCCACAGACGGACGATGGCCAACATGACCGCTGGCCGATTCGCAAGTGCTTGGGCATCGGTGCTACTTGTGGTGGCCTTCTCCAACAGTGTCAGGATGAGACTGTGAAATGGAGAAGCCTTTAAATCCAGTCCGATCTCGAAATCAATATCTTTGATATCGTCAAATCGATATGGTTCTGCCAACTTGATGATGAAGTGGGTGAGTGGCGTAGGGTCTTGTTGAAGGGTTGGCAGTAACGCCGCCATCTGCAGAAAGAGAGGTCTCGTCTCTTTCCATATCTGGCTACGGTATTCTGGGGTGTTGGTGGAGAGCTCGCATCGCTCAAGTAGATCTGTGTCGAGCGGAGTGGTAGGATCCTGGTCGACCTTTTGTAGATGCTCTGACAGCTCGCTGAGCGTAGCAGTCGATGCGGCCATTTTGGATGTTTGGTTGTAGTGTTTCTTGAGCAAGCTTGAAGAAGTTGGACTGTCGACGTTCTCGATGGTAGTCCTGGCTCGAGCGTGGCGGTTATAGTGTAAGAGAAGGTTCTAGGCCGCTCATGTGATTGCGCGTATAGGGCGAATCGAATGCACGCGTTCCTTGTAGCCTGATGCACGGTGATGGCGTCGATGCTGACTGCTTGGATTGCGACTGTACTTCGACCTGGATTACCCCTCGATATCAATCCAATCCGGGTTTGTAGATGCCTTGGTATCGCTTCGGATGTTCCTATTGTCGTCTACTAGAGTACGGGGGTCTAGTGTAGAGGTGGCGGGGCTGCGGGTGCAAGTTCGCTATTGGGACCCCACCCTCGAGCTCAGCCTAGCAAGCCGGTCGCAACTGCACCGAAATAATTTCTGACTCCACAACTCTCCCCAAACTCTCCTTCGACGACGCCGGATCGACTGTGCCGCGCAGAAACACTACACTAGACACAGCGACTCGTATAATACAAGAAATTTGACATGCCGCCAGCAAGAGGAGGACGAGGTGGTGGCCGCGGAGGTTCGCGCGGAGGTGCCTTCAATCCCGCGCGAGGAACCGTGACGATTGCGGGAACGGAGCTCAACTGGGATCTTACTGGCCTCGACATTCAGAAGGGGCCTGCCGAGCGCTTTCCAGTGAGCATTTCCCTTTCTTCGTCGCATACCCATCAGCCGAGTCGCGACTGCTTTGCGCACGTTTTGTAGCACTGCGCATGTCCATATAATGTTGTCGCAACCACCATGCCTCGCCAGTCGCAGTCACAGTCGCAGTCACAGTCGCAGTCACAGTCGCAGTCACAGTCGCAGTCGCAGCAATCTACCAGCACAACACTGAAGAGCGCATCTTTGATCCACCCACTAAGTCACACACAGGAAGCACCACCTCCCCAAGCGCCTCCACCAACCGACGATGAGCTAGCCATGGTAAAGCACCACCTCGCAGTCCGAGACCGCATCCACGAAGGCCCCTTCTACACTATCCTCAACGACGGCATGAAGAACGGGCTAAAGCGCAAGGCCAACGAGCCAGCCCCCACCGAAGCCTCGCTCTTCGACCCCTTCACCGGCAACCAAACCTACTCTGCAAAATACCTAAAAGTTCGCCGGCGGCTCCCAAAGCTAGACGCGCGACCATACGGCAAGTCTCCATGAACCATCACAAGACCGTTCATATAGAACTAACACCCCACGCAGTCGTCGACCTCTTCCCCACCGAACTCCGCACAACCCTCACCGGCACAACCAGCACCAGCACCTCCAATACCAAAAAGCCGCCCCGCCGCACTCTCGCCGTAACAAAAGTAAGCAGCGTCTCTCAAATCGAGCGGCTCATAAAATCCGAACAAGAGCGCACCAACGAAGCCGAGGCGCGCGCCGAAGAAGACGACGATGACGCCGAAGCCGAAGACGACGAGATTGACGAGGAGAAACCAGATGCGGTTGATGAGGAGGATAACTGGTCAGCGGCGAGCACGGACTCGGAGGAGAGCGATGACGATTATAATGCGGAGCAGTATTTTGATAATGGTGAGGATGAGGATATTGATGATGCGGATCCGTATGAGAATACATATGAGTAGGGGGATGTCAGTGGGAGGAGAGAGGATATGCAAAAAATATAGGCATGAGATTTGGCGTATGGATGGATGGCATATTGCGGGAAACAAGCAAGCGAGCATGACAGGCGTTCAGTTGAGTAGATACCCAAACTTTATTTTTACACAGCCAGCATTCAACTTGACTCTAAGCCATATCTTTTATAACCGTGTAGTGATCACAAACTCGCCGTAGCTCATATTTCCTCTTGAAGCAATGGAAATGTATGTCAAGAGTGGCATGTACAAGTTTCCATTCTGTTCGTTGTACGCTTAGGTGCTATGTACGTTTGGCTATCTAAGCCCTATACCATTCCATTCCATCTCATCTCATCTCATTCTTCTCCAATTCATCTCGCGTCCCCATTCGTGCATCCTTTCGTTCAAAACATACAATCCGAACGCCAAACAACAGAACGAGGGTATGTGCAAACGAAGTCGCTAGATCAACAAGAAACATCGACCGAAACCATCAAGAACATTCCTTCCTTCCATCCCTCGTGAATCCAGATAGTCGCATAGCTTAGCAAGGCTGCAAGTAGTTCGACGGCACAAGGCCAGGTCGACCAGTATTACCCACAGGTTCAGCTTCCCACCATCCATCATCCTGCAACCTAAGCACAGCCAAGATATCGCCCTTTTGGAAGCCCAGTTCCTCTGGGATCTGCGCTGCGTACGAGTACATTGCACGTGCTGTCATGATCATTAGCCAACGTTCCTCTTCATCAACATCAGTATATATAAAACGGTCAAACTTACAGTAGTTCAAAATCACCCTGCCCTGGCTATTATAGTTCTTCGGCTCCGCCAAACTCTTGCTCCTGGCCCTCGATTCCGCTCTCACGGAACCAACGCCAGACCCGCCGCTGAAGCCGAATTCGCTTCCTGCGCTGCCGCCGCCCATATACGAGCTTTGCGGGCGGGCGGTACTAGCGGTGCCTGGACGAGCTGAACTGGCGGTTGTGGGCCGGGCAGAGGAAGCTGTTCCAGGTCTACCACGTACGCTGCCTCCGTACTGGCTTCCGCCGTAGACACTACCGTCACCGCGCTCGCTGCCTGCGGTGGAGAGGGCGAGAGCCATGCCGCTGTGGGAGCTGCTGGGCCGTTCTTGGGATTGGCGGAATTGTGGGTTGGGGCTTGCGGCTCGGGAGACGGGGGCTGCTCGGGATGCTGGGCGGGATTGCGATTGCGCGTAAGCTGGTTGAGGGGGCTGTTGTGGAGGAAGGGGTGAGGCAGTTCGTGGAGTGGGGTTGACGCTGGGGGATGGGCCACGGTTCGAGGAGTACGAGTTACGTCCTACAGGTGTACCGTACGCTTGAGCAGCGGCCGTAGCTGTCTGTGCTCTGGGTCTTCCACCAGCATTGGATGCCGCATATGGATTTGGCGATGCTGTACGGCTGAACGAATTTGCGGGAGGGGCTTGTTGTTGAGGCCTTTGCTGCTGCTGCTGCTGCTGCTGTTGTTGCTGCTGCTGTAGCCTCGATGCCGGCCGTGGCGTTGGTTGTTGTGCCTGTTGTGGTCGTTGTGCAGGCTGAGCTACAGGTTGTTGGCGTGGAGCAGGCTGTGCTTGTGGTTGCGCTCTTGGTGCAGGCTGCGATGCTGGTGGTTGCTGTCGTTGCGCAGGTTGGTATGTCGAAGGCGATGATGGCTGTGATTGCCCTCCAGATGAGCGGTATGAGTTCTGAGAAGTATTGAGGGTTGGTCGAGGACTGATTGCACGAGGAGGTTGTGCAGGAGACGCAACACGTGGGGGCTCTTGCTTTGTTGGGCTGCGACTGGAGGATCGAGACGCCTGACTTCCGTTGAACATGTTCACCTTCTGATTGACATACATCTGCGTTGTCTTCTGCATAGCGCGCGAAGTATGCGCTGGCTTGGGAGCGCCCAGGTGAGACATGGGTGGTTGTTCGCGCGGCTGCTCACGAGGCTGGGGAGGCGGCTGCTCGCGTTTTGGCTGCTCGTATGTTGGTGGAGGCGTGCCTCGCTTTGCAGCGCTCAGGTCGACATTAGAAAGGGGAGTAGGTGCACCGCCTGCCAACTTTGACCCGACAGCAGGTGTACCCGGAGCAGGCGTTGCGAGACCATGGTAACGATCGGCAGTCTGGCGAGAAGAAGCCTGTTTGCGATCATCTGGCTGCTGACGAACAGACGTCTGCTTAGTGACACCTCTCAGCTCCTCAAGGGCCTGCGCAATTGGATCAAGATCCTCTTGCGACTCTTCCTGCTCTTGTTGCTTCTTCTTGTCCGGCGAGGCCACGTCGAAAACGTTGTTACCAACGTTGAGCTGGAAGTTGGCACGAGGATCAGCTGGTTCAGGGCTGGGCGAGGGAGCGCGGCTCTGTATAGCATTGCGAGGAGCAGCTCTAGTAGCAAAACTCTTGGTTGGACTGGCATTCTCCTCTGTGTTCCTGCGAGCGGGAGCTGCCCATGTGTTGCGGTTGCGATTGGCAGGAGTAAGAGCTGCTGGAGTCTCGACCTCGTGCTTGCTCTTTCTCCGTGCGAAGGGGCTGTTGAAGAAGCCCCTCTTCTTTGCCACTGAGCCCTCCTCGATTGGGCTGGGTTCAGGCAACGGTGACTGTGGCATTGGCTTGCCAGGAGAAGCTGAACCACTTGGAGGCTCAATGCTGGAGAAAGACGTGGGGTTGGAGTAATCGCTCTGTGAATCCCTGCTGGCAGGTCGAGCGGGACTTGGGATCGAGCTGCGATCAGACGGCGCATCGATGCGGCAGAACTGTGTCATACCATCCGCAGGATAGTCGTTCTGTGGGACCTGACTTTGCTGGTATTGTTGCCGGGCTTGTTGCTGTGCTTGTACCAATCGAGGATCTGGTTGTACTGCGCGAGCGACTTGCGGGGATGGAGGGGCTTGTTGTGGCTCTGGTTGCCTTGGTGGCTCCACATGTTGTCGCAGGGGTTCAATGTGGTGTTGTTGTCTCAGAGGCTCGATGTGGTGCTGCTGCTGCTGTCTTGGTGGGTCTGTATGTTGCCTCAAAGGCTGTACGTGCTGTTGTGGCTGTTCTGCACGTTGCCTCAGCGGTTCGACCTGCTGATGCTGGTAGTCCCCATTTGATCGGGATTGTGCACGCGACCGGGTCGATTGTGCATACTGTCGGGGAGATTCTGCCTGTTGATGGGGAGACTCTCCACGCCTGCGGGGTTCATCCATGAGTGGAGGCGGTGGTTCCACTGGCTGTCTGAATGATTCTACAGATTGTCGAGGCATATCTATAGACTGACGTTGTGGTGGACGGTCTAAGGACTGTCGCGGTAGTATATCGTCAGGAGCGATCGGGCGTGTTTCTTGTGGGAGACCTAGCTCTCGTACTAGTGGGTTGTTTGGATCGTGATGCGAGGAGAATGTAGATGGCGCTGGTGATGAAGCGCGATAGGATGGGTTCAAGGTCCTAGCAAACTGGGCGACTGAGTAGTTCTCGTCCTCGTCAACTTGCGATGAGGTCTCGGCGTCTCCTCTGCAGAAGTTGATGAACTTGGGAGGGTCGGGGATCTCCTGGCCAGTACCGGACTCCTTGATGAAGCCGCTGATGTCCTTCTCTACGTCGCAGTCCTCGAGGGACAAGCGCATCTTCTCGCATGAGGCATCGTCGCTGACGCATACTGTGGAGGCAATGTTGGCAAAGTTCCATAGACTGCTCTTTGTGTAGTCGATGCGCTCCTCTTCGAGATCCTGGAACTTGTCGCAGGCGGCTTTCCAGTCCCTGTTCCATCTGCCAGTGGTCTCTTCGAGCACCTTGACCGCGGCTTCGTATTCGCTGCTCGTTGTCGCCAGATTGATTTGTGTCTTCTCGAGCTTTGCCTTGTTCTTCCGCTCCTCATGTCCCATGACCATGTGCGCCTGCGCTAGGAAACCCTTGATCTTGAGACAGTCCTGCTCGTATCGGTCGCGTGCCTTGTTGACAGTCGACGTCTGCTGCATCTTCAGCTTGAGGAGCTTCTCGATGCCGTTCTGCACGATCTTCCTGCGCTCCTTCATTCCACCAGCGAAAGCGGCTAGTGGTTCTTCTAGCTCCGTCTTCATCTGCTGTGCTATGCTCTGGTGCGCCTTGCCCATGGATTCGACCTCGGCTCGGATGACATCGCACGACAGTCGTAGGGTGCCGGTTTCGCAGGATCCCAGGGGCTTGCGCGATAGGTTGAGGAGTTTCCGCGAGTATTCCTCTTCAATTGCTGAGCGGGCTGCGTAGAAGTTCTTGAGTTCGTCGTTGGTGACCTTGGCCGCATGCATGCGGTCGAGCATGGGACCGACGCCGGCGTCATCTTTGCCCCAGAAATTGTTGGCGACTGGAGGTGTTAGGTCAACTCTTATGGGAAAGTATAGAAGTCAACATACACGATAGGGAGACCGAAGGCGGCTCCGTCGCTGCACCACCCATGGCGCGTGTGTTTACTGCTTCAGCGAGGGGAAATGGAGGGGGCGGGGAGATTGAGCGAGAAAGCGAATGCTCGCATGTGGGTTGGGGAGGAATATGGGGATATCGGATATGCAGTCGAGCGACTGAGCCAGGTGTTGACGGTAAACCAGGATGTGCTGGCGGTGTACAGCTGTGTTGACGGCCAGCAACATCACCTAGGCGACGCGAGCGCCGAGGGGTACCTAGGGAGCGCTAACCTCAGCACTATGACGAACCTCCGCCTACAGGTCAGCCTATCACCCCTATTGATACTTCAGCCTGTTATTGGGAATATTCTTTTCTTGTGCTGCGTCTCTGAATGTGTTCGCGCGGACCAATGCATCGCGTGGCCGTGTGCAGAACCATCGTCATACTACAAATAAGCAAGCCGGCGCAAAGGGCTGCGTCGGGCATCAGCTCAATCTCTCCGAGAAACATACTTTAGCAGAGTGCATGGTCAGCAGTGTCAAGCCCTTGGGTGCTGCATGCATAATATGCATCGTGCCTGTGTCGTCCCTACTGTCGTGGGCTGGAAGTCGTGCAGCTGCAGTTCGCTGAGGATGCACTAGACTGCATCGCTGACAACTTGGAAGAACCATTGACAAACTTCAGATCATGTGATAACAAGTCGTCGAGGTCAGGGGACCCTCGCAGATGAGTTATGAATGTGGCATGGGAATTGGACAGGATGGGACACAGTCATGTCGTTAGGCGGAGTGTGGGGTATCAGCAGCAGGTAGCCCTGGAGCCTCATGAACAGCTTCATCGTCAGATTGCAGCGCAATAGTGGTGGCACGGGAGATCAATGTCATTAGTAAACAGAATGTTGTTAGCCAATTTATACACATGCCCTTCCAAGAATTCGTGGTGTTGAGTTGCTCTATCAAACGTGGCAGGTCCTCTACTAAACTCTGCCAAGAACATCGCTTTCCTACATGGGCGAGCGTGAACATCCATCCAGTCTATCACCACTCCCACCCCATCACCACCACCTCTCCCCCGCCTGCCACGCGCTACTCATGGAAAGACGCTTTCGATGAGCCAGCAACACCCCTGGGGCCCGAGACCAAACACAAGCACACGTCCCACGCCCATCTCGACCGCAATTGCCCACGAGCAGCGCAACACCAGCACGCCCTCGCCCACCAGCTCGCGGCCCAGCCAGTCGCCCGCCACGTCCAACTTCCCCTCCCTTCCGCCCGCCTCGGTGTCATCGCGCCTGGCCAGGTCCCGCAAGTCGTCGGCCGCCTCGATAACTTCGTCGCCCTTCCCGCCCGCCGCAGGACAGCAGCTCCCCGCCAGCCAGCTGCTGTCCTCTCGAGGATCCAGGACCATAGCGCCCCACGCTGCCTCGCAACTGGCTTCCTCCGCCGCAGCCGCTACCAACGGCGCCGGTGCACAGTCAAGTAGCGGCGGAGGAGCCTCCAAGCTTGTCCGCGCCTCGCCCTCGCTCTCCACCTCGAGCACCACGGGCTCGCCTAGCACCGCCAGCAACCCGTCCGGCGCGTCCTCGCAGAACCTCTCCCGCATTGTCATCGCCCAGATATTCCTGCTGCTCAGTCAGTTCGGCCCCGTAAAGGACGACAAAGACCGCGCCAAGTGGGACACGCAAACCGAGCAGATCAGGAAGGTTCGTTGTGACCCCGTTTGCGCACCCGCCCCATTGCACCTGCCCCATTGGTCCTTTACTGACGCGTCGCCAGCTGGTCGACTCCAACGGCATGGAGGTCTTTTCCAAATACTTCCGCCGCGTGCTGCAGAACAATGCAGCCACCATCTTCGGCACCGGCGCCCGCAACGCCGACTCCAACGGCAGCTACCAGATCCTCCTCACCGAGGTGCACAAGATACGGAAGGAGCCCGAGCAGGCAGACAAGATTGCAGAGTCAATTAGCTCCAGTGAGGGTGACCTGTTCCGCGACTTCGATCTCGCCGCCTTCATAGCCCACTTCAAGCTCGACTCTGTCGCAAAGACGATGCTAGCCCTCGCTTGCAGGAAGACAGATCTCCGGACCAAAGGTGGGCTCCCTCACTTCCCTATTGACCCTTGCGCTAACTCTCATCAGCCGATGCCGTCCTCTCCACCGTAGGCGACGACCTGCTAATGGCCGTTGCGCAACCCACTCAACCAGAGGACATGAGCCACGAATACCTCGCCGCCCTCGTCGAACGCCTACTACAAGACCCGCCACAGGGGTGGGACGAAGAGAAGAAGATGAGCCTCGCGTACGCCGTCCAGATGCGATACCAGCAGACACATCAACAGATCCCCGGCATCGTCGAATCGAAGCTGATACTCGTCGAGCTCACGGACGGCTCGCGGAACCCGCTGGTCAAGCTTGTAAGACAGGCAGGTCCGCAAGGCACAGCTACGGTGGAGGCATGCAAAGAGGTGCTCGCGTCGGCTGAAACGCGCGACATTAGCTACCAGCAAGTCGCGGCGGTGCTCCTCTACCTCGCCCTCTCCACCGGATACAACGCCAAGAACTTTGTAGCCGCACTGCGCGAACATCGGACCGGACAGCGAATAGACTGGCAGGACGTTGTTTTGGCATTCGACCGCGATCACCTGCGCATCGAGCGCCACCAGTTTCTGGCCATATACAACGCGCTGCTCCCCGTGGCCCAAGACAGCGAGAAGTTTGACATACAGGCACTATGGGGAGGACAATGGCAACACGACTTGACGCAGCTGTACTTTGTAGTCGCCTTCCTGTCTTCTACACGACAAGAGCTGGACGTTACCCAGATTCCCAGGTTGCGCACTTCGTACTCGATGAAGACGTTTGAAAACGCCTCCGACGACGCCAAGTCGTTCGCAGAAGAAGCCGTCAAGCACCCCTTTGTTTCGCTCGACGCGACCGCCGCGCTATTCAACATGATTTTCCAGACATCCGAGACGTATCACACCGCACAGCTCATGGGCATACCCGACTTGGTGATTAATCCACACACAGCGGAGTTCCTGGTAGCGGCAGCGGCAGTACCAAAACCCTGGGGTGCCTTGCAGGAACAAGCACTGAAACAGCTGTTTGATCCCTACTTCCAGAAGAAGCTGCCCATATACAACTTTGTCCTCTATGGTCTTTGGAAGCAGGATTTCCAATGGCTTACAGATCGCTTTGTTGACGCATACAACGCCGATTCGATGACCCTTACCCTGGTGCTCGAACACGCCGAGACGAACAACTGGTTAGAGCAACTGATTCGCAGTAATACTGACATCAGCTTGGACCTGGCTGCACAAGCTCATGCGCGCGGCAAGTTTGACCTCCAGCCCTGGCTGGAGCAGACATTCGACCAGGCAGGACCACTTTTCCGTCGCATCCTGACTAACTTTCTGAGTGCGCGGGCTGCGGAAGAAATGCAACGAGCACGAGACGACCATCTACCTCTCAATCTGCCACTCGCAGTGAAGACAGTATACCCATTGCTTGGATTCCTCTCAGACTGCGGTCTGCCCGAGCCTGAGCTGCTGCCCCTCCAAAGGAACTGCATTCAGGCGTACCCGCGATTAATTAACTATGGCGAAGGCGTGGATGACATCATCGACGCCAACGGGCAGAATGGAAACTCGCTTCCAGACGATGCCGACAAGAAGATGCAGGAGCATTTCAAGAACATGTACAGCGGCGATAGCGACGTCAGAGACATCATCTCGGCACTCAAGAAGTACAAAGAATCGCGCGACCCCCGCGGACCAGGAACTGTTCGCATGCATGATTCATGGCCTTTTCGACGAGTACAACTGCTTCGGGGAATATCCTCTAGAAGCCTTAGCCACGACTGCTGTGCTTTTCGGAGGTATCATCAACTTCAACCTCTTGTCCCGAATTGCACTCCAGGTTGGATTGGCTATGGTTCTAGAAGCTGTTCAGGAATACAGACCCGAAGACAGTATGTACAAGTTTGGTCTCCAAGCTCTGATTCATTTCTCGAACCGACTTTCTGAATGGCCTAACTACTGCGATCAGCTTCTCATTGTCCCCGGGCTCCAAGGAACTGAGATTTTTATCAAAGCTGAAGAAGTCGTAGGTCAGCAGCTCGGTGAAGTGAACGGTGAGGGCCACAACGGCATAGGCATGACGAACGGTAACGGCATCGATGAAGCTCTGCACCAGGAGCCGGCTGTACCCAAGTTCTCCTGCCTCTACGTCGACCCCCCTCTCCGCCCTGAGCTCTACGAGGATCCAGACGAGGATGTGCAGGACAAGGTTTTGTTCGTATTGAACAACGTTTCCGAGCGTAATCTGCGCGATAAGATCAACGACCTCACTGAAGCCGTCGAAGAAAGGCATCACCAATGGTTCGCAAACTATCTCGTCGAGGAGCGTGCTAAGATGCAGCCCAACTTCCAGCAGCTGTACCTCGATATGCTCGACCTCTTCAACGACAAGACACTCTGGGCCGAGGTGCTCCGTGAGACGTACTCAAGCGTCATTCGCATGCTCAATACCGACTCAACGCTGGGCTCTACAGAGCGTGGCCATCTTAAGAATTTGGGCTCTTGGCTTGGTTCACTGACAATCGCCCGCGACCAGCCGATCAAGTTCCGTAACATTTCGTTCAAGGATCTGTTGCACGAGGGCTATGACACCGACCGTCTTCTGCTTGTGATTCCCTTTACCTGCAAGGTACTTGTACAGGCTCAAAAGTCTACAATCTTCAAGCCCCCCAATCCTTGGCTTATGGAAATGTTGGGAGTGCTTATGGAACTCTACCACTTCGCCGATCTGAAACTTAACCAGAAATTCGAGATCGAAGTTCTTTGCAAAGGCTTGGAACTTGATCACAAGGACATTGATCCTACAAACAGTATCCGAGGACGACCACCAGCGGATGAGGAATTCCTTGGATCTATGGTTACTGACGGAATGGAAGCGTTTGGCGATCTTTCCATTATGAGCCTGAACCGTGGCACCCGAGGTCCCAACGAGCGCTTCTCGTCAGCGGCAATCACCGCAGCTCTGCCCGACTTCACGAACCAGCTCCAGTACCCACCGTCTGGAAACAGTGCGGTCCCTCCAGCGGCACTGAAGAAGATCTTCCTCACTGCTGTCAATCAAGCCATCCAGGAGATCATTGCACCTGTAGTAGAGCGCTCCGTTACCATCGCCGCCATCTCGACATCGCAGTTGATCAACAAAGACTTTGCCATGGAACCAGATGAGGAGAAGCTCCGCAACGCAGCACACACTGTCGTGAAGGCTCTCTCCGGCGCGTTGGCTCTCGTTACCTGCAAAGAGCCATTACGCATGAGTATCCAGAACAACATTCGCGTGACCGCCCGAGACCTCCCCGACCAAGCTCTGCCAGAGGGGCATATCCTTATGTTTGTCAACGACAACCTTGATCTAGTCTGCAACACGGTAGAACAAGCTGCTGAGATGTCGTCTCTCGCAGAGATTGACATGCAGATTGAGGATGCCGTCCGCGTGCGCCGAATGTTCCGCAGTTCCCGCCCGAATGAGCCTTTCAAGGATGCGAACATCAGTCCGTGGGCGTTCTATATCCCTGAACCGTACAAGCAGATGCCTGGTGGTCTGAATCGCGAACAACTGGCCATCTACGAGGAGTTTGGTAGACAATCGCGAGGTGCTAGTCACGTTAACAACGCCTCTCAAGACGGTGGACGTCAGCTCCCAGACGTTCTCCAAGACCAATTCGCGGCGGTACCGAACCTCCCAACTCCGGGTGCTGCGCCGGCAGAGCCGCGTCAACCCACACAGCAACCCCGGCTACAGAGCCTCCAGACACCCCATGCACCCTTGGCGCAACAACAACCCAACGGCTATATGGAGGCTCCAGGTCTAGAGCGCGGCCAGCGTGGTGTTGAGGACCTCCTGCTTGAGCTCACTCGTGTCATCAAGGAGGCACCAGAGGAACGCATCAGTGAACTTCAGCCTGGTAACAGCACTGTTCACCAAGTCTTCGATCAGCTCATCACAAGCGTTGAGTATGCAGGACCCAACAAAGAGACGTGGGCTTTCCGCATTGCAGGCCAGGTCACGAACCACCTCTTCTCCGACTCTTTGAGTCGTTTGGAGGTTGAGGTCATGGCGCATCTGCTGAGCCATCTCTGCCAGTTGTCCGTCCAGACTTCGCGGCAGGTACTCATGTGGCTGGCGACTCTGCACGACGATGACAGAATCTTCAAGTCCACGGTCATGATCGCTCTGATGGAGGTCAGCCTGATGGACATGCACCGTCTGAACACGACTATCGCCAAAGCCATTCAAGAACGACGCGTCGCTGCAGTAGAGATGCTGTCCAGTTTGATGGAGGAACTCCTACTCAACGACCACCCGAGTGCGTTCCGTGCCGACTTCGCCATGTCAATCGACGCTCTTACTACCTGGCTAGCAGAGGACCCATCCTTTGAGCTTGGAAAACGCGTCATCGCCAACCTGCAGCCATCCTCCAACGAGTCAATGCTTACACCGCCGCCGTCTGGGCACAAGGATCAGCTTGAGTATGTGTTCGATGAGTGGGTACATCTCCAGATGGAACCCATGCCGAAGAAGACAGTCGGCGCTTTCATCTACCAGCTCCATCAACAGAGAGTGATGGAGACTCAAGAGTCCTCAGTTGCTTTCATCCGCACCTGCATTGACTCTTCAGTGTCCGCATACGAACAGGAACACTCAGTGCCGTTCGGTAACGGTAACGAAGACATTGCAACAGTCAAGATCGATGCGCTTGGTCGGTTGGTCGTCGATCTCGTCGTCTACCAAGGCGAGCAGGACGGAGCTGTCAAAGAAAGCAAAGCAAGGTACCTGGATCAGATACTCGTCGTGGTAGTGCTCGTTCTTTGCAACCATCACAGCACACGAGGCGATGCCTTCAACCAGAAGGTCTTCTTCCGCCTGTTCTCTGCCATCCTTTTCCACCTGAACGATGCGGTAAAGGAAGAAGCTTTAGCAGACCAGAAGGCCGATGTCTTCCTTGCAGTTGCTAGGGCTCTCCTGGTCATCCAACCCTCGCACATCCAACGGTTTACGTTCTCTTGGCTGGCACTAGTTGCTCATCGCATCTTTGTGCCTGCCATGTTGGAAGAGGGTCAGGGAGACAAGCGATGGGACGTCTACGCTCAGCTTGTGGAGACACTTTTGATTTTTACCGGAAAACTCATCAAGCCAACTGGAGAAACTGTCATGGCTGAACAGTTCTACCGAGGTGTTTTGCGAGTTCTACTGGTGATCCACCATGACTTCCCCGAGTTCCTAGTCGAGAATCACTTCCGATTCTGCAACAGCATCCCTATGCACTGCACGCAATTGCGCAATCTAATCGTCAGTGCCTACCCTTCCACCATCCTCGAGATGCCAGACCCGTTCACGGCTGGGCTCAAGGCCGACCGACTGGAGCACGACCTTCAAGCACCAGTCATCCGTGCCGATATCGCGCAGGTACTTTCCGATGCGGGTATCAAGGGTGCCATAGACAATCTCCTCAAAGGCTCGGATCTGAAGAACCAGGATGTGGACAAAGTGTGTCAAGCTGTTTACTACGCAGAGGCTCAGTCGCCAGCTTTTGAGCTCGTTTCAACCACCGCAAACCCCACGTTGATCCACGCGATCACTCTGTACATCGGTATTTCATCTCTAGGTACCGGCCCAGCCAGCGTACCGATCTTTGACGCGGAGAGCCCAGCCACCAAGGTCATTGAGAGGCTCGTCAAGGACTTCCATCCTGAAGCCAGGTTCCACTTTATCAGCGCCATCGCGAACCAGCTCCGCTTCCCGAACACGCATACTCACTTCTACAGCTACACGCTGCTACACCTTTTCGGACCCCCGAACGACGATTCGTTGGCGTTGGAGATCCAAGAGACGATCACCCGAGTGTTGTTGGAGCGCCTGTTGGTCCACCGTCCTCACCCATGGGGACTTATCATCACCTTGTTGGAAATTCTGAAGAACCCAACATACACGTTCTGGGACTTGCCGTTTGTCAAAGCGGCTCCTGAAGTACGTAATCTTCTTATTACTCTTCTGTCCAATCATACTGACTCGTCTTCTCTTGAAGGTTGAGCGACTTCTCAATGCACTCTTCACGCATGCACAGTCGAGCCCACGACCGCTAGCTTAGGCAGCTGGTGGTAAGATCTCGACGTTTACAGCACGAGTGTATCTGCAAGGCACCAACAACCTTCCACCGTTATTCGTACGCCCAGCGTAGTCGGACGATGGGTGTATCTCCACTAGGATCAGCCATACGACTGTCTATCTCTTTCCTTCTCGATGTAATACCTTTTCTATACGCATCACTCGGCTACTTCTCAACCGCTTACGGGATCACGACTCATTGGGCTGGCTGGCAAAACAACGGGTCTACGATACACGTAGGGTGGCTTGGGAGACTGAGATGAATAATGGTGGGCACGGAAAGGTGAACGACGTTCAGGGTCTCCTTGGTATCGTTTTCTCAGTCTTTTGGTTTCCATGATACAGAAAAAGCAAGGGAGTTCTTCGGAAATCGTCTTTTGGGTATATGTAATATCCGTTCATGTATGTCTTTGCTGCGCATTTCATGTAGAATAAGCATTGCTCGGCGAAACTTGTACTGGGGACGGGATGGACGTAACTGGGTGTGGTTTCGAGGCGCGAATGCTCTTTACTTTAGCCGTCATCGTCAAAGTGCATACACTGTAGGATATTCATGAATGGTGTTTTCTGTCTTTATTGGTATGAGTGTTGGAAATATGTTGTCATGGTGATGTGGGCGTGAAAGGATGCTTAGGGAAGGTAAGATGAGATGATTCCCCACGCACCGCAATTGCGTTCTTCTTATCTTTCTCTGTTGGTCTTAGGGAGCGCGTTATCGACCTCTTCGCCGATACACGGCGCGACAAACGCATGCCTTGACAGCAACAAACGGATATCTTCACTCTCACTACTCACTATTCCTCGTCGCACAAAGGGCCCGAGCCCCCCACGCGCTCTCTCACCTCCAGCTTGTCTTTACCTCGTTCCCCTTATTCTCACCCACACACCTTTTACCTTTACTTCAAAATTACTCAAGACTCACGCGCGATCGCAACCGCGGTCGCAATGGAACCAACTCCAGGCACCCAGCATGACAACAACGCGATGGCATCGCAAGCTGATCCGAAGGCTCACGTCCCGTCCGGCTACCCTGTCGCATACTTCCTCTGTGATGGTTCCACTGAGAAGATGTTGAAAGTAAGTCCCAACCGCAATCACCACATACAAGCTACACGCTAATTCCAACTCCCCACTCCAACAGACCTCGCTCATGCTGCCCCGTGTGCCCAAGCTACGCAAAGCACGTATAGCAGGATACCGACGTTCCGTGCGCTCCGGCGATGGACCCAACACGCTCGCATTCGATGCCGTTAACTTCGGTGAGTGGAGTGGCGAGGAAGTCGTCAAAGGCGTTGCTTTCTATGCATTGAATTTGGAAGAGGAGCGTCGTGTGATTGAGTATGCGGGTGGTTCTGGCGAGGTGAAGCAGGTGGTCATGGAGGTTGCTTGTTCGAGTGTGCTAGGCCTAGTGGGGAAGATGGAGACGGTGTTTGGGAGGATCTTTGTTCCGGAGGTACGTCGAGTTTTTTTCTTTTCTTTTCTTTGGGGAAGGGGTGGAGGCTGGCTGGTAAGTTGCTAATGTGTATAGGGCGATGGCGATACACTTGTTGGAAGTGAAGACAGTAATCGCAGTGCGGAGGATCGCAACGAAGATTACATCGACGAATTCAGCGATGACGACTTCTCTGAGACCAGCTCGCAGGCCACCGTCGAGGGTCACCCGACTCCGCGAATCTCACCTTCGATCTCGACCCTCAACGACGCGGACATTCCGCACCGGTCCCTTGATGACCTTCCGCTTCCTGCTGTCGATGAGCACCCAGTCGACCCGATGATTGAAACTACCGATTGGGTGGCTACAAGACAGGTTGGGTCCACGGACGTCAACTGGATCGAAGAGCCTGAGCAAGTTCAAGACGTCGAGATAACCGAGACCGTAGCGACTACAGAGAGCTACCAAGTTCAAGTGTCCGAGGAGACCGAGGAGTCAGACGAAGACGATCAGGGGACTGAAGACACTCAAGAGACCGACGAGGTTGAGGGAGCCCAAGACAAGACTGAGACGAACTCCATGGACGACACTAAGTCTTTAAGACCATCAGACTTTCAGAGGTTCCTCGGAGCAGAATCCGGACGTGCATTACCCTCCTCCCCTTGGCAACCAACCGTTCCCTGGCGCAAAGAGTCCGCGTTCGAACCTGTCCGCAGTCATATCGTACGCGCCCCGAGCCAGTTCAGCGGTACTGAGACTAGGAGACGCAAGACCAGCGACAGCATCAAGTCGCTCGTCGATCACTTCGAGAACTTGTCGCCGATGAGTACACCTACCAAGGATGGGTTCAGCAAGGAGGGATCTGTCCAGGACGGCTCGACCAAGGACGGCTCCATCAAGAACAGCTCTATCAAGGACGGCCCCATCAAGGACGCCAGAAAGGACACCGACAAAGGCGTCTAGGTGACGCGAAAACTTCGCGCACTGTACAAAAGCACCAGGAAAAAGCACCTATCGGCACTGCTACGCTATTTGAAACAAAAGTTTCTTTGGAAGGAAAGGAAAGGTTATATACAGCTTCTGGATGTGTAGGAGAGGTATACGAGAGACTTTGTGTGTCTACTCAGCAAGGAGGGTTTCGGGGTCTTACTTGTATCTCTATGGCATTATCACGTGTACATTTGCTTGATTGCTTGCTTGAATGCTTGCTGACGTGCTTGCTTCTACGGTTGCCTGTTGGCCTTGGGCTCATGAGATACTGATGCATGACGCATGATGGGGGAGAATGTACTTGCTTGCTTCATATCACACCCTGCTCGTGTGCTGCTCTGCTTCCTCTGGACCCTTCATGCGATGGTTAAGCTGGTCGACGCCCCGCTTGACCCACACTTTAGACCCTTCCATGTCTCTGGTACGTCCTTAATCAACCTTTGCGAATGATTACACATCTGAAGTGATGATTGGGTCTAAGTTCCTCTCCACGGTCGCTACCAACAAGAGTCGCCCACACACCGAGACTGGTTACATTGGCACGAGAATCTCGCAGTAGACCTGCGTGCTACTTAAATTGACAACTGATGGGTGCTGTCAGAAATGCAGGTGGCAATTAAACCATTTTCAAGTTTATCTCTGGGACCATGAGCTTGAACGCGCACTCCTCAAGATCAAAAGCTTGGTCGTATTACCGGCATAGATAGATTAAGCTTTGTGGCTTTATAGGCTTAGGATGATCTCCTGCTGCGTGTTCGTCCTCCGTGGGTGTTGCATCACTTTGGCTGTCCTGAGGCCTTTGTATGCTCATGCCGAGAGATTCAGCGGTTTATAGAAAGCATACGAGCATATAAAACGGCAATCATGAGTGTCAAACAAAGTCAAGCAGTGCGAACAGTATCACGAGCAGCGAAATGGGCATATCAGGCGATGGCAGAGTGGCAAAACGCTGAAGTTCACGAGCTTCGCGCTTGACACCGTGACAACCTTCCCAAACCAAGACACCCGGCCTGGTATACGATAATACACTGGCTGAGACTCAAATAAGCATACCAGATGGCATGCGGTCAAGCCGGGCCATCGCTTCGGAGGCCACCTGCCCGTTCCGGCCTCCACACAGAAGTGGAGCGTTATGGACCGAAGTGAACGCCCATTGAGCGGCTGCTAGAGATATCGATATCGACTCTTACATCAGTATTCATAGTGCACCTGCTATCGCCGTCTCCTCGTTGCTGACCTCAGCATGTGCGCAGAGAGGGGGGCGTTCGTTCTCTCTTCCTGAGCAACAGCAGCTGCAACCACACGCTTTCCATCTAATTCCCTCAATTCTTTAATTCTTCATCTTCATCCCATAAATTCCGCAAGTGTACGACATCAATGTGCCCGGTCTACTTCGAACACACGCGTAAATTTGAGGTTCACCTCGATCACGGTTGCGGAAAACATTGACCGCCACTGACACCGCTTGCGTCGTGGCTACTCGATACGGGTAAGTAACTCTCTGAAACCCATGGCGGCTTTTTCCAGGCTTGCTAACGATAGTATCTTCAGGAACTGTGTAGGCGGCCATCACTGGAAAACAACTCCAGTCTGAGTCTTCACTTACGCACTCGTCGCCAACAAAGCTTCATCACATCACCTGCGCACCAAACAATCATGGCGTTGTCTGATGAGCTAATTTCTTTTCTCGGGTGGGATGATTCAGATGCATCATTACTTAGCAACTGTCCCTAATACAATACTCTTGAAGAAAAGCTCTTGGCTCTCGGCCGAATTGCATACACGTGCCACTTCCAAGAGCTTCGGAACAACGAGCCCGTTACCCGGCTACTCCAAAGCGCATATAGGCATTTAGCTCGAGACGCTTTCGAGTTTGGGGGAAGAGAGAGGTATCAGCGTCGCCAAGAGTGTATCGCGAGATTGCGCCTAAGAAAGCGAGGGTGGAATGATGCGGAAGGGATTGTAAGTGGCGAAATTCCTTCCCATCGGATTCTGGAGACAGTAGGTGCAACAAGACCCTTCTTCTCGATTATATTTACAATTACTGACAATATATCCAGCTATATTCGCAGGTTCTGTATCCCTTCTCTTATCCCTATCGCCGCCGACAGTCGCAACATCGCGAACCGTCTTTTCCAGTATCTCAAGTCATTAAGATCGTAAACGCCATTTTCGCCAACCCATCCAAATAACAACTTATAACCCCATCTTTATTTATTCTTCTGTGCTCCTCGCATAATACCTCGGTCGAGGCGTCGTCCTCCTCGACCTCCGCTCCTCACCCATATCCTCACTCTGCCTCTCTATCCTTAGCATCTCGCGCACCTTGCCATCGAATGTGACAATGATGTGGTACGGGACCTGTGGCGAGTTCGGCGCAGACGATGATGATCGTTGGAAGTAGCCGCTGCCTGCCGATGATGCGGGCGACGAAGGTGTGATGGGTGTGTTAGGCGACGAGTCTCGTGATGACGATGCAGATGATGTTTGCGTATTGATCGTCGTAGTTTGCGCCGACGAATCCATTTTTAGGTTTTTCGAGGGTTTGTGTCGATCGTATCGTGCTTTTGGTGGTAGTGGTTGCGGTACGGTACGATGCGGTAGGGCCGAGAGTTTAAGAATAGACAACAGTAGTAGTGTACCGAGTCTGTTCTGAATACGAAGGGAAAGCTACAACAACAATATTGATGCTCGTGTCCTGGCTAATAATATATTCGTATGTGCTCGGATGCAGGTGGCAGGTGGTAGATGCCTTTCGTTCCGTAACGTTTTGTTTACGGGTCTGTAGAGGGCCAAGAACAGGTTTGGTTGTCGGGGTGGCTGGCCGGAGTACTGGTGTGTGGACAGGTTCTAGATGGCCTTTTGAAGGTGGATCAGGGAAGATGTTGCGTAGACCCCTGGAAGCGCGTTAGGGATGATGCTTGTTGAGGGCTTTTCTGTTGCTCGGCCGGCGTTCCGCTGCGGGATGACAGGATGTGGAGGTGGTACGTACGAGAAAACTTGGAAGTGCTACGAACAACTTCTCTTCCTCTGTTAATCCGTGATGTATGCGAGAGAAGAAGGAATGACCCGTTGATAGTTGCGCAAATATATTGTATAGTAATAGAAGTATTCGAATCGATATATAGGTTCTTGATAATAGTAATAACAAAGCCCACCAAAAAAGTCAACAGCTCACCCACATTCCATGGTGAAACCCTCCTCCTATTTATCGAAAAGAACCCACATGGGCTGAGTGCGACGGTCGAGCGCTCGAAAAACACCGCGTCAGCGCCCTTCCATCATCATCTCGGAGGCCCACTTGTGGGACGCGTTGCGGTCAGGCATCCGAGGCCGACCGCCGGCCTGCTGTGCTGCGCCTCGGCCCTAACAGATCGCCATAGCATGCCTTGAGGGAAAACGTGAGGTGGCTGCACGTGTGTTACTATGTTTAGGTTGTGAGTTGTTCCATTGTTCGAGAAGGAAAAGTCAGGCGCGCGATGGTGCGCGCATCTTTGCTGTGTGGGAGAATTAGGGAAGGGCGGAGGACGTTGGCTGTGCTCGTTAGGAGAAGCGACGGGGGTGTGTGGAAGGAATTATTGCCACTTTGGGCTGTGCGAGGGTGCGAAGCGAGGGCAGAGGGGAAGATGAGATGAGCCCCTGCACATCAGGACGACGGAACTTGTTTGAGAGCTTCTTTCTTGCTCGCGAGATGAAGACGAATTTCGAAGATCGCACTTTGGAGAGATGAGGGTAAATTGTTCGATGGGGATTCGGCAGATGCTATTCGGTCCTACCCCCACAGTCTAATGTCGAGCTGTCCACCTGCAATGTCAATCCTTTTCCACCTTCACGAACGCTTTCTGGAAAAATGTTTGCACTACATGAGTTTCGCGTTACGATACTGAACAGTCCCGTATAGTCTCTACCGGTGCATTGTGATGGCATCTGAATTGCGTCTTGGCTGCTGCATGCGCCACCTCCCTTACATACCCCGAGTATGAGTGTCCGTCGACCAGTCGCATTTTTACCCCAATACCGTCATGATAATCCATCGCTCCGCCTTCGCAACACTTTACTCGTCAAAATGTCCATCTCACGATCACTCACAGCCATGTGCCGATCTCCTCGTATCTACACCGTGTATCGCTCGCGACATGGCTAAGGCTGCCCTGCATCCAACCCCGCCATTCACATCACCCAGCGCTCACTTCAGCCGCGGACTCGGTTCCCGGATGACACCAACACTACAAGTGCTATGCCATGCGAGGCAACCTTAAGTGGACATCAACGACCGCCAAGTTGGCAGTATGCGGGGCGCTCGAGGCTTAGGTTGACCGGTTACCCGTCTTGTTTCCGATCCGCGGTTTGAGTTCTGTAGTTTCTCGCGGGATCGACTTGATTGGGAGGTACAGTCGATGACGTGGGATTATGGTATTTTACCATGGTACCACGTGCATTGGGCGAAGTTACTTGATGGCTATGTTGATAAGTATGAAAAGGTGGGTGTTTTCCTGAGAATTCGAGGTTCTTGTTGTGTTTCATTGCGTTCAAGCGTTGCGCATCTCGTCTTCGCTACCCACGAAAGTGTTTGCGCAGGATTTACAGACTGCGCATCTTCATACGCTGCGGACTGTTCTATACGAGAAAGCGAGCATGGAAAAACAGAAGAGATCAGAGCAGCAAGAGAGGTCTCAGCAGCGACACCGTAAGCGATGGACCCCCTCTCCACCAATCCCTTCCTTAACTTCGTACTAGCGAGATACTCTATGAGCGATATACCTGAAGACCCAAACCAGCGCAGTGCATCGTTCATGCCATCATCCCGGAAGCGTGCAGACTCGCATCAACCGCGGACAACTGCACACCATACACCACGGTCATCCGACCAGGAGCAACTGTCTCAACAAGCCGTCATTTCAGCATATTTGAGGTCGTCGTATTCTGACGACGACACGGGACGTCCGAGGAGATTCTCATCAGCTGAGCCCTACTATTCGCCATCACCAGCGCACCACAACCCGCCTCGCGAGATCCGCAGAATAAGCGGCAACTTCAACGCGCCAACGGCCATGGAGCTAGAGCGACACAAATCCTACAAACGAAGTTCGCGGGGGTTGGGGAAGCTCAAGAACGCCGTCAGGGGTCTAGTCAGGGCATGAGGTTTGTTGGTTGGGACTCAGTACCTGCTTTTCGTCCTACCCACACATCTCCTACTTATGTCACGTTGTACGCATTGTCCGCTGCGTGGACCCAAGATACCCCATCGTTTCGTATGCCAATTATCGTTTCATCATGTCCTGTGATCTGCATGCTCAGCTTTCTGGTCTTTCCTGTGCGACACGGCACGGCTGATGGTGATGAGTGACATCATAGGACCCATCCATTTCGCAACGCCACACGTCCTTCGCTTCGCTTGCGCCTCGCTTTGCTCCGTGTCCGCCTCCCCGATAACGTTCATCCCCAACATCGTCTCCGCGAATTCGCCGCGGGCCGTTAAGCAGCTCATGACTGAGTTTGCCAGCTGTAGAATAATTTAGCCAGTCTGTAAGGCAAGCTGAGCACTGTTTGCACTCCTGCCCTCGAGGCATGGTCTTCTGATGAGCCACACATCATTTCCCCTTCTGGACAGCGATAGACAAAGCGTGGCTGGGCACGATGGCGCTGCAATGACGTCGTAGTATGACTTACAGGATTGTCAATGGGTCTGTGTCAGGTACATCATGTGCGTGGTTATGAGTAGGCAGCTGTTTAAATATCCCAGCCATCGACCGCAGCAGCAGAACACGCGCAACCAATAACACCTTCATCATCAAAGGACGCTAGTAGTCACACCACATTTCAAGTCATACAAAAGATCTCAGATCTTGCTTTCTAGATTCTACACTACTGCTACTGTTACTACCGCTATTACGAGATCGAGTCATTTTCAAACACGAAAATGGATCACTACCCCGAAGTCAGCGTCAACGAACGGGAAACCCCATCCTCGATGCTCTCTTCCCGCCACGACTCCGCCTCCTCTATCGCCAAAGCCGCCGCCGCTGGTCAAAGACCCTCAGGAGCCTCCACTACAGACGACTCCACAGCGCGTAACTCCTCATACCACTCCTTCCCCTCGCCATCAACGCACTCATCAAACCACTCCACCCACCGCAGCGACTCGAGCTCGTCGTCCAACTCAAACGTCCAGCGCATCGAAGCAGAGTACGCGCGGTATACGGATGCGCCGCCGCCGTACAGCGAGAAGGCGTATGAGGGCAAGAGCGACGACGAGAGGAATAGCATGCGCATGACGGATTATGCGAAGGAGATTTCACGGATGATGGGACGGCAGTTGGTTAGGGGGTTGAAGATTGATGAGAGGGAGAAGGGGAGAAAGGGGGATAAGGCAAGGTGAGGGGGTGCGAGGGATGGATGGGATACGTGGTGTGGTGTTGACATGACGGTTCGGCTGGTTCCTGTTATTGGTTTTGTTTGTATGATTAGCACGATTCTGTATTATTAGCACAGCGGTGGCGTTCAGTGATGCTATTGCAGCGCCTTGGAGTGTGCAACAGGCCTTCGGCTATGATACCACTAGTTCAAATTGAACTCTTCGACTTGTTCCTCCCCGAAGTCTTGTTGTGTTGCTCTGGAACCACATGTCAGATCGCTCACTAGCGAAGCCCGATTTATGCAGACAGTTTCCGTTGCTATCTCTAGTTCAGCTCTGCTGCTCGAATGTTTCTCATGGCTTCAACCAAAGGTGTTTCGACAATGGTGTCAAAGTCCAAATGCACCAGCTCCAGTTGCCGCGGCATCTTGACCTTCCTCCCATCACTCCAACACGAACCTCTGATGAACTTTTGAGATTCCTTAACTTGCTCTTTTCTGGTATTGCCGCGTAACCCGCACGCAGTCGCCCAAGTGTGGTCTAGGTAATCACTTGGGCAGATGCGATGAAGCACGCGTACGGTCTGTATCTTCGGGAATAGCTTTGCTAACTGCGTCGCGACTGTGACAACATGACGCCATTGCTCGTCGCCTGATGTGGATTGCTCGAGTCTACTCCTATGGTCGGGAATACCCGTGTGATGAAGAACTGCCACTTTCTTGACGAGATGTGCGTATGTTGGCGACAAGGGCAAGATGTGCGAGCCCGGTCGGACGAACTGAGTCTGAAATTCGTATATGGGGCTGCAAATCTGGAGAAGCTGCGCGTAGAGCGTTTCGGCGAATTCCCAATGCACCTGGCGGCACGTCCTCATGATATTGCAGTCCTGCAATGCATCGGCCTGAGCCTCAGTGGCCGCGGGGATGCCGTATTTTCCCTCGTCGTGCTTATCACGCCATCCGTCTCCGATTTGCGGCAGATCGATGCAGATGTAGTTGTAGATCATGTCTCTCAACTCTCGCGGTAGATCGAGAAACCCGACGCCATTGTCACCTGCCATCGCCTCCCAGGTTTTGGGTATAGGTCGCTGCCTCTTGTTAGGTCTAATCGACACTGGATTTGGTCCAGGTGTGTACGTACGGGCCTTCGATAGGCAAGAGCAAAGGTGTACTCGGGCGCGTCTGCTTTGGATGGAATGCGCGTATCCATCGTGATGAGATGGCATCGCTCTAATCCGGGGTCAGCAACCTGGAGAGTCATGATCAGTACGAGTGACGTACCCGCGAACATGTTGTTTTGAAGTTACTTCGCGCTGACTGGCTGTTACCGTGCTTGCTGTAGTCTTTTGAGTTAGTGTGAGTCCAGTTCTATAGGCCATCGAGAATTCAGTAGGAAATGGCCATAGCAAAGAGTTCTACAGTAATACGGAAGTTGCAGACGAGACAACCACTAGCTCCTGGACGAAGATGCGATACACCGATCCTCAGTCACACCGAATGGCGGGCGTGCCCTATCTGAGGCTACCTAGGTACCCATGTACTTACCAAAAGCTTTCCAAGATGTTCTCGAAGGCTCTATGAGTATTCTATATTCAGCAGCACTTCGTAAAGTTACGTAGTTGTCCGTGATGCGTATCTAGGGGTGCTGCGTAGTTCGAGAGTACTACTAGTTGACCCATAGTAAAGCGGAGGATCAGGCGGAGTGCTGACTCAGCGCGGCTGGGGAACGCTAACAACTTCAATGCTCTGGGGCTATGACGCAGGCGGGCAGCATCTTCGCGTCCAAACATGGGTTCACAGTATTCTTTCGCTAGTCATCTCGCGAAAATGTGGACAGCTTTTATCGATGTTAACGACACAGCAACACTCACGCAAATTGACGACAGCTAGCTGACATGACAAGTCGCGACGGCCCAGCCACGCGCAGAACACAACGCAACAAAACCTTCCATCCAGCCCGCGAACCCGTGAGACACGGCACCGGCCTACGCCTCGAAGACGATCGCGTCACCGGCCCGATTCCTTTCCTCAACCCTACCCGAGCCCACTACCGCCACGACGACCGTCCCGATATCCGCTACAAGTGGACTTCGCGCAATGACCGCAAGGGACGGCATGCCGTAGACATTGAACATGATCAGGCCGTCGTTTCGACGAAGCACGACACCCCACGCCCGACTTCCTCCTCTCGCAGCGTCGCACGCAATATCTGGCGTATGTTCACATATTTTCCCGTATGGGATATATCCTTCGACGTTGCCTTTGTCTTCACACTGGGCAGCGTAGTATGGCTATTCAATGCCTTCTTCGTGTTCCTGCCGCTGGTACAACCCGATTCGGAATTCGCGAACGAGGAATTGTATGGTGGGGGCATAACAGCGTTTGTCGGGGTCTGCATCTTCGAGGTGGGGTCATTCCTCCTCGTGGCAGAAGCTGTGAACGAGGGCCGATCGGGGTGCTTTGGATGGGCGGTGGAGCAGATTCTTTTGCATGAAGAGGAGGGGGACGTACGCGTAGAGCTGCGGCCGTCCAAGTCACATTGCACGCACCATCACAACAAACGGAATGCTGTCGGGACTCGACAAATCGCTGAACCAAAGCCCAATTTGGAGCCGCAAGAGCGTTCCTGGGTCTGGTGGCCGTCAAATGAAGAACTACGGACCCACTACATTCACAACCTCGGGTTTATAGCGTCCGTGTCCCAGCTGCTCGGCGCAACAATCTTTTGGGTCGCGGGCCTGACAGCACTTCCAGGCATATACGATCAGATGTCGCAGACCATTACCATTATCCTCTACTGGACTACTCAAGTTGTTGGCGGTATAGGATTCATCATTTCCGGAGCCCTCTTCATGATCGAGACTCAGTCCAAATGGTGGAAACCAGCTCCTCGAACGCTGGGATGGTGGGTTGGGGCCTGGAACCTCATAGGTGGCATCGGCTTCACGCTGTGTCCGGCGTTCGGATATGATACTAGGAGCTGGGCGCAATACCAGGCGTCGCTCAGTACCTTCTGGGGTAGTTGGGCGTTTATGATTGGAAGTACACTTCAGTGGTATGAGAGTCTGGAAAAGTATCCTGTGCAAGTTGAGAGTGCCAGGTAGTACTTGGTGGCCGATCCTAGATGGTTTCAGCCCCACGCTAATGTACAATGTAGTGTGGTTGTTGGGAGTAAGAGAGAAAGCCGGTATCGCACCGATTTTCCCATTCATGTGGCTCCGCAATACCAGCTGTTCGCAACGCTTTCCATCTCCTTCCCGATGTAAACCCGGAACAACCCGAGTTGCTCCTTCCCGTGAAGCATGCAGATGGAAAGCCCTGGGTACTAGGCTCCACTATGTGGCAAGGGCAACTCTTCAAACACACATTGATCTTGACTAAATGACGTACTCACCATATTGAATAACTCCATCACAGGGTTGTTCAAAAACCCTCGCATCAGGGACGTTACTCAAACGCAGACTAATTTGGCTTTCCTTTCCACTCCTTGCTCCCACTAACCCATGATCGGTAAATCTGAAACTCTTTGTTACTCGAAGCCACTCCCACCCTTGGTTGAACGTCATGAGTTACACGACGGCACGGAAAGAAGCCCTGGAGCTATATACCGGTGAGGAGCTACCGAGCATTTACAACGGCTACGATAAAAGTCCGGGCTTCGACATGCTAGACACACCCACCACGCTTGTGCATAGCAAAGAAAGGCAGTCGAACGTCGTCGACTGGCACGGCAACGACGATGCGGTGAACCCCAGAAATTTCCCTTTACGGAAGAAGATGGTCAACCTCGGTTGCATATTCATCATGTGTTTTGTATCGTGAGTAACCTGCTTCATCCATACTACAATCACAATCCACTAACTTTCAGTAGTCCATTCACATCCTCTGTCGTCGCACCAGCAATGTCAGATATAATGAGACACTTCGCATCAACCGATGCCTATCTCTCCGCCTTCGTCCTAAGCATCTACGTCCTAGGCTACGCCTTCGGCCCTCTTCTCATAAGTCCTCTTTCGGAGCAATACGGTCGCCTCCCTCTGTACCACGGATGTAATGTCCTCTTCACCATATGTACCTTCGTATGCGGCCGAGCCAGCTCCCTGAGCACCCTAGCCGTCTTCCGCTTCCTCGCTGGCGTGGGCGGTAGTAGCGTATTCGCTCTCGCGCCATCCAGCATCGGCGATTTCTGGGTGAAAGAAAAGCGCGGGGGTGTCATGGCGTTGATTGGCTTGGCGTATAATCTCGGTCCTGCGATTAGTCCTACAGCGGGCAGCTACCTCAATGCTGCAAGAGGTTGGCGATGTATCTTCTATCTGACAAGCATTCTGGGCGGGGTAGGCACGACGCTCAGCGTTCTTTTTTTGTCAGAGACGTATGAGCCTGTTCTGCTTCGGCGAAAAGCTGCGAGACTGCGGAAACAGACGGGGAATCAGGAGCTACGTGCTAGATCTGATCTGGACGCTGGAACGAGCAAAATAGTCGCGTTTCGTACGGCAATGGTTATACCGCTTCGTATGCTTTTCCTGTCTCGGCCGGTTTTCTTTACCTCGCTCCTCACGGCTATCGGGTACGGATACATGTACATCCTGTATATGACCATCCCCACCACCTTCGTCGAGACGTACAAATGGGCACCAAAAAATTTGGGTCTGGCTTATCTGGGTACTGCGGTTGGTAATCTCATTGGCATGCTTGGCGGCGGTGCGATTAGCGACGGTCTCGTCAAGCGGCGGGCACTTGAGGGCGACACGAGACCAGAGAACAGATTACTACCAATGATCTTCTGGTGGCCGCTTGTGAGTGTTGGGTTGTTTATCTATGCTTGGACAGCTCAGTATGGTGTGCATTGGATTGCGCCGTTGGTCGGGACGGCGGTGTTCTGTGCTGGAGCTATGAGCACTATCGTGAGTTTATCCTTCGTACTAATCCCTCGTCTTCAGCTGGTCTACAAGTTGAGAAATCCAACCGCTAACTTACCATCTAGTTCTTCACAGGCACATACATCCTCGATGCCTACCCACTCCACTCCGCATCCGGCATGGCCGCCTGCTCAGTCATGCGCTCGCTCGTCGGTGGTCTCGCGCCTCTCTTCTCGCATAAAATGTATCAGAAGCTTGATGTGGGTTGGTCCTTCTCGTTACTTGCGTTCATTGCCCTTGCTTTCGCGCCGGTACCGTGGGTGTTTTATACGTTCGGTGAGAAATGGTGTGCTAGCGAGCTTTATGGGGGGAGGGGCGAGGAGGGTGGGTTGGGGACAGAGCAGGTGAGATCAAGGGTTGTGGTGATGGAGGTAGATAGGAAGGCGCTTGCGTGATGATGATTATGGAAGTTGTTGTGTTCGGACTGGGTATCGTACTTCTTTCGGCAATCGCGAGTGGCCATCGCTCGGTCGCAGTACCATGAAATGCGGTCGTTGTCGCCCATGTTGCCTGGACCAGCGCCGCCCTCATAAGTCAACTTCTCTATCATCGCCACACATCTACCATGCTCTACACATTCATCCAACCACATTCCGTTACAATTACATACTTACTGCAACACGCACACATACTCGTTAACTTTGATTAGCAACGGAACGCTTATAATGGGGTCACTTTCACTATCGCTAGTCACCTAGAGAGCCCACGCGATATCGCGTTCGTTTGCGCACCGTCACTTGCACTCGAAACTCTCACATATCATGAGAATGTTCCACACCCGGTACATCACACATACTACACCGCATCCCACCCCACCTCGCCAGTGATCGGCCAACGAAGACACGCACAAGCCAAGACAGCGAATATGGCATTGCCTGCTAGAAGTACGAACATGTACAATAAACGCTACATCAGCACCGTCACTAACACGACGGGCGAAATGTTCAATCTGAAGCCCGAAACCACGCGTCCGTACCAATCCGGCGATCCATACGCCAAAAGTGCTTCAGAAATTCCAGGTACAATGAAGATCATCGTTGGACCAGAGTCACATCAACGAATCTGGCAAATTCACAAAGCACTTCTATTACGACATTCAGCCGCGTTCGACGAGATAATCGCCGCAGACGAAACGATATCCGAGATCCATCTCCCAACCATCGCTGCCAACGCCTTTGCCGATTTCGACTTGTATATGAAATCGAGCACATACAGTCCGAACACAAATGTTACCGGTTACCGTAGCCTACGAGCACATGCTGATGCCTGCCTCCTTGGGGCTAAGCTCGAAGCGGATGGATACTGGGAAGCCGGTATGCGGCAACTGTACCGTCTCGTCGAACCACTCGCCCGGTCGACAAGATCCGACGCGAAACAATCTTTCATTCGAGCGAGTGATATTGCGTATATCTGCGCTAACACCACCGCCGGGAGTCTACGTCGTATCGTGATCATCGGCCCTGTCACGTCAAACCCGTCCGTAGTCGCCTCGCCTCCCCCAAGACAAGATCGCCACAGTCAAGCCTTCGACTTCATGGATAGACTCCAAAGGCTCTTCTTCGACGCACTAGCCTCTCACTGGTCACAGCACGACATCATCTATATCGGCGCGCAAGACTCACCGCGTGGTGGCGGATTCAACAAAAATGATGTCCCGGGCGATAGCACCACGTGGCGAGAGCTATGTGAGACAAACCCGGACTTCAACGCTCATATGGCCAACACTAGCAATAGGCAAAACCGGTATCGGGGCAGTATACTGAGGGACGTCGAAGTCTACCTCAATTCTCCAGTTGAGCACCAAGCCGGCCCAGAAGATGAAGAAGATCGTGGAAGTCACAGCAGCAGTCGCAGCAGTGCCACGGTGGTCCAGAGAGAGGAGGTTGATGACCTCATGGAAGACGAGACACCACGCCCAAAACTCACGCTCAAACTGAAGGGTCTGAGGCGGAGTAACAGTAGGGTGTTCGGAGAGGAGGGGTTGAGGAACGTCAGGGAAGAGTACGGGGAGCGTCTTGGGCTTGAGGAGAGCGCGGATGGAGAGGACGCCGTTGACGACACCGCTGAAGAAAATGCGACCCAGGAGACTACGGAGGGTATGGACGCCGGGATTGACGAGGAGATTCTAGCCGGCTTTAGTATGCCGTTAAGGCGTTCATGATGGAGGTGGTGAACAACTTTGTGCTCGAGGTCTTGGACGCACTCTTTGACTTATGAGCTGGCCTCGCACTCGTTTACTCTCAGCATGTACGAGTACTCTGGCGACGTCTTTTCAAACACTCGTGTGAATTATATCATGTTGTGGCTTGAATGTTGCCAACTCTCTCGTATGTGCACAACATACAATGGAAGAATTAAACACACTACAGTCTACCTTAGTATTAAAACGAAAATTTGCGAATTCTTAACGTAATTTAGGCGCCTAGTTTGACAGCTTCTTCAGTATTATGTAGGTAGGTGTTTGGTTTTTCCCTTGTATAAGGCGTACAGCTACTTGCTGCTATCGCTCGTGTGGGTTTTATGAAACATACAACTCTACTTGTGTGTTTTCCTGATTGCTATGCTCATGAAGGAGGAGACTCTGTTTTCACAAGATATTAACGCAGTCAGGTAGTAATACCGCGGATCCGCATCATGACCTTCCGGCGATGAAGCATCGGCGCCCGCGAGGCTGCCATCAGCGTCAAGGCATCAGTTTGCCTTGTGGATGCATGACTTCACACATAATCGGGCGTTCTGATCCTCGTGTTAGGTCCTACGGCTTTGTCAATGTGATCAACACCTAATACATGCATCTAGCAGCGGCAACAGCAAAAGCCTCGCCACAAACACACATCTGCCATGAGCGTCTACGGACATCACTCCAATCTAACCCAGTCCTCCGTGAAGGTTGAGTCAGCCCATCCTCAACCACTCCTAAGACCACCGTCTCAGGACCACAGGAAAGATGGTGGTTGCTAAACTGGTCGCCCGCCACCTCGCCGCATCCACGCATCTGCCACCAGCGCCTACTTCCCGACCACCCACTTGTCCAAACCGCCTCCCTCCGCATCCGCATCCGCATCAGCAAGGCGGCGGCGGCCAGGCCACGAAACTCGCTCACCCACCTACTTTACTTACCCCAACCCACATACGCGCGCCTCTATTCATGGCGTTGAGAGATCGAGTGGCCCAAGTTGCCCGAAAGCGCATTACGCAAGCGCTGGGTCGCCCCCAAAGGATGAGGCGAGAGCGACTGGACCTTTTCTTAGGCCTAATCCCCGCCCGCAGCGCCGCGCAACCGCATCGATGACCTGCAGTAGTTTGCTACCCGTGCCGCTCCTTGGATCTTTCGAACGAACGAACGAACGAACGAACAAAATAGATCAAGGCTGGATTGATGATGGATTGTAAAGGTGAATGTTAGTGGTGGTGAGGCAATGTGTTGATCAGCTTCCGGGCGTAACGCGCATGCGACGTCGTGTTGGCGGCGTAATCTTCTTCGTCAGCACAGCGCGGTGCATGTTCGTTTTGTTTCTCCGCTGAACACGCAACGCAGCGCAAGGCAAGGCAAGGCAAGGCAAGGCAAGGCAGTCAGTCTATCAGGCCTCACGACGCAAGCACCAACATCATGTCGTCAGCTGATAGGATGCAGTCGGAAATGCGTTGCGGCTGTAAGATGTAGCAGATTATTTCTGCACTGCCGAGTGCGCGAGAACATTTTGTAAAGGTGAGGCTTGTTTCATCTTATGTTTTGCGCTGCTGGCCCACGGGTAGGTGGAGCTGCAGCGAGGGAAGAGGCGAGTGAGTTGGTGAGGCAGTGGAGACACGGCATTTGGCAGACCCATCTGTGCGAGGCGGCAGACGAGGATCCCGTGGCTATGTATGTAGACATGGGATAGTCGCCCAGTGTTCTGAGGCGCGAGGGTTGTCCTTGTGTGTGAGCTGGGTATGAGGCTGTCAATGCATGGTAGATGGCGAAACATGTGAGTAACGGCGGGCTGGCGCGGGTATTGGGCTTGATGGAGCTGGTAAGGTTAAGAGCCAAGAGTAGATGGCATTGTGTAAAGATGCCCATCAGATGATTACTGAGATACGGAAGGCGAAACATTGAAGGTTGTAAGATTTGTGCTGACGAGGCTGTCTTTGCTTCGTGATGTGGCACATGGTGTGAGCAGCTCACATGACTGCCGTCGTATTCAGAAGAAGTTTTTCTCCTCTCTACGGGAAATGGCATGGTTCCTATGCGACTGCGACATCTTCGTGCTGATTGTGATGTTCACATACACGTGACTGTGCATGTCTTTACGCAGACGAAGAGCTGTGTACGCCAAGTGCAAAACCCGAGTGCGCGAGAATTCTCGGGCTATGCGTCGAACATGCCCAACGCCTTTGACCACTTCACCATGCATACCGGTGTACGGTGTCTCGACGCCGGAGTTCTGCCCTGTAGTCGGACCTTACTGTGGAAGAAACTTCGCAGATTACTCGTGGCCGCTGTGATCTGCGGGACCCTCAGATCGAATCACCCCATAGCCACGACTAAGCTCAACGCGAGCGGCAGTACTCGTTCAGAAAAGCCATGGAACAACACAACAGAACCGCAGAAGGTCCGACACCCCTGCCAATCCAATCTCTTCTGGGATGCTAGAGTGTAGAGTTTGGTTCGGTGGATAGTTACCGCCGACTAGAGGGCTGCTAGAGCTGAGTGTTTCATCATCCATATCGATTACTCGCAACGCACGCGTGCGACCAGTATAGGGTCTTGCAAGCGACGCGTTAGAGTTCACGCTGCGCCAACGAGCCGGGCCCCAGACGGAGACTCCAGTTTCCTTTCCATGAACCATGGTGGAGCACACGGGTGGCTTGAATTCAAAGCTTTGGATGAAGCCGCTTGACGAAGTTTCCGAAGCGTCGTTATTGCTGCATATACTGTTGGGACTGACATGTGAAGGGGGTTTGTAGGCGGGTGATCTAAAGACGTGAGACATGTGGAATGAACTCCGGTTGCTGAGGCACCAGCCGGGAACAAACATCTTGTTGATGATGTTTGTCGATGTGTGAAGAACATTTCTAGAACGGCGAGCCTGACCCTGAATCTTCGTGGAAGTGGGCTCTCCTACGTAGTTACTACCTACGTATGCATGCGGTTGCTGATCGGACCCTGGGAAAGCGGTTTCTTCGGAAGCACGATGAGAGATCTGACCTCAGCGTGCTGTATCAGAATAAAGTGATGAACAGGGTCTTGCATCACCGACCGCCGATGATGACGTCTGAGCAGGCATCAGCAATGAAGCCGCGCAAGCTAACCCGAGAGATCATCAGCTAACAACGACGGCCTCCGTAAACCTTACAGAGCAACGTAGGATAGACAGATATCCGCTTCGTAGCCAAACTTGTTATGTCAGAACAGAACGCCGCCAGGGTGAAGTTCCCGCAATGCATAATGATATAACGACATGGCGCTGCAAGACTTGCGGAGTCTGGTCCTTCCTTAGTAACCGC